CGACCTCCATGACGACGAACATTATGACGTCACTGATGCTGATAATGACGTCACTGGTTGACACACACGCGTACGCACAAAGATTCAGAGATTATTTTATAGTTTTGTCAGATTCTTAAATAGCTTCAGCCAATTTCTTCGCTGTGTGTGCTGCCAAAGAATTTTCAAGACATTTTTTTGGGGGAGTAAAATCGACGATGGCGAGCGATAATTACGACGTCACTGGCGATGACAATGACGTCATAGATCTATTATAATTATTATAAATATAATTTTATATTATTTCTTCATAATTTTATTACCGACTCGACAACACTAACAGACAGACTACGGCTTTTAGCGTTTCCGATCTTTGCAATTTTATTCACCGCCGAAAAGTTAAAGTAAAACCACTTAGAGTAATAATAATAATAAAATAATAATAATAATAACGACTAATATTATCATTATTATTGTTTGTTCGTTTATTATTTGTTTATTTATTTATTATTATTATTTATATTATTAAGTAGAGCCACAACAAAAATATGAATGAAAAAATCGGTAAAAGTTGATGACAAATTAAAGTACGAAACTTCTAGTCTCATATATATATATATATATATATATATATATATATATATATTTAAATAAATATTTTGTAACACACACACACACGCACAAACACACAGACATATACAGCAAAATTTATAACAAAAATAATATTAAAAGTTTCTTATGACAAAATAAAAAAAAACACATTATTATTATTAACAATAAATAAATAATTAAATGAAGTTGTTGTTCATTAGATAGTAGAAATACTCACCAACACACATACACACAACACATACACATACAAACAAACGACGAATCAAAAATAAAATATGTAATGTCTAAAGGGTAAATAAATAAATAAAAATTATAATATAATATAATAAAGATCATTTCTAGTTGAATTAGTCTAGAAAAAAATTATAATAATAACAAGAATAATAACAAGAGTAATAATAATAATAATAACAATAATAATGATGATGATGACGATGACAACAGCAATGTAATGATTCCACTTATCCTGTTGGGAAATAATAATAATTAATCACCGTTACATAGTGGTATGTTGTTGCTGCTATAATTATTATAATAATTTTAATTATAATTATTATCATCATCATCATCTTTATTATTATTAATTTTTCTTTATAATAACTATTATTATCATTATTATCGACTTAATCAAGATTCATATCATCCAAATAACGTTGTGGTGGTTGCGGCTGTTGCTGCTGCAGTTGCTGTTGCAGCCTACGCAAAGCTCCGAGAACTAAGCCGTCCCTACTAGCAGCACCACCACCACTATTCCCAGAACCACCAATGTTACTACTACTACTACGACCACTACTACTTCCGTCACGACTACTATTGGGATTGTTGGTAGCGAGGTCATTGCTGCTGCTTGTGTGGCCACCACCAACAGCAGCTGATCTAACTTGGAACAAGACTGAATGCGGCGGTAGTGGTATAAACCCGGCAGCTTGTGGTAATGACGGTGGCTGCTGTAGTGACGATAAGGGCTGCGGCGCTGATGATGATGTTTGTGGTGTTGAAGATACTGATGACGATCGTGCTGCTGCTGATGTTGGTGGTGATGGTTGTGATGATGACGACGGAGTGGTAGCATCTCCTTGTAGTGCGTCTAGGTTGATGATATGTTGTTGTTGATGTTGTTGTTGTTGTTGCTGCTGTTGGCGGAAGCGATCTTGAGCAGATGGGCCGATTCTATTTCGACATATTGGGCAAGTACAATGCTGCATGTGAGTGTGAAGTTGGTGGCTGTTAAGTCAATCAACTATTCATTCATTCATGCAATTTTCCAATCCATCTTAATCTCAATTCACTTTCACTTCATCATGTAACTATGATCAAAACAAAACCATCAAGCTATTAATCAATCAACCAGACAACCAACCAATCAATCAATGAACCAACCAATCAACCAACAAATTAATCAATCAACGTTTCAACTTACAAGTTCTAGCCATGTTACAATACAACTCTTATGAAACAAGTGCTTGCACGGGAGCTCTTTAGCTGAATCACCTATCGCAAAGTCCTCCATGCAAACATTGCACTGGAGATTTCTATCTGTTGAGGTTGTTCAATCAATCAATCAATCAGCCAATCAATCAATCACTCAATCAATTAACCAACCAATTAATTAACCAACCAATCAATTAACCAAGCGGCCAGCCAGCCAGTTCACCAACAAATCATCCGACCCAACTAACCGAACTGGGACTGATTAATCACAACATCCGGCAATGCATCGATCTGATCTTTAGTAGCTGGCGGGGGTCCGGCTGTTTCCACCTCATTCATGAACTGATGATTAGGGAGAGTAGGGATGTGACATTAATTATATATATATATATATATATATATATATATATATATATATATATATATATATACATATATATATATATACACACACATCAATCAAACACGAAAATACATCTTAAAAACCATTTATTCAAATTTCTTTTCTATAATAAAAACATAATAAAAACGGCAACAACAACAACAATAATAATAATATTAATATGATGAATAAAAATATTAACAATTGATATAAATAATAATAATAATAAATAAATAATAATAATAACCATTGTAAGGATATTATCCAACCCAGCCCTAGTCCAAAGAGACTCATCTCCATTCAAAATGATAGGGTCCCTTTTTTTTTATTATTATTATTATTATGTTAATATTATTATTATTGTTTTTGTGATAATAATAATAATCATCGTCGTCGTCATAATCATTATCATGACAATGACCACCATCATCACCGTCATCATCATCATCATCATCATCATCAGTACTACAACACAATCAATCATCATCGTCTTCAACACCATCATCATAGTTTAGACATTGTAATTTGTTGGTGCATTATTTAGTTAATTATCTAACTAATTATTCAATTATCACATTAATTATAGTAATAATTATTATTATTATTATCTAGACTAACATGGCAAGTTGAAAGTGGCTATTCAGGTCTAAACCTTCGCCAAGCAAGCCAGCCATGAATTCCCTGAAAAATCTTCAACAACAATAACAATAATAATAATAATAATAGAAACAAAACAACAATGGTCAATGTTATTAATTAATGGATAACAGTTATAAAAACATCCATCAAACTATCTTTATACATCTACTTTAAACGAAGCCAAAAGAGATGACCAAAAATAATTAAACCCCAAAGAATGCAAAAAATGGAACCCCAAAGAGCCCAAGACACGAGAAATAATTTGAAAACCTCACAAATGATGACTGCCTCATCACTCTAACTCACCGTTGAATGGCTTCAGTTGGATCACTCTGATTGTTTGTGGGTATTCTATGAATGGCAATCCTCGTTCGTCGCACCCCCCGTCTCATTGGTCGACCCTGTGGGGGACTAGAGTTGCTTCCGTGATTTATCGATATCGAAATGTTGTTGCCATCTCCGTCTTGTGCAGTTGGCTGTTCAGCCTGTTCAGTCTGTATATATATATATATATATATATGAAATATATATGTGCGTGTGTGTGTATTTATGTATATATAAATGTGTATATGTGTGAGTGGGTGTGTATATGTATGTATACGTATGTTTGAGTGTACATGTGTGTGAGTTAGAATGATTGTGTTAATCTGTTTGTGAAGTAACTGGAGGAATAACTGTTTGTGTGCGCAAGTCACCGTATATATATATATATATATATATAATTTAATTATTTATTAATTAATTATAATTTAAATAAACTTTTGAAAAAAAAGAGCAACAAACATCCATGTTTTCTTCTCCTGAAACATCCGTAGTAGCTCCACCCAAACTGAAGTAGAAACATTGGATAATTATGGATTGAAATAAATTAAAAGTTTATTTGTAGAATAAATTTAAATAAAAGCTATATATCAAATATCAACTAACTAACAGTCTAACATAGAATTATAATTTATATTATATTATTATTTTAATTATAAAATGACAATTATAGCTTCTATATAAGCACATGTGTGATTTTATTACAAAATATATTATATTTATAATATATTATATCTATAATATATTATATTGAATTATTATAAATAAAAAAATAAATAAATAATTACGCTATTGGTTCAATGAAGCCACTGGCGCAGTCGGGACAAGTAAAGTCCTAATGAAAAAAAGATTTTTTTAATAGGTAATAAATAGTAGATAATAAATAAATCAAATAATAATTATATATGAAAACTTTAAAAATAATAAGTAAATAATTCAAATAGAATTTTTGAGAGACTCTCCACACACACACACATTGAAAATGAATGAAAATAAAATTTAAAAAAGTACTCCACAAACCATTACTAATTTATTCTAATTAAAATTAATTAAATCATGGGAACATTTGTGGAACAACTTGGCTGACTTTTTGGTTTTTACTTTTTAGACAAGTTAGATTAGTCACACTAATTCTAAAATAAAATTAAGACTAATTCAACCAAGAACGTACGCGAGTACACCTGGAAATACATCTCTGACACCTGTGGCAGAAATACGGGCCGGGGTGAGGATCCTCTCCATAATCATACTCACATTCTGGTTCAGAAGGATTGCTGTTTGACGATGTTGCCATCTTATTTTACCTAACTTGAAAAAAAACTACTAACGAAGGTATAAATAGCGATTAGATGATAACAATTTTTTATTTAAAATAAATTCATAAAATATTTATTTGTTTATGAGACTTATTTTACCAATTTTGTTTCAACTGATGTAAAAATAAATCGGTTACTGAAAGGCTGCCATTTTTATTTTCATATCAAGACGTGGACGCGTTCGTTTTTATTTGTTTCTTTTTTTAATTACTGTTTAAAAAATCATTGAGGTCATATATATAAATTATAACATGTTATAACATAATATACATATAGAATATAACATAGTATGTATGGTATATAACATAACATAACATAAAAAATGTTATGCACTATAAATATCAATGAGGTATAAGTTATATAAGTTATTATCTTGAGGTATAAATTATATCTCAATGTATGGCATTTATGACTTATTTCTTTATAAAATTAACTTCAAATACTCATATATTTGAAATTTATTCACGTAATTACGAGTCAGTAAGAACAAAATATAAAAAGTATTGTTTTGTTAAATTCGGCGATTGCAGGTGATCGATATAATTGATATAATAAGAGTAAACAAAGTTTTGCCACTTATGTGCCTAAAAACTTGAAAAACAATGAATAAGTTTTTCGAAATCTGAAGACGCATTTATTAAAGTTATTATATAATTCATACTTTTGTAAAGACAACACACATGTTTATAGAATGAATATAATATATCATTCGAACATGTCTAAATTGGCTTTTTTAAAAGGTAATTATCGATGAATTGTATGGATCAACGTTTATAAATAACTTCTTTAATAAGAATTGTTATTGTTTTCAATCTATAACTGATAAATAAACGCTGTCTTTTCGTAAATTAAGTCACAAATGATCAGCTGATTACATATTTAAAACGCAGTAATATAAGTTCACTTTTAAAATTTAAAAAACATTCCGATTTCTCCTATAAATGCAAAAAATAACGCATTTAACGGTTAAATAGCGCAAAATATCCACCAAGACACTAAAAATAAAATTTCACTAACAATGGGTGGCATGGTAAGTGCCGGCGCCAACAACGACGAACTAGTTCGCAATTTGGTGAAAGCAGATATTATCAAGTCTCCGGATGTCGAGACGGTTTTTCGAGCAGTGGACAGGGGCCATTACTTTTTGCCAAGCAGTCGGTCAAACGCCTACAAAGATTCGGCATGGAAATCCGACTTTTTACATCTTTCTGCACCCTGCATCTACGGAGAGGTTATGGAGGCCCTGGGGTTAGAGAAAGGCATGAGCTTTCTAAATTTAGGCAGTGGGACTGGTTATTTGAGTACCATGGCCGGTCTCATACTGGGTTATTTTTAAATTTGTAATTATTTTTGTTTATTCATTAAAAATTTTCCTGTGTCATATTTTAAACATTTTAAAAGCATTAGAAAAACTTCCATATAATAAATTTTTCATTCAAAAATTAATAATAATAGCCACTATACTATAATATGATAATTGTTTGTACTAATTTCAAAAAGGTTCAAATGGTGTGAACCATGGCATAGAAATTAGTGAAAAAGCCGTTGAATACTCAATAGCGAAAGTTGAAGAATACATAAACACCAATCCATACTTTGATGCTTTCGACTTCTGCCATCCAATATTCAAATGTGGGAACTGTTTAAGTTTGGTCCCAGGAGAGATGAGGTACGACAGGGTGTACTGCGGGGCTGCCTGCACCTTTGAAAATGAAAATTTACTAAAAAATTTGGTTAAAGTTAGTGGGTCCATAGTTGTACCTATTGAGGACCAGGTTAGGGATGTGATTAAGATTAGATTTTTCATTTTATTTTCTATTGCAAATGAATTTCATGTTTATGTTTGAGTTGTTATTGGAAAAAATATATTATGTGAATGTGTTTACATGTTTGTTTATGAGTGTTATACATTCGTTAGTTGTTTATTTAAAGTCTTTGTCAACAATAATGAAATTTTATATATGTGTATATGTATATATATATCTGTATATATGTATGTATATATATATATATGTGTGTGTGTGTGTGTGTTTGTGTTTGTATGTGATTAAATTTTTGTGTGTCTGTGTGTTTGCGTGCGTGTGTGATTTGTATTTATTAATGATATTTATTTCATTTAATAGTTCAATTAATCGCTATTCGTGACAATTTCACATTTACTATCAGAATTTATATAAAGTGCTAACTTTCCTAATTTCATATACTACAATTATGTATGCGTGGTTCCATGATTTTACCTATTAGTTATTAAATGAAAAAAAAATTTATAAATAGTTGATGAAGATAACTCGTTATTCTGAAAAAGAATGGAAAGCCAATCAGCTGATGGCCGTGTCTTTCGCAGATCTCATTCCCGTCGTAGAAAATAATAATAATAATAATAATAGATATAATAATAATAATAATAATAATAGATATAATAATAATAATAATGACGACAATGTTTCTACAATAAGGATGAAGGAAACGCTTTCACTGCGTTCGTTTGTTTGTTTGTTCGTTCGTTTGTTTGTTCGTTCGATCGTTCGTTCGTTCGTTCGTTCGTTCAATTGTTTTTTTGTAGACTTATTATAAGTAGTAGTAGTGGTAGTCGTAGCAAGAGTATTAGTAGTTTTAGCAGCAGTTGTAGTAATCTAGTTGCAGCAGCTGCAATAGTAACTATAGTAGTAGTAGTCGTAGTATAGTAGTAGTAGTAGTAGTAGTAGTAGTAGTAGTAGTCGTAGTAGGAGTCGTAGTAGTAGTAGTAGTAGTAGTCGTAGTAGTAGTAGTAGTAGTATAGTTATTGTTTACATTACTACACCTACCATTGATATTGAAGTAGCGTAATTTTTTTTCTCAAAAATAACACCCCACAACACAGCTTCGATATCCTGCCCATCTCTACAGGAACTTTGCCGTGCTGTGATTAGGCAGACCATCCGGCAGACTGTCATGTCGGCCAGGCCGGACGGCTGTATATTTAGGCTCTTTTGTTTGGGTAAGGCCAGTAAGAAGAAACTAGAGGACACAGGCTGTCTTCAGATATTGCAAATAAAAAACAACACAAACAACGATGATGATGATGATGGTGGTGGTGGTGGAGGTGGTGTTGGTATTTGTCGTCGACGGCGTAGACGTGATGATGATGATGACTATGACGACGACGATGATGATGATGACGTCGGTCATTTTAATGATTTAGCTGCTCTTATAGCAATACAATATATACAGAGAAATGATATAGGACTTCTGAATCATGATCTTAATAATAATAATAATAACAATAATAATAATAACAATAATAATAATAACAACAATAATAATAATAAAAATGATCAAAATGATGATGACGGGGGCGGCATGTTTCCTGGGCGCAAGGGTAGAAATCATGAGGATCGTGACGACGACGATGATATCAAAGATGGTACTGGTATCAAAGATGACGATGATATCAAAGATGGTACTGGTATCAAAGATGACGATGATATTAAAGATGACGATGATATCAAATATGATACTGGTATCAAAGATGATACTGGTATCAAAGATGATACTGGTATCAAAGATGATACCGGTATCAAAGATGATTCCGGTATCAGAGATAGCGCTGATGGCTATGTTAATAATGACGATGCTGATGAGGATTGTATCCGAAGTCTCCACGGAGACGAAGATACAAAAGATGGTATCTGTGACAATAAAATTGATGAAGACGATGACGATGATAAAAAGATATCTAATAAACATAATAATAATAATAACAATAATAATAACAATAATGTTAACGGAAAATGCATTGCCAGTAAAGGCTGCAGTATAATTTCTAGTATTGGTTGTAATACTAACAATAATAACAATAATAATAATAATAATAATAATAATAAAAATCCTGCAACAAAAAGCGTGAATACAACGCCATCATCGTCGTCGTCATCATCTTCGCTACCGCCATCGTCGTCGTCATCATCGCCACTCATTGCGACTACAGTCGCGACATCTAGCTCCGCAAATGAAAAAAAATATAAAAAGGCCAAAACTGATATCCTAAATAACAACAACAACAATAATAATAATAATAATAATAATGATAATCCCAATGATTTTAATAACGGCGATGATGATGATGATGAATACGACCATGATGACTCCTTCCACTACAATAGGAAGAATAATAATAATAACAATAATAAAAATAATGATGACAATAATAATAATAATCATAGCCTGGTAACCGTTACTACAATTGCTGATGATGATGATGATGATGATGATGATGTCATGAATTGTGACAATGACATCTCTGATGATAATGATGATGGTGATGATAGTGATAATAATGGTAATAATAATAAAAATAGTAATAATAATAACGATGATGATGACGACGACGATGATGATAGTGATGATAGCAGGGACGAAGACGATATGGAAATTTCTAGTATAAATACTACTACTACGGTCGCTACTACTTCTACTACCGCCGCTGCTGCTGCTACTACTACTATTACCCCTCTTACTACAACTGCATGTACTACTAATACTACTGCTTCCATAGGTAGTAGCAGTATAAGAAGTGATAATAATACCAGCAAGATGAACAGTAATGGTAATGAAAGACTCGATGATGACGATGATGGTGGTGATGACGATGATGATAAGGATGGTGATGATAAAGATGATGATAGTGGTGATGATAATGATGATAAAGATGATGATAGTGATTACGGCAACTCGAGGTTGATCGATTTTAAAAGGGAGATGCTGGCCAGGGTTAATGAACTGCCCATACCCTACGCACTCCAACAGTATCTACTTTACAATAGAAAATAATGATGACGATAATGATGGTAATGATGATGATGATGATGATAGTGATGACGATGATGATAATGATGATAGATTACTACAACTTGACAGTATAACTAACAATTTCGTTTCTGAAGCTAAAAACTTCCTTTTGGTTTCTTAAAACTGTAGTTTGTTTCATTTATGTAAGCGTCCGTATAGTATATCTTTATATATACACTACACACATACGCTCACACACAGACACACACACACATATAATATATATATATATTTATTTATTTATTTGTTTGTTAAGAAATTTGTCGTTAAATATGATCCATTATATTAAAAAAATAAAAAAATTTCACCATATTCCTTGTTTGTTTGTGACGCAGTCTAAGTAAGCGTTGTTACAAAACGTTAACACACACACACACACACACACACACACACACACGCACACATACGTCTTGAATAGTCCGATTTATAATCCGACAACAAAAGCCAAATTGAATGAATGAATGAGTGAATGAATGACAAAAACAAAATTACATTGCACACTTCATTGGTATGTTGTCAACGCGCTTTCTGTTAACCGTTCTAGGAATTCTTTGTTAACATGCATGTGGATGACCTGCTTTCGAAAGAAAAAAAAATTGCCGCCAAAATTTTATGCTAGAAAAATTGTTTTTATCTCGTCTGGCACTGTGAAAAACTGTTGCATTTTCATATTTTAACATTGGAGTTACGAAAAAGGTAAGCGAGTTAATGCTTCATACGTGTGCCAAGTTTAATTTTGCTAGTTGCTAAGATGAAACTAAAACGTTAAAAGTAACTAGCTAGACGAGTGAGTGCGCCAATTTTTCATTTAAGACGTTTCTAATTATGTCTGTTTAGGTAAGGCTAAAGAAACTGATGATGAATTAGTATTTTAAATTGTAAAATAACTTGTATTGTACATACTACAATCTGTACATTTTTGCATATTATTTCTCTCTCTCTCTCTATCCCCTTCTCTCTCTTTTTTTCTCTATATAATAAATAATATATATATATATATAATATAACCATAATAATGAATAAAAAATCCCACAGTAGACAAGCCAAGAGCCCTCAGGACAAACAAAAAGAAGAATGAACAACATAAACCCACTCCTAGCTTCAATAACGACTAACTTCGACAAACTTTACGTTAAAAATATAAACTGGATTGAGAGCCTGTACACCAAGAAAGTCGGTATCAATACCAACATTAGTAGCGGTATTTCCGCCGGGACTGATACGAATATCGGTACCATAAACGCTGCCGGTATTGATACAAACATCGTTAAAACTATAAAACCTATCGGTTCTTCCGGTATTAACACGAATATCGGTTCTTCTGGTAATAATACGAACATGGGTACCGCCAATACGAATACCGGTTTGGGTATCATCCCTGGTCTTAATACATGCATTTGTACTGGTAGTATCATTAATGTTAATGTACTTGCTGGTAATAACGGTATTGGTTGTGGTGTGGTTGACAATGCTAGCGCCAGTAAGGTTTCTATGGTCAATGAAAGGTATGTTTGTTATTAATGTCATCATTGTTGCTGTTGTTGTTGTTGTTGTTGTAATTTGTTTAAGATGATGTTAAAAGCCACTTCTGAAAGGCTGCTATTACAAAAGTTTAGTCACTCAGGTTTGTTTATATATAGGTAGAAAAACAATGAATGACTGAATGAATGAATGAGTGAATGAATGAACGAATGGGTGAATGAATGCACGAATGAATGAATGAATGAATTAATTAATTAATGAATGGGTAAAATAAAATTATAGTGAAGGTGATGTTCATAGCATCATAAGAACGCCCGCTGCATCTTTATGTGGAACGTACGGGAGATTTCACTGCTATAGGTACCTTAATGAATGAATGAATTAGTGAATGAATGAGTGAATGGATAAATAAATAAACTATTACGTCTATAATTAGCTGATTTATTTAATTATTATATTATAAATAATTTTTTTAAATCTGTCAAAGTGATTATGGCTACGAATCGAGTGTAAATTGCAAGCACCATAAGTCTTTGGCCGCCGGGAGAAGGTTTATTGTTTTTATCTCCCTTCATTAATTAATTAATTAATTCATTCATTCATTCATTCATTCATTCATTCCATCGTTCATTCAAAGATTCTCTCACTTGATAAAAGCCCTGGACCTCGAGACCTCCTTCTCTAACACGCCCACGCAAAACCAACTAAAAATGTCAAGGACGGTTGCAACAGAAAATTTGACTTTGGTATCGGTTCCGGTATCGGTTCCAGTTTCGGTATCGGTTCAAACGCAGACCGATCCGATTTTTATTTTGGAAACTGGAGACGTTATAGAAAGTGGAGGAGAGAGCAGTGAGGTTGTGATGATGATGATTGTGGTGATTGCGGAAATGATTATGATCATTCGTTCGTTCATTCATTCATTCATTCATTCATTCATTCGTTTATTCATTCATTTGTTTGTTCATTCATTCAGGAGACTATTATTCTGAAAAGAGTTACCGAAACGGCAAATAACGCAATCATAAAAAATAATAAAAATAAGAATAATAATAATAACAACAATAATAACAACAATAATAATATTGATGAAGATGGTGAAGACGAAAATGGCGATAACATCATATTATACCAAGCCATCATCATTCCGTATAATAATAACATCAAAAATAATAATAATAATAGTAATAATAATTTTCTTGGTGATGTGTTAATTTTTAAGAGAACCGCAAATAATAATAAAAATAATAACAATAGTATTAATAGTTTAGATGAAAATAACAATTATAACACATGTGCGAACAACAATTGCAATATGAACAGCAACAACAACAATAATAATAACAATTATTATTATAGCTGCTATAATAACGATGATAGTATCAATGATACAGGAAAAACTGATAATGATACCAAATTCAGCGATGACGATGATGATGACGATGACGAAGCTGGCTGTGCTGGCGCTGATGATGATGGCATTGATGACATATACCAGTATGACGATTACTGCTATGGGCTGGAAGATTCCAGGTGATGGAATAGTAATAATAATAATCATAATAATAATCATAATAATAATGATAATCATAATAATAATGATAATCATAATAATAATGATAAATAATAATAATCATAATAATAAGCGCAAATCTAATTTCATTTTACTGTGTCGTTATTATTATTATATTTTATTACTACTACTACCACTACTATTATTATTATTAAGTATTATTATTATTATTGTTATTACTATTATTTATTATTATAATTACTATTATTACTAATTATTATTAATTATTTTCTCTTTCTATTTTCTAATTATTTCAAACAGATCAATATTCTGTGCTATTCCGTACGATGATGGTAAGAGCAACGGCAATAACAACAACAACAATAATAATAATGACAATAATAATAATAACAACAACAGCAATAACAACAACAACAACAACAAGAATAATAATAATAATGATGGTAATGAAGATGATTCGCCGACAACCTTGAATACTGAGACGACTTTTTGGGATAGTTACATTTTTAAGAAGAGGTCTTCAATACTGGAGATTGTACGCGATAAAGAGCAAGGCTAGTTTGTTGTTGTTGTTGCTGCTGCTGCTGTTGTTGTTGTTGTTGTTGTTGTTGTTCAGGTTCTCGTGTTAACTCCGACATTTTAATTTTTTACTCTCATTTTCAGAACTCTTACTTCACAAAGAAAAAATTCAAATACGTCAAACGTTACAAAAAGAAGAAGGAGAAGAACTACATCACGATAATCACTACCGCCATCAGCAGCAGCAACAGCAGCAGCTACAACAGCCACAGCAACAACAACCGCAACAGCAAAATTTGGCAAAGTTAAGCTTGACACCACCACCTAATAATGCTTGTTGCGGCTTTCTGTCTAAGTGTTCCTCGTCGTCTTCGAAACAGAAAAAAACTGATCCAGAAGTTGTTGACGTCGATGTTGAAAATGGTTGCGCGACAAATGTGCAACAACAACAGCAACAAGATAAATTATTGCCAACAATTAGCAATGTGTTGACGACAAACACTCAAGATAAATTGAGCAGCAAACCACCAAAAACTTCGCATCCGATTTTTGTTGAAAATGATTCAACGACATCTATCCTGACACACGTAACTTCGACGTTTTCTGCGCAGCTAGAGCAGCAGCTACAGCAGCAGCAGCTACAAGAAAAGTTGAAAAATTTCACTCAGAAACAAAAATCATTTCAAGATTATTTGAAAAGTTTGCAGAGTGCCGACGAGAAAAATGATTCCAGTTTGAGTTTCTACAATCTCAACGTCAGCAAACTGAACTCCACTATTCCGAACAACAATAGCCTTGCCAACAACAACATCAAAAAAAACAACAACAACATCAACAAAAACAACAACAACAACGACAAAAACCGCGATTCGGATGATTTGAATTCCAACTTAGATTATTTTGTTTCTGTTGTACAAGGAGTTAAAAATATTGACGATGAGGGGGATGATGACGACGACGATGACAGTTAGTGTTTATATTTTTATGTTTTATTCATTAACTTCCACATAACTTTCCATTCATTAAATAAATCATTTATCTATTTGTTCGTTCGTTCGTTCGTTCGTTAGTTCGTTCGTCCGTTCGTCCGTTCGTTAATTTTATTGTACGTATGTTCATTTATTCGTTTGCTCGTTTGTTAGTTCGTTCCTTCGTTAGTTCATTCATTCATTCGTTCACTCACTCACTCACTCACCCGCTCATTCACTCACTCATAGACGGAAGAGGATCGTCTTGTAGGATGACGATGATTTCATTCGAAGAACATTCTCGAAAAAACAATAACAGTAACAGTAACAACAACAACAACAATAATAACAACAGCAACAGCAACAGATACATCAAAACGAACGACAAAAACAACATCAACGACATCAAAAAGAGCAATGGAAATAATCCGGACAGCATTGATCTCAGTCAATTATACGCTGTTGTCAAGAAACCAAACAAAAACAACAACAACAATAACAACAACAACAATGAGAGTAACAACGACAACAACAACAACAACAATAATATTATTGATGTCATTGATAAAAATCTCAAAAAAACAAATCGCACATCAGTTAATATCAGAAAATCTACTAAAATCAACAGCAACAACAACAACAAAAGCATCATCAACAACAAAAGCATCATCAACAACAAAAACAAAAACATTAAAAAAAAACATATAACGAGAACTATGAGATACATGGGCCATAGTGTAGATGGTGACGTTGAAGAAGACGACGACGATGATTATGATAATGGTGATGACTTCAATAACATCAACAACAACAACAACGACAACGACAATAGCTTCAAAGATTACATATCCATATTGAACACCAGTACCGAAGGAATATGTGGAAGCGATCCTTGTAATGTTAACAGTAGATTCGGGTTATCTGCCATTAAAACTGATAAAAACATAATTGATACCTGTAGCAGCAATAATATTCGTAGTATTAGAAGTAGAGGCAGTAATGAAGCGTTGGCCGGCAGTACTAAAAGTAGTATTAGTTACAATACTAGCAGTAGTAGTGGTAGCAACAATGGCGATTCTGTGGACAGAAAAAACGTTAAAGTAGCAACTAAACCAGCAAAGATTAAACTTTCTAGCAAATTTGGCAATAGCAAACAACAGCAACACCCCCACCTGCACCAACAGCAACAGCAGCAGCAGCTCAAGAAGCCGCGTCGTTCATCGCGTTTAGTCGTCCGAAAAAGCGCCACACCGTCACACCACAGCAGCCACAACATTTCGATCTTTTCGACTAAGACCCTTCAAAAAGCTGACGATAGCGGCAAGAATGTGGAGAGCGTAGTCGTAGCTACAGTTAATAGCTATGATAGAAATGGGAAAAAATCATCTTCTACTAATTCGTCTAAAGCTGTGAACCTGGGCGGCAGCGGGTCTGGTGTTGATTCCATCAAAAAGACTGGATTCCTAGCCAAGTGGAAAATATTCGGTGTTAAAAAGAGTAAAAAGGTATTTTTGTTTGGTTTTGATTTCAGTTCTGACTTGATATCTTCATATTTAATTGAATAAATTATTTTAATTATTAATTTATTCATATATTCAAAGAGTGATGACTCTATCCAACAAAAATTGGACCAATCAGTGAGGCTGCTGAGTAAGCAGGCCAGAAATTCTGGCCAATTAAATTCGAGCAGGGCTCCTGTACCTAATACTGTTGCTGGGAGTGTTGTTAATATGACGCCTGTTAAGTCAGCTAACAAGTTTGTTGTCGTTATTGTTATTATTGTTACTGCTATTGCTATTGTTATTCATTCATTCAACAATTCATCTATGCATTCATTCATTCGGCTAAATTCACTATTCGGTGCATCTTCAATGCATATTAATTCATTAATTCACTCCATTCATCTATCCATTAATTCACTCCATTCATCTATCCATCTGTCGACAGAGCAAGAATGACAAGGCTGCAGAATTTTTTCAGTCCAAAATCAAACCGTACCCCAAAGCAACAACAAACAACAACAACAACCCCGATAACGTTAACAAAAACATTAACAAAGCAGCCACAGCAACAACGTCAACTCGTGAAAAGTGTAAATCGTTCGTCGTCGTCGTCGTCTTCGTCGTCGCCAGTAGCAGCAGCAGCATCAGCAAAATCAACCACCGCAAAAAAGACTATTAAATTCGATAATGATGACTGTCCAACTCTTAACAAACCTAACTCACGCTTCAACAACAAAATCAACAACATTCATAACAACAACGTCAACAACAACAACAACATCATTATCAACATTAACAACAACATCAACAACAATAGCAACACGATTGTTAGGTGCCTTTCAGGGAGGAAAAGTTCGACAGCGTATATGACAACAACATCAGTTAACTCTGCGAAAATGGCTACACCGACGCTTTCAAAATTCAACAAAAACATCAAAGACATCAACAACAACATTATCAACAACAACAACATCATCAACAACAACATCAACCCCAAACATAACAACAACAACAGTCAGTCTAAATCGAAAATTAACAACGCGAGCCAGAAAACACCGACAAACACATCAACAAAAATAACAACAACAACAACATCAGCGCCAAAAAAACCAACACAACCCAATAGCAACATCAACTACAACAACAACAGCAACAATTTCCACAACAACAGCAACAAAAATGTTGTTGCCACATCAAAAGCAGTAACACCAAAAGTCGCCTTCGTAAAACCGATGATGATGATGATGAAAAAGAATGCCGGCGACAATGACTACAAGGTGATTATGATGATAATCAGATGACGACGACGATGATGATAATTAGATTAGACAATGAAAAGTTGATGATATGGCTGTTTTCAACACGTAACACTTGGCCTGACTCTGCTACGCATAGAGCGCTGTATAAATGACATTTTCGTAATAATTATAGTTATATTAAAATTATTATTATTATTAATTATTAATATGTGTTTTATTATTATTTTTTTTAACTTTACAGAGGATGTGCGTGTTGCAACAGAAGATGCTAAAAATGGCGGGTTCAGCTGAGGCAGCTAAGATGCTGCTGCTGTCAACTGACCAATACAAAAGCAGGTGACGTCATCGTTATTATTATTATTATTACTGATATTATTATTATTGTTGTTGTTGTTTTTGTTGACGTATTTGACTAAATAATCATCATCACCATCGTCGTCGCCACAGATCGACTTCACCGCAGTGCGAAAGCTACGACATTAGCGATCTGAAAACCGATGATGAAGATGATGATGATGACGACCATGATGATGATGACGACGATTACGATGATGATTATGATGAGGATGATGGCGGTGATGATGATGACGAATATGAGTCACGTGCAAGAAGTAGAAGAAGGAAGATGAAAAAGAATAAAAAAATTCCGTCCTGGGCTCAAGGTTCTTGATGATGATGATGGTGGTGATGTTACTGATGATGATGTTACTGATGATGATGATGTTACTGATGATAATGATGGTATTGATGATGATGATGATGTTATTGGTGATAATGATGATGAAGTTTCTGTTGGTGATGATGACGACGACGAAGATGATGACGACGACGAAGATGATGATGGCGGCTTCCCTAACACAACTAACTCTCAGGATCCGAACTAGTCGCCTCGCTCATACGGTTTTTCATCTACCCGATTGACGTTGACGAACTCTTCGGTACTGTATTCGCTCCGGATCTCAACGAAATGTTCGACGAAAAGAAACCGAGATTCGACAGGAGAACGAGTTCCGCAAACTGGGAAAACCCACTTGCTCCGGCTCCCACTGTGTGATTTTGCTGATTGACTGGTGCCCTGATTGGTTAACTGGCTGATCGGTTGATAGACTAACCGGTTTTAATAATACCCAATCGATTGATTGACGATTAACGATTGATTAGTTGATTGATACTACTAATGAGGAATGGACCCAATATATAGATTGATGGGTTGAATAAATGAATAGTTGATTGATTGACATCTTGATTGATTGACATTTTGATTCATTGACATTATTTATGGCCTGACGAATTAATATTACCTATAGAAGTATCTACATACGTATTTATTAAAAAAAATTTTTCATATAAATATATAATATATAGATGAAATACCTTTTTAAAGTATATATATATATATATATGATTGATTTTAAACCCTTTTAGCAGTATGTATTGTTGTTTTCCCAATGAGTTTTGTTAGTTATTTTTAAACATACAAATTCGTACTTACATATAAATACATACATTCATATATACACATACATTCTGTCATATATATTTATGTATGTATATATACATATATTATATATATATATATATATATTTGTATGTATTATGTTTTAGGTGCTAATGTACTTAATGTACCAAAGAAGCGAACGAGAGTAATAAAAATAGTCACAAGTTTCCATTCTGTGTTGCTCTTTATTCATTAAAGCTAAGAAAATAAGTTATTATTATTATTATTAATGTTATTATTATTGTTGTTATTATTGTTATTATTATTGTTGTTATTATTATTATTATTGAAAGTATTATTACTTTTGCCATCAGTATTATTGTTGTATATTAACAAAAACACACACATATATCTACATATAACACACATATATATATAAGTATAAGTATAAATATACATATATATATATATATATATAGCAGGATAGAGAGAAGGTAAAAAATGAGAGATAAACGAATAAACCCGCATTTGGTAACAAGGATAAAAAAGCGTTGGCGACATTAATGAAGAATAAAAAAAAATATATTTATTTATATATAATTATATATATACTGGCATAATATGAGTATAATTATATATATATATATATATATATATATATATATATATATATATATATATTAAAGCAATATAAGATCCAAAAAAATTACATAAAATGAGATGAGAGTGAATGAATGAATGAATGAATGAATGAGAAAAAAGATAAATACAATGACGATAAGATACTGATGATCAACAAATTATATATGTGAGTGTATATGTGTGTGTGTAAGGGTGTGTGTGTGTAAAAATCACCAAGATAATTAACATTTATTTAAAAAAAATATATATATATTTCTTTATTATTTATATATAAATATATATATATATATATGAAATATATATATATTTCAGTTAACAGAAATTCGGCGCGAAAAATAAGACCATAACAATAACAATATTATAGAATCAATCAAAATTATAATCATAAAAACAACAATAACAATAATAATGGCAATAATAATAATAATAATAATAATAATAATAATAATAATAATAATAATAATGATAATGACGATGAAATCAAAATGTGACTAGTCATGGCCGTCTGTCGAAATCTGAGGATCAAAAGAATTACTATTAAGAGTTATTGCAGCGAACGGCATCATAGATAATTTGTTTGACACTGACATTACAGTAGTAGTAGTAGTAGTAGCTGCAAGTAATAGTAATAGTAGTAGTATTAAAAGTAGTAGTAGTAGTAAAAGTAGTAGTAGTAGTAGTAGTAGTAGTAGTAGTAGTAGTAGTAGTAGTAGTGGTAGCAGCAGTAGTAGCAGTAGTAATAGTAATAAAAGTAGTAGTAGCAGTAGTAGTAGTATTAGAAGTAGTAGTAATAAAAGGAGCAGTAGTAGCCGTAGTAGTAGTAGTAACATTCTTAGGAGTAGTAGTAGCACTACATAAGAATCGTTATGAAATAAAATCAATCCCATTCACCACCATCATCATCAATGTCGCAATCATCATCATCATCATGATACTGATACTATCATCATGATATCTAAGTTTAATACACACACACGCACGCACACAAGAGCATAAACGAAAAATACCTCGTCATAAACAAATGATGTATATATATATATATAAATATATATGTATATATATATATATATACTAATATAGCATTATACCTTCAAAGTGGAACTTCAACATCTTGAATACATTAAAAACATAAAGATAACAAAAACAACAACTACAATTACTGTTATTAGTAATTCAACTTACTCAAACAAACAGTAAATTAATTTTCTTACTACTACTACAACTTTTGCTGCTACTACTATTACTACTTGCAGCTGCTACTACCATTACTGCTTGCAGCAACTGCAGCTAATAGTAATAGTTGTTATTATTATTATTATTGTTAGCATTCTTAAAACAGTATCAGTCGACATTTTTATTGCAATTTATAATTATGACCTGGATTCGTTCGTTTTTATCTGGGGAGCACTTTTCTCAAACGAATGCAACCGTAACATCTTTTAAAAATAACAATAATAACTAAGCAAATATTATTATTATTGTTAGTATAATTATTAATGCTTATAATCATTATTATCGTTTATTATTATTATTATTGTTGTTGTTGTTGTTATTATTATTAAATGTTAGGGAGATGTTGTATTTACAAATCGGTAAGTTTACAATGCAATAATTTTAAAAAGTGAACATGGATGGAGAATGTAAAATTTAACGAAATGAAGAAAATATGAAAGAATTAATGAAATATTAAAGTTTAAAATTTAATCTAGAACTAGATTTAATTAAAATGACGTCATCCTCAATCAACCAATCAATAAACAACAACAATCAACAGCAACCAATCAATCTTGCAACACACAATCCTATTCTTAACAACTCATCAATATTCATAATCTATTTTTAGCAACTCAATAATCTTCATACCCAGTCTACTGCACAGGAGAAACTTATTAATATTTATGACCAATCAATTTTTAGCAACTCGATAATAACATAACCAACCAAATTTTTAGCAACTCATTAATATTTATAATCTATTCTTAGTAACTCATTAATATTCCCAATCTATTTTTAGTACTCATCATTGCAGTCCCCATTGGCGCCATTCTCGAGATTAGCTTCGGGTGGAGCAAAGCCTTCCTAAATGAAGAAAAAATTTTTTATTACCATAATAAAAGTTATAATAATAATATAATTAAGAATAATAATATGTCATTTATATAGCGCCCCCATTGTTGCTTAATGACCAATCAAAAATAAGTTAACAATTACACACAAAAATGTCAGCTAACAGTGAAAGAAATGGGAAACTTTTTGCAATCAAAGCAGGTGGTAATACTCACAAACCATCACAAAAGCAACCGACCAACTTACCAGTCAATCATTAAACCAACCAACCGACCGACCAGCCAGCCAGCCAGCCAGCCAGCCAACCTACCTCAGTTTCATAGAGTATGTCGAGAATCTGTTGCACCATTTGTTCGTCATGTGGATGTTGCAGTTGCTGGCCGCCACCGCCACCAACGACCTCCTGACACAACATCTCAATCTGTCGTAGCTTCCCAAAGTAGAAGTCTCGCTCCTTCTCTAGGCTGTCTATCGTCAGCTTCATTTCCTGTAACTGTATTTATTTTTTATCTTTTGTTGACTTTACTTATCTACTTTTTTGTTTTATCACAGCGTAATAATTGTTATAAAATATAATATAATAATTATTATAATATAATAATAATAATAATTATTATTATTATTATTCCATGACCTGAGAGGTGATTCCCTCTAGTTTGTGATTGACATCCCCTTGACTATTTTTCAGGTTTGATTTGGCCGGCGTTGTTGGCGCCATCTTGATGGTTGCTAATGGTGGTAAGAGAGAAAAGTTTTACTCACTCACCTCCATCATCAGCAGCGTTCTAATCAGCACCATCATCATTCTCCTACTCTTCCTTTCTCGTCATCATCATCGCCTTTGTAATCACCATCATCATCATCATTCTCACCATCATCATCACCACCATCATCATCATCATCATCATCATCCTCATCATCATCAACACCGACCAGATGGCTTCGGTCGCGACGACGTATGCGACGACGACGACGACGACGTGGCCGCCATATTGTTTCTATGCTGAGCGGTTGGCTGCTGCGCATGTTGAGGTGGTTGTGGTTGCTGGTGCAGAGGTTGATGATGGTGCGATGACGAAGAGGACGAAATGTTGTACGACTTTCTTGGGGGTACAATTTGGTTCCCTATGCCCCCCATGGCCTCCCCACCCCTGGCGGCCACAGGGTCGTACTGATTTAGTTCATAGTTGGCGTCGAAGAACTTTTTGAACCACTGTATAAACTCGAAATTGTCTTGAAAACGTCCTTTCACTAGCCTCTCAATTGGAATTATCTTGAGGTGGTAATACTAACATCACTCTTTTTTTTATCATAACCACCATCCTATCATCACCACCAACAACAACTTGAAATGACATCATCACCACTGACAACAACAACTCCAAACAACATCATCGGCAAAAACTTCAAACGACATCAACGTCATCTACATACGGACCTTGTCGACTTTCATCTTACTGAACGCTCCCTGTACTAATTTGAAATTACTGATATACTCGTGCTCCAAGTTCGTCATGAATTTTACTTTCTTCAGGTTTATGCAGCCTAGGTTCAGTTTATGATTGGATGAGAATGTTTATTTATGTGGCCTGATTAACTTTGATTGGATGAGAATGTTTATTTATGTGGCATGATTAATTTTAATTGGATAGAATAATTAACTAATTAATTAATTAATTGATGTGACTATGTGATTGGATGAAAAAATTTACAAAGTAATTCTGATTGGATGGGGAACATTTAATTTACTGTTAGCAAGTACTTTTTGATTAGATGAAAGAAAGAATAAAAATGACATGATTGGATAGAAAGAAAAAACATTTAATATATTCAATTGCAATTGGATGAATAAATTAATTAAAATGACCTACTTTATTGTGATTGGATACAAAAATAACAAACAGTAACCGAAAATTAAACAACTTATTTATACAAAAATTACCTGGAAATAATATATCCATAAACTGACAATATGCAGCACCTAGAAAAATTTTTTTTTACAAAATTACAACAAACCTTATCAATGGTTATATAAATAATTTATAAATATATAATATATAATTATAACATAAATATTATTAATAATTATTATATTATATTTTATTGACCAGAGCATAATTCTTCAATCTTCATGAAGTTAGCCTGTAACATCTCATTGACCCAATACAGTGCCTCATGTCTACTGATATTATCTGTGGTTCCACTGGTGTTATATACGTTTACTGCCATCTATCTAGTGGGGTGTGATAATGTTGGAATAGTTAGTTTGTTAGTTAATTTAGTGTTGAACTTTTATGTAATATATTCATGATTAATTAAACGAAAGGCAGATTTATGTTTGGGTTATGATTTTAAAACAAAGAAATTTGCATATGTATGCTTATTTAAATATATATTCATTAAATATTAAACTAGTTTACGTTTTTAAGTAAGTAATAAATAATAAATAAATGAAAATTCATTCAATTGTGAAGTAAAAAAGCATGGTAGTTGGTTTTTTTTACACTTTAAACTAAAGCACAACTTAACTACAACAAATTTTTGCGTTTTTAACAATGGACCAATAAATTAAATTGCAAATTAAAGTAAGATTAATTAAAAAACAAATAATTAATTTAATTTAAAAAAAACCATATTTTTAAAATTTAAATGGCAAAAATGTGACTCACCTTTCGTTTTGTGGTTTTAAAAAAAGCGAGAAATAAAATTAAAAATCAAGTAAATATAAAAACAAAATTAATTTCAGAAAGTAAAACTTGTTACGAAAAAATGTAAATTTGATGATATTTCTTTCGGAGATATTTAAAAACGAAATTTCAATTCGATTGCAAAACTTCCTGTTATGATTTTAGCCATAATTACATAGCGTTTAATGTTTAATTTTAGTTTGACCGGTCAAAATCAGAGCATATTTCTTTACATTTATTCAAAGCATATTTAAAACGAATAAAATATGTCACAAAAAATAATTGCAAAATATCATATTAATTACTATGTGTACAGATCTCTTTACATTTAATCTGTCAAATGGCTCTTACTAGCTTCAGACCTGAAAAGTATTAAATTAATCAATATTATTACAATATTGTACATAAATAATAATAATTCTAACATATTACTGCACATTTAAAAAAAGGCTACACACTCAAACATGTGTAAAACACGCGAGGATCAGCTTGCAGTCGAACCTGGTCACTGCAACGTAGGAACGGAAACTTTACTTTACACAGATCTTAAAAAATTCTCTCCCGGGTCGAAAAAATTTGCTATTTAAATACATATGCGGCCCTTCAAAGGTAAATTAGTTCTCAATGCGGCCCTCACAGCAAAAAGTTTGCCCACCCCTACTTGCTCCATTAGATGGATTCTTAACACACAACAGATACATAAAGGTACTATTACACACAATGCAACAAAACACAAATGAACATATTTCCATTCCAACGAATCATATAGATGAAAATATATTAATTATGATCATAATTTAGAATAAATAATTAATAAATAACATAATTTTCTTCATTACCTTTATGGCTTTTCGTTTTATTTTGGCAGATACCAAACATACAGCAGGCATCGTTAGCATTCCAACAATGGCCTAATTCAATTATGTTATTTAATTATGATATAATATAATATAATTTGGTAAAAATTAATAATAACATTTGATGATAATTTTATTATATCTTTATATTAATTTTGATAAATTAATATATAACGTATTATTAAATAGAGTCATATGATTAAAAGATATATGAATATAAAACTTTACTTAAATATCTTAACTTAACCATTGCACTATCAATCTAATTAACTGATTAATTAGATGGTTGATTGATTAATTAATTAAAGTGGAGTTAATTAAGTAGCCGACGTTTAATCATCTGTCGTTTGGGCATATTGGCGGCCATTTCGTCCTTTTCTCCGTTGAAAAATTTCGTGCCTAGCTTTGCGTGAATAAGATTGGCCAGTTTCGCTAACTGTTATTGGTTATTGTTAATATGACGTCATTTTTATATAGTATATTTATATAGTATACAATTATAAATAAATAAAAGATTCAATCAATATGCAATATTATGCTGTATAAAATTTGCGCTATTAAAATATCTAGCCAAAAAATTTTAAGGCAGAATGTCCATAACCTAACATCAACTGATCAGTTTAAACCAGTTGGTTAGAGTCCAATTAGCATCTAATTAACATAAAATTAACATTCAAAAGGCACTTAATTAACATAAATCATTATAATTCATAACCTACCTCCGCTGTGCCTTCCTCCAGTAACTTGATGTCTTCATCAACCGAACCAGAAGTTGAGTCGTCGGATATCAGGTCTTCAAACTAATTATTATTATTATTATTATTATTATTATTATTATTATTATTATTATTATTATTAAACTATCATCATCATCGTCGTCATCATTCTTACTATATCAAAATCAATATCATCAATAGCATCGACATCGTCATCGTCACCGTCACCATCATAATCGCAATCATCATTACTACAGTCACCATCGTCGTCGTCATCATCGTCGTTGTCGCCACCACCCTAACTACTTACGACAGCTGCATCGGATAACGCGACAAGATTGTAGAGGAGGCTGAATGATAAGATGAACATTAGTAGAAGAAGTGAGCTTTCATTCATTTTTGCCATTCTGATGATGATGGTGATCATGATGATGATGAGGATGATGATGGTGATCATGATGATGATGAGGATGATGATGGTGATCATGATGAAGATCATGATGATGATGAAGAAGAAGATGATGATGATGATGGTGGTGTTGTTTCTAATAAAGACATAAATGATAATGATAATTATAAATGGGATAGTTAACTGTGGAGAACGAATGTAGCCACAACTAACAATGAAACTTCTATTTAATTTCAAATTTATTCTTACAACTTCAAATAAATGAAATAATATAATCACTAACAATGGTCTATATGACTTTAAATAAATTAATTAAACAACTTTTCTTACTTAATTCGCGGTCGGCCAGAAATATATATTTTAGGGAAAAAAGCTTCAAAATTGTGACTTCCACACAGCCAAAATGTCTTATATTTAAAAAGTAACCATGCTGTCATTGTAATACAAAAATACTATATATATATATATACATATATATGAATATTTACGTATATAATATTTTTATATATGCGTGCGTGTGTGTGTATGTATGTGTGTATGCACGTATGTATAATTAGCAATATTGTATTTTTGCTCGATAATTTAATCTCTTTAACGTCTTTAATCTCTTATATATATATATATATATATATATATATATATATATATATATATATATATATATATTTGTTATTCATTCATTCATTCATTTATTTTTTCATTCATTCCTTGTTTGTCTGTTTGTTTGCCTTTTCGTTCATCCAACCATTCATTCACTCACTCACTCATTTGCCTGTCAGTAATGCCAATTAGAAATAACTACACTATTAAAATCACTGCGACGGCGATGATGATGATGAATCATCATTACCACCCTCATCGTCATCATTATCATCACCGACACACCATCATCCTCATCATTATCATAACCACCCACATCATCATCACCGCCATCATGGCACGGGCGTTTTTCTTTATTAATGTTATCCATTTCTCCCCGAGACAATGATACCGCTAATAAGGAAAAGCGATAATAATAATTAAAAAAAATACTACTACTACTACTACTACTACTACTACTACCACTACCACCACTACTACTACTACTTCTACTACTACTACTACACCTACTGCTGCTGCTACTACTACGATAAAAATTAAACAGCAATAGCAGAACAACAAGCAGAAGCAGCCAATAATATTTTTTTTATTATCATTCAAAACATATTGTTTTTTATTTTCAGACATGTTCCTCAACTAATTCATTGCTGGAAGGGCGTTTTAATAAATTCATTTCTCCATCTTACTTACCAAAATCTTACTCCATCTAGGGACGTAATTACGAGCCCGCTTCGTCATTTGTAACTAGCCAATAAAAATCTTTCGTTTAAAATATTCAGGAATTCTGTCAGCCAATCACGCTCTTTCGTGGTTTACTACTGTTTAGTGAATTATATTATAGCCTTATTGAAGTGAGAATAAAAATTACTGTTGATGTTGTTAATTTAGGAATAGTAGTAGTAGTGGCAGCAGAAGTTGTAGTTGTTGTAGTTGTAGTAGTTGTAGTAGTAGAAGAAACCGTAGTAGTTTCAAAACTAACATTTTAAAATATAATATGTATGTGTATTTTGATTAATGTATAAATATGTATAAACGAAATTATTAATAATTTCATGTTTTATTGTATACATTGTACATATATAACGGTACGCATAAGTATTTTAAGCTGATATATGTTGGCAGAAATTTTGAATGAGGTTCATAACAGCGGCAAAATTCCTTAAATGTTCTATCCAAGTTCATATTTACTGCATTGCCTAAAAAACTCAGTGCAACGGAATGTGAACTACATCGAACAATCAACTCGATGAGTCATCTTACAAAAAATTCTCTTGAGAATTCTGATGATGAAAGCCCGAAGCAGAATCCGAACTGAAATATCAAATGTCCAATGTGGCTTTAGAGAGGATTGTGCCGCAAGTAACGCTATCTTTATGCTACGAATGATCAGTGAACGAGCGACTGGAATGATGAAAGACTTGTTTATATGTTTTGTTGATTACTTCAAAGCTTTTCATAGCGTAAAACGCGTAGAGCTTATGGAAATATTGAAAATTTTTGACATTGATGAAATAGATACGAGAGTTATCAAAAACCTCTATTGGGAACAAGAGCAGCGATGGAAGTTTATTAACGAGATGACTGGTTTTATCGAAATAACGAAAGATGTTACATGTTAGGCATGGCTGTGTATACTCTCCAAACCTGTACAATCTCTATAGTGAGATCATCATGAGAAAGATAGATGATCTACCTGGAATATCCATTGGAGGCGTAAATATTAACGGGAGCAGTTAATGTTTTTTGGTTACACCATGCGGAAAGAAAGAATGGAAAATCTAACAACTACTGGAAAGATTGCAGGAAAAGAGATTGCGGGCAATAACGAATAACATTTGTGAAGTCCTTGTGTCACTTGTTGAATATCACCACATTTCAACTACTACAAAGTGTTAAAGATCGGGTTTTGTGGAGGTCGATGGTCGCCAATGTCCTGAAAGGATAAGGCACGGAGAGGAGAAGGATCATACATTCTAATATAAAGCATTAAACCAAGCGCTTGATAATGAGTGAAATAAATTTAAAATGCTAATACGCTAAAAGTAAACTTAACTCAAATATCTTTGCCGTGTAACAAACATTTTTTAAATCTAACTTTCTTTTATTATGATATAATTATTTTTAATTTGTAAATTATATTTTTATTTAAATATATGCAAATTTTAAATATGTTTGATATGCTTATGCGTATTATCTTAAGACTGAAACTCAACAATGGAAAAAATGTTTTTAAAATTTAGAATTTCAATTTAAAAAAAAATCAATAAAAAATAATTTTATCATTTGCATATTTGTCATAAGTTTTTTTTTATGAAACTCAAATAAATTAATTATTTAGTTGTTAAATAAATTTAATCAATTTTCAATGAAGACGCTTAAAAAACAGAGTAAAAATATGTGAAGAAAGAGTAAAGTTCAGGTCTAACTAACAAGCAAGATCTAATTCTTCATTTATTTTTTAATTATTCAATAAAGTTTTATATTATTAAGTAGTAAGTAACTGAATTAAACTAAACAACATCACACACACTAAATTCAGCAAACAAGTTGATGGCATTTTCCATCTTTGAATCTTCTCTACCTACTTTGAAAATTAAATTAATTAAATCATAGCTCTGTTCTGCTCTAACTATATAATTTTGTTATATTTATATTATATATTATTTTGTATTATATTTTATATTACAGTATTAAAGTTAAGGATTAATAAATTGTAGTTCAAATTATTTTATTTCACCATAGATTAAGTTAGTGAATGGCTACAGATAATTATATATATATATATATATATATATATATATATATATAATAACTATTTAATCTTTCTTGTACACTCAAAGATCTATTGTATGTGTATTAATGTATTATACATCAATGGGGAATGGTAATTGAAGTTGCATATTATGTACACACACACACAAGATATCTACACACATATATATATACACAAACACACATACATACACAAACACACACACACATAAATATATATATATATATATATATATATATATACATTTGACATTTTATTTACAGTTTGCAGAAAATCAGTTAAATATACTGTTTTCATCAACATTATTAAAGTCACACAGTTGCACAGCACATGCATGCGAGCTAATTAGCTTGAGAAGGAGGTGCTTTTAAATAAAAATTTAAAAATATAATTCCAACTGTTTTTTAAATTATAACATTAATGATAATAATAATAAATAAATAAATAAATAATAAATGAATATTAACAATAATAATAGCAAATAATAATAATAATGATAAGATAGCAAAAAAATTGATGATATAGCATCATCAGACTAATTGATTCTCGTGAGATGACAAGAAAAATCATCACATCAACAATAACATTAATAACAACAAATATAATAATAATAATAAATTAATAATAATAATAAGTTACCATCTTCAACGTCATCAAAATGGTCCTAAATAGATACTTCAAGCCTAGAAAATTACTCTTAAGCTTTCTATTCATAATCGGGTTATTAATGCTCTTCGAACTCTGGAAGCTAAACTACTGGCCGCTAGATGGCGCGTTAAGAACGACGGCCATGACGTCACTGAATAATAATAATAATAATATGAACAATATTAATAATAATAATTTTTATGGAATTATGAAGAAGAAATGGGATGAAGATGATGGCATGACAGCTGGTGATAATAAATTCATTGGTAGTGGTAGTACTAGTTACAATAATAATAACAACAATAATAACAATAATTATAATAACAACATCAACAATAATAATAATAAAGAAGTAGATGATAACAGAGTGGTGACAAGTTATATTCACCGTGATGGTGGCATTGTTATTAATAATAATAATAATACTAATAACAAAAACATTAATAAGAAGAATAACAATAATAGCGTTAATAACATTGATAATGTCATCGAAAATAATAATAACAATAATGATAATGATAATAATAATGATGATATCAATAAGAAGAAAAGAATCAAGGAGGATACTAAAGCAATGATCAGCAGCAACAACATCAACAACAACACTAATAGTAATAAAAACAACAATAATAATAAGAATAATAATAATAACAACGACGATGACGACGACGTTGAGTTTGTTGGTAAAAAGGTGAAGAAGAAGATGGGAAAGAAATCTTTTTCTAAAATCAAGTACTATTATATATGTATATATATATATATATATATATATATATATATATACATATAGAGAGAGAGAGAGAGAGAGAGAGAAGAAAAGAGAGAGAAAGATATACCAACAGTAATGGTTATGATGATTGTAAAACACAGAAAGCCAAGAAAAATTTCTTAAAAGCCAGCTATTTGACTTGATTTAACTAGTAAAAGTTTGTAAGGGTAACTAGTAAACTAGTAAAAGTTTGACAGTGTTAATAAATTAAGATGATGGCCAATGTTTTAAAATTTCATTCATGAATAGTAATAATAATTTTAGACATTCTGATTATTATTTTAATTATTGTTATTGTTTGTTTATTATTATTATTTATTTGTTATTTCAGATGCAATATTAATGATCTGTACAATATTGATTGTTACAAAGGCAAGAATTCGTACATTCTCATTCCGTTCGATTTTATTCAGAGCTATTTTGAGGTTGCTATTGTTTGTTTGTTTGTCTGTCTGTTTGTGTGTCTGTCTGTTCGTTCGTTCGTTTGTTTGTTTGTCCGCCGTTAGTGATAATGATTAAGTTACTAATTATTACTGAAGCGTTTTTGGTTTCAATTTTTCACTATCATAGTCTTCTACTTATTGCTATCATCAGCGAAAGTTACTATCACCGTCAAAACCGTCATCTTCATTACGTCATCATCTTTACGTCACCACGATTACGTCACCACCATCATCATCATCATTATCAAGATTAATGGAAGAATGGTGAACAATGGAAGCCAGGTCTTCAAGTGGGAGCATTCAAATGGAAGACTGCACGCTGTTGGTGGCGATGATGACGACGATGGTGGTGGTGGTGTGGTTGATGATGGTCATGATGATGACGACGATGATGGTGATGATTCGGCTGATTGGGGTGTGATGATGAAGATGATTGTGATGATGATGACGATTGTGATGATTGTGATGGTTAGATGATTGCGATGATGATGAAAATACTGATGATGATCTTATAAATAATAATAACAACAACTATAATAATAATAATGATAATAATTCATTCTCGTCACCCTAGGTGTCGCATTATGATGAAGTCATTGAAGCTATCGGCCGCGATAATAATAATAATAAAAAGAAAAATAACAAAAATAACAACAGCAATAATAATAATATTATGGTTAAGCATAATTATAAGCCGGTGGAGAATTTTTTATTCTTCGGTAATTATGACGTTGAATTTAGAGATAGAGTTAAGTGCGTAAGCGCCAGAGATGGTAGGTTTATTATTATTATTATAGTTTATTATTATTATTTTTATAGTTTATTATTATTGTTGTTGTTGTAGATTCCATTACTACCTAGTTATTGTTTAGATAATCGCCATCTTTGATATTATCATCATCATCATTACAGTCGCCGTCATCATTATCATCATCTTCGACACCATCATCATCATCTTCGCCACCATCATCATCATCTCCGTCGTCATTATGACGTCATTGTCATCGTTATGACGTCATTTTGTCATTGATATCACTATCAGGAGTTCCTATCTCGACTCAGTGGGGTGCTCACGGATACCGGTACGTCGTCCAAATCGCTCAGTATGGCCTCAGCCATTACAGTAAACAGAGGATAGAGCACAAACAGCATAGATATGAGAATGGCGAACAAAGATATAAGAGTGATGAGAAAAGAAGCGTGAACGATAAGTTAAACAGGGAGAATGGTAACCAGAGAAATGTAAACGATAAACAAAGAAATGAAAATAATAATCCAAAGAACGATAACGAAAGCGGTTTGAGTGCTGAACAAACAAATGTAAATGGTGAACAAAGACATCTAAGTGATAAACAAAGATACGACAGCAATGATTATAAACAACAACAATATCAGCAACAGTATAACCTAATAGCAAATGATCTTAACACGAAATGGCTCTACGTTAATAACGCTAAAGATGACGATAATAATAATAATAATACTGGATATGACGATGACGATGGTATAGATGATAATGATGATAGTAATAATAAGAATAATAATAAAAACAATAAGAATAATAATAACCACGACCCAAACCTGGGTAGTATTATATTTGTCGGCGAGAGGACCACTGCCGACGATGGTTACATGTTTCATAATAATAATAACAACAATCATAATAATAATAATAACAATAATCATAATAATGATAATAATAATTATCTTAGCGAAGATTTACTCATTCTGAATCATCTCGCCCGTCAAAATGATGAGGATGGTGATAATAATAATAAAAATAATAATAACAGTAATAATAATAGTAATAACAGCAATAATAATAATACCTATGATGATGATGATAATAATAATAATAATGATAATAATAATAAAGATGACGATGGTAACGATAGTTATAGCGAAAAGTTGAGGCTGGAAAGAGCCAACGAAAGCGCTCTTTATGACGCCTTCGTTGGAGGCGCTGGTGGTCGCGACGATGACGACGACGTTCGTAATATTGACAATAAATATAACTATTACAATGATTACAATTACAAGGAGGGCAATAGGGCTAACCACTACTATGGTAATAGTTACAATGGTGCGGCCGCTGGTGGTACCGATGTCCATCATGGCATTGGGGGGAGTAGGGAAGTTGCTAGAGAAGGCAGAGTGCTAAGGGGTAAAAGAGATAATAATAATAATAACATAAATGATAATCATATAGAAGATGACAATGAGAATAATAAAAATGATAATGCTAACAATGGTAATAATAATAATAATAGTAATAATAAAGATAAACCGTACCTACATATCATTTGGTCTCATAAAAACGACAATATCAGAGATACTGATACTTTCAATAATAATAACAATAATAATAATAATAATATCAACAACAGCAACAACGAAAATGACCAAGAGATCCACTTCTACACATCTACAACTATAGACCAGCAACAATTTTACATGTTAAACATTCCCAAGTCGCTATCATCATCATCATCGTCGTCTACGCAATCATCATCATCATCGTCGTCTACACAATCATCATCATCATCATCGTCGTTATTATTTTTTTCATTTGATCTGTTCGCGATGTCCGCTTGCTCCATTACCGCCGTTATTAAAGCTCACGTCGGTCACGTGCTCTACAGAATTCACTACGTCACTCGGGACGATGACGTCACCGTCAATGGGTGAATAGTAGTAGTAGTTGTAGTAGTAGTAGTGGTAGTAGTAGTGGTAGTAGTAGTAGTGATAGAAGTTTCAGTTGTTGTCGTAGCAGTTTTAGTAGTTGTATTAGTAGCAGTTGTAGTAGTTGTAGTAATGATAATGCTGATAGTATATAATAATAATTATTATTATTATATTATTATTATTATTAATTATTTTAGGACAGATATATATTATGGTATGGGTTCTGAATTAGGATGGCATAATTTATCGAGGAACCTTTTTGCTGATCTTAAAATGGTATTTCGATCGCCTTAACTGCGTCATAATTTTATAATTATAAATATAATTATAATAATATCATTCAATATAAATCTAATTATAATAATATCAATCAATATAATCGATAATTATAATTATCGATTGTATTGATAGTATAATTAATTATTATAATTATACTCGTAGTGATTAAAATTTGTAAGAGTTTCCCAAAGCGTGAGAGAGTTACGTTTTCGCGACACGTCAATTTCAGCCTATCGGGCCTCGAGTTGAGAGGCAGTGGTCGAATCTTGAATTTGAAACTGACCAATAACATTCATTCTCAGATTGTATTCCAAGTTTCTGATTGGCTGGTTAAAAAGTAAGTTTTGTATTGTTAGGATCTCTTTTAAATTCTTATCTGTCTGTCTAACTTTCATTCAGTCATTCATTCTTCATTTGTTCAATCGATCGATCTCACCACTTTTAACATCATCACTGCCACCAGTCAGGACCAATATGGCGGCTGGCCGATACCTGTAGAGAGGAAATTCCCGGGTCTAAAAAAGAAACTGAAACCGGGCTGGTACTCGTCAATGGGTCAAGGTCACGCAATGTCTCTCCTATCTAGGTCGTTCGAAACCAGCCGCGACTTGACCTATTTAAGAGCGGCATTTCGAGCAGCGACGCCGTTTCTAGTGGCCGGAAAAGACGGCGGCGTTTTGGCGTATTTGTTCGGGAAGCTTCCATGGTACGAGGAATACCCAACCGTGCCGTCGACCTTCGTTCTGAATGGGTTCATGTACGCCTTGTTCGGCCTCTACGATCTGGCCGTTACATTAGAGAATTTAAGATTTGGCGGTGAGGCCTTGAGCGATGATGGTGATGGTGGTGGCGGGGGTTATAATTATAATGAGGTGAGGTTCAAAGGTCGAAAGTTCAAGGTGAAGGTTGGCGGCGGTGCTGGTGGTCCGGAGGATGGCGAGAGCGTTGAAGCGATTGATGATGCCGAGTTGCTAAGGTTACTACTCTCCAGTGATGAAGACGATGATGAGGGTGGCAATATTGATAATAATAATAATAATCACCAAAATAATAATAATAACATTGGTGACAGCAACAACGGTGATAACAAAAACAAGATAGAATCAGACATAATTCAAAGGTCGAGGCACTTACTATCGAGTAACAACGACGACAACAACAACAACAATAATAATAATAACAACAATAATAATAATAATAACAACAATAATAATAATAATTACGTTTCGCAAGAATCATTCCACCGACCACAAACAACGACAACATTGCCAACGAATCAGAGACAGCACCACCAACAGTATTCGACAAAACCGACAGCCGAGAAACCGACAGACGAAAAATCGACCGATTTTGCCGCAGCTAAACGAAGCCTTACACTAACTACACCAAGCCAGCTATTCGAAGTCGGTATGCGGACACTCGGTATCGCATTACCGCTATTCGATACCGGATCCGGATCCTTTTACGATCTCAATCACTTTACACACCCGGGAGTCACTCCCAATCTAGCGCGCTGGGACTACCATACAACACACATCAATCAGTTCATGATGGCGTCGTTGATATGTAACTACCGTAGTCACTGTGGTAGCGGCAATAGCAACAGTGGCAGTAGTAGTAGCGGCAGTAACAACAGTGGCAGTAGTAGTAGCAGCAGCAGAAAGAATAGTAATACTGGGGACCATATCGAGAGTAGTGGTAATAATATTATTGATTATATCAAAAATAATTGTAGTTATAATGTTCTAAGTTATAATTATAATATTAATAAAAGAAGGATCGTTGAGGTTCAGAGCGTGTGTTGGAAGGTTTTTAATAAGTTTATAAATCGGTGGAGTAAATACTTGAAAGGGTTTAGGGCAGAGCATAATTGATTGGTTGATTAATGATTGGTTGATTGATGATTGGTTGATTGATTGATTATTGGTTCGTTGATTGATTGGCTCGTTAGTGATTGGTTGATTGCTTTATGATGAACAGTTGGCTTGTTGGATATTATTGATCGATTGGTGATTGGTTGTTGATTAACTGAATGAATGAATGATGTTGATTAACGATTGATTGAACTGATGAACGACACCATTATGTTAATTATACCAAATCAAATAAAATTTTAAAAAAAGTAGAGAATAATTTATTTGTAATGGTTGATTTCGTATGTTTTGTTATCAGTAAATGTACACACACATACGCACAAACACAAATATATTATATTTATTATTATATTAAATCATGTTATATTATGTTGCCGCAATTGTTTAACCATTATATTCCAAGAACATTTGTATATATTTTATAAATTTGTTTAAATGTATGTATGAATGTGTGTAATATATATATATCTGTGTGTTTGTTTGTTTATTCTTTTAATCATTCATATCAAGATAGTTATTATATATACGTATGGGTCGATCGATCTCTTGCTATTATTATTATTACTATTATTGTTATATGTTTTAATGTTATTTTTTGTTATAATGGTTATATGCACTATTTTATTTATATACACATATGTACACACATGTATACTTATCTTATCTCTATCTTTCTGTGTTCTCTCTTATAATCGAAATGTTAAATTGGAATTTAACTAACGCCGGATATGCTACTATTTTCATCAATAATTGCATATATATATTTATTTATTTATTTAATATATATATGATATATAATATATATATTCGTTCGTTCGTTGTCAGTTGCATTTAATATTTCGTTTTTTTCTCGGATTTTTTTTCTGGCAATTTTGGTATTGCTTCGTCCAGAAAATTCAGGTGAGTGTTTTTTTTGTTTTTTAGAGATATTAAATTTAATGGTTTAATTCGCATTATTTATTTTCGTTTCTTGTGCGTTACAGTTGTTCGAACTTAATACCCGTCGCCTTCAGTACAATACAGTTATACAGACTTGTCAAGGGGTCGGCTACAACAATACACAGTGTGCAGCTGTATACAAGTTTATGGGAGTAAAACTAGTAAGCTTTACTTTGTTTTCCATTTTCATAAAATTTATTTAATTAGTTTCAACAATGTTCAGTAAAAATAAAATAACGCTAATTTACAAACTCTTCAAAGCATCAAATATCTATGTTTTTTTATAAAATAATATAAAAACTTACAAATGTTAGGATTATTAGGCTGTTTAAATAATTTTTGAGGAATGTTCAGCTGCTAAAATGTAATGTCTGTCATTTAGTGTTATAGTCTGAAGCAGTCCCGCACACCATCATGCCATTTGCAGTTTTCAAATGAGAGGAGAGGCTTCTTGGCTTGGTTATTTGTGTTGTCACCCGTGTAATCAGCGAGATTAACATCGTCGTGGATGCAATCAATTCCCTCTTAACCAGTGGCGGAATATCAGGAGGCATAAACTCTTTTTTTCAACGCTGCGTATTTGAGTACAAAAACAGAAGGTAACGCAGATACATGAACTGTTTACACTTTTTAGCTCTGGCTGCATCATCAACAGGTAGATGCTTTAGCCGGTCACAAATGAATGAAGGATAGGTCTTATTGCTGTTCCACTAGGTGATGAGTTTGACGGTAGACTCTCAGCGCCACTTATAATTTGATTCATTGGATAAATGTCCTGGACCTTTTATGCATTCAAGTTGTGCTTCGGCAAGTAATCCAGTGAAGAGTCTGAGTTTTTAGCATTATCAGCGTCCTCAACTTTAAATCCATCCATTTCAATCTTCGAGTTGTTGATTGCAGCCCCTTTGTTCATTTTTTTTCTTCCTCTTAATTGAATAAACTCATTTCAAAATAGTTTGCGTCTAAAATCTGCAGCTTGTTCTTCTTATTATATATGCCGACATAGTGCTTGCATGAATTAAGACCTGAGAATGACTCTTTGCTGTCCAAGAAGACTGTATATTTAACTTTAGAGTCAGACGTGGTACATTTTAATTTCCTCTGTCGTTTTTTTAGGATCTAATAGGCTGTACGAATTTTTCTTGTTCCGACTATCCTTACGCACTTTCCTGCTTTTGAATTCTCCGAGATTTCTTATGTCGGCAGATCTTTTCTTTCTTCTACTCAACTGAATCCTCTCATCTTCATTTTGCGAATGAAACATGGCGACCAGGAAGGCCTGGTTTCGTGGACTGGTCCTCGGGTTGTTTAGTTGAACGCCGATTGATGATGGGTACCATCTGTAAATGTTTATATGGTGTGAACTGTTAATGGATCTTGTGGTCAGTATCTTCAAGTAAGCTTTCTTAAGCTTGTACGTCGTGGGTATTTTGCTTAAAATGAACGTCAAGTTCGTGACTGGAGATGGTCGGTAGGCTGATCTCATGCTGTAACTTCTATCGGCGAGACAGACTGTTGTCAGAATTTCGAAGGGTTTTCTAGAAAATTGGATCGAATTCGCTTTCTAAGCTTCTGTCGATGTTGCTGTTTTTGTTTTTATCGTAATTCATTATGAATTTTAATTGCACATTCAACATCAAACAAGAAAATTGGGGAAAGAAAATGCCAGAGCAATCGGCGGATATTTTATATTTTAAACTTTTAATTTTTAAACGCGGAGATAGTACGATCGATTATTTACATTAAAATTATATTATCGGATGTGAAGTGAAATTAAAAATGCCTTCCAAATGACTGTTGAACCAATCAGATATTTGAAATAATTGATGCCAAATCAGTAAATAACATTCAACATCAATCCATTCAGGTGAGGACAAAGTGATTGATGGTTCTAAGGATCATCACTGATATCATTATATTTTTGGCTGGTTTGACCATCATTATCAACGTTATTGTTAATATTATTATTATTGTCAATAATAAAAAAGGCATCATCACTGAATTCATTATCATTATATTTTTTACTTGATTCTGCGTCTTCGACCATCCATACTTTCAGATTGTTGGTCTCATCCTTATGCCCTTTCAATATTTTCCAGACCTTTCTCCATTGAATGAATATGCAGATGTCATTTTTGCAGGCCGCATAGACAAACTTGCTGTCAGTTTTTAGGCAAGTTCTTCATCTTCTTCTTTAGCCTGTTATTAACTATTACTAGTAATGGCCAACATCGTCGTGGCATTCGTCAACTCCATATGCATTCTCCTTAACTTCATCATCATCGATTTCATCGTACTGACCGCAATGTTATTTTCTGGGTGTTTTCCCCTTCTGGCTCAGAGACGTAGCACTCATAGAATCCAGCCAGGAATGTGTAAGATCCCACACCGATTCCGATTTGAGTCATCGAGAAACGAATCGGTGCGTGTGGTGGCCTCACTGTTGCCAGCCGTTTCGGTTTGGTTCGCGTCATGTAGCGGAAAGCTGAATGAAGGAATAAAATAAGGTCTGAGAAAATTTTTCATATTTGTTGAAATATATCTTTCAAATATGTAACAACAAATATATCTAGAGAACAACGAATTTCACATTTAACAATCAAGCAACATGTGGACGGCTGACAAAATACCACAAACATTTTGAGCCGTGGACGAACAAATGAATACAAACAAAGAAACAAACAAACATGCATACACCCGACAAACAAACAAACACAGACAAACATACACTCAGAAAACAAACAAAAATTGAACATTGAAGAAACACTCCCAGATTAAGATACAACCAGGAAACAAATGATTAGACAATACACAAACAAGCATGTGAATAACATGTGACCAACATGTGACAAACTATATACAAACAAACAATAGACATACAAAAGAAAAAAATACAAACGCGAAACAACTCTAAAAATCAACCGCCAAACAAACAAATCGATCAACAATATACGAAACAATTCTGAAAGAAACACGTGCCAAACATAGTAATTAAACAACAACAAAATCACCATTCGTTCATTCAGTTACTAAAATTTAATTTTTAACATAAATGATTTGTAAAGAATGCATTAATTCATTCGTAATTCTTTTGTGCATAAAAATTCATTCAACAATCTTTCAAATATTGATGCATTGATTTATTCATTTCGTTTCATTATTTAGAAAATTCAATTTTCAACAAATATCAAAAGAAATGCCAACGTAAAGAACCCATTAAATCGTTAATTCGTGCATCCATCCATGAATTAATTCAGTCATTTAGAATTTATATCACCAATAATTAATTTATTAAATCAAACAATTTAATTCATACCTTTTTTTCTCTCTTTCAAGGAAAGCTTTAACACGTTCAACGCAATTCATTTTTCCTGCAAATAGAAAAGGACAGACTCGTACGATCGGAGGGCTTATATACGAACTGTCAGCCAAGTTTCTTTGTCTACTACGTGCCGGTCAAACAACAACAACCACAACGACAATAAAAATTCAACTGTGGATAATGATACCATGTGAATCGTATACATTTCTATACTATATATGCATATTAAACTCATATGAACAAGGGTATTATAATGTATTTCATATATATTTCATATATCATACACATTATCTATATACATTTCATATATGATACACATATCAATATACATTTCATCTCTCGCTCTCTCTCTCTCTCTTTCTCTCTCTCTCTCTCTTTCTGAATATATAATAGGTAAACGTAGGCTCACACACCCACAAACACACACACACGCACAAACACAAAATTTGCTAATTTTTATTAACAAAGATGACCTTGCATGTACGTATATACTGAATGTACTTTGTGTATGAACTGCTTATTATTATTGATGGGTAGATCTATAAAAAGCATGTATTTATTAAATTATTAAATGTTATACATTGTTACATACACACACACACACACACAAACACACACTCTTTCTCTCTCTCTCTCTCTCCCTCGCTCACACGCACACACATGCACACACATATACACACATTTCCCTAAAATACAAAACAAGCAATGTTTATTTGTTGATATAAACAATTTTTACAGCTGCGTAAGCTGCTTGGACTCGCTGCTGATTTCTGACTAATTAGCTACCAGGCTTGCTTGTAAATAGCTACAACTATAACCTTGTCATCCAGTATACTCCTAGATATGGCACGTTAAACATCCGTACCGTCCATATGATTTAATATAATAAACCAAAGAACCAATGAAATTATTTGGATTAATCTTATGAAAACTGAAAATCGGAGGCTATTAACGCTAAAACATTCGATCAAATACATACGTATACAATTTTATCACATTACTTCACCCAACGAAATGAAACATTAGTATCAAATAAGACCTCGATTATAAAAATAGGAATATTAAGTTCGCAGTTAAATATCTACCTTGCGGTATTTCGTTTCCATAATAATAACCAGGTTGAAACGCAATAGAATGACAAATATTATTTATTATTTTTACGATTTTTAACACTTTTTACGACTCGGGGAGAATTTTTTTAAAATTTGTGTTTCCTTTCTTTGGTCATAATGTCTGGGCGACGACCTTTCCTGGCGAACATGCTCTTGCGGGCCGCATGAAATATTTCATAGTTTTCATAATAATAACCACGATAGGACGTGAGAGACGTATATTTCATTTTCTATTATCGCATATTTCAGGCGCAATAACGCACAGGCAGTACATATTCTAGACGGGAATATCTTTGCAATCGAAGTCTGTAACAGCAAGGAAGGATCAGCAGTAATTGTAGTCGCCTCAGCAACGGCTTGAGTAGTAGCAGCTGCAATGGTAGTAGCAGTGACTGACTCTCGCCTAAGGATACCATTTCAACCGACCCACAAGACACGTGTATGATAATAGTTCATTGAAAAAGAATCACATAAGACAATCTTTATTTACATTAAAACATACATAATACTTTACAACATACACATATATACATATATTTATAATACATAGATAGATATATATATATATAAGTTTAACACTTATATATATATGTGTGTGTGTAAATATATGTATATATAGCTCATTATAGCAATAATGTAGTTCATCATATTCATTACATTACAAGACATCTGGAATTATGACTTGATGGAGTTATGGAGAGGACGTCGTTATCTTCAGCGCTGCAATCGTCGATCTCAACAACGATGTAATCTTCTTCATCTTTTTCTTCATATTTTTTTTCATCTTTTTCGCCATCATTTGGGACATCATCAGCTGCACCACCATCAGCAACTGGACAACCATTATTTGCTGCGTCGCCATCATCGTCACCAGAACCACTAGATTCAAAACAACCAAATTCAGAACTACCAAATTCAGAACCACTAGATTCAGAACTACAAAATTCAGAGCTATCGTCGTCAGAATCATCACTGTCAGAGCTATAGGATTCACTGGAGTCGTCATCACTTTCACTTGATGAAGACGATTCAACCTGAAAATGATAATATGTACTAACAATAACACACTATGTACTCACTCACATACACTCGAAGCAATATACGAGGCAACATTAAGCTAAGGGATGGCTATTAAACAACATTCCCAAACCTCATCTAGGTTTACGTTCACAGCTGACGATGACGACAAAATGGCTTCCGCTGTAGTTGATTGTTGTTGATGATACATGAATAAGCAGACATTATCGTCGTCGGCCTTCAAATCCAATTGGTTGCAAAGCTCTTCATATTTCTTTCGTATATTTTTTGTCATCTCAACATTTTTCTTTTCTATTAATAATCCTGGTGTTGTGGTAATTTCTTGTTTTTCATTCATAGCGGCTGCTTCTACTGCTGCTTCTTCAGCGGTTGTTGCTTCTAGCTTTGTAGCCACATCATTTTTTAAATCATTACCATCGCGACCATCTGCTGACTCAGTCTGTTAGGATGGAGGAATTAATTATTAATCGAAACATTGAAACACACACACACACAATCATATAAACTAATATTAATTTTACATAACTGAATAACTATTAAAGAGAGTTTTTAAACAAAAACCTTATCTGATGGTGTTATTGCTGCTGTTGCCGTAACATTCTCAACATTATCTTGTACAGCTGCTGATGCTATCAAGGAATTTTCTGCATTGGATGTCGCCAAAGAATCTTCTGCAGTTGACGCCATCGAAGTGACTTCTGCCGCAGTTGATATAAAAACGTCTTCGCTAGCTAATATGTAAGAGTCATCGGCTGTTGAATCAAATGACGTCGAAAAGAAGTCTGCCGATGTTGGCGTTATCAGAGGTGCGGGGAGCATTAATTCTGAAGTTGGCGTCAAATAAATTTCCTGATAATTATCTGTTGGTTGGTCGACATAGCAGAGGTAGTAGCCACGAGGGAGAGGGTAATATGAGGTTTGATCCTCTGGCAGAATTGAAAGTTGGAGAACTTTCTCACCCGAATGATGGGCCGGTTCACCATTGTGAACACGTGGTGGTTCTACTAAGACGCCACCCTCCTTCTGCCTGGCTTCATTATTATCGATCTCTTGATTATTCGACATATTTGGTGTAGATTGTAGATCTGGAATTTTATTTGATTATATTACAGTATATTATAAATTTAAATATATCGATTGAATAAAATTAAACATCTTATTACTGAATATTAGTGATAATTTAGTTTAATGAATTAAATAAAAAAAGTGCAACGATCATACGTATAAGCACACAGCACACGCAAACTACAAAACAATGAAAATCATTCCTTCAGTTTTTATTGTTATTAAATTTATTCCTCAAATGAACTACCTAAAAATCAAGTTATTATTTTTAAGATTTAATTGCCAATTTTTTCATCTATAAGTTAATTAATAATGTTAATAACTAACATAAAACATATTAAATATACCATGTAAAATAACTACCCCAGTCGGTCTTGGAATCAAAGCGAACCAAAACGAAAATTTGGACTCTATATATCAGGCAGATCAAGCAATCGAAGCAATGAAATTGCATATGAACTCTATACAGATGCTATACATTTAAATACAAAATATAAACATAAAAGATTGTAAATATATATGCAAACACATGTGCGTACTATATTGTAAACACGTGTGTGTGTATACGTATTCATGTGTGTGTTCATGTTCATGTTTATCAGTTGATATAAGCAATAGTTCCAACAGCTGTTAATGCTCGTTGCTGAATTCTGACTCGGATCCACCAGGCTAGCTTGAAAATAGTCACACAAATATACGCAACTTGGTAAGCACATGTGTCTGCGTATAAATTTACAACCTTATACGTATAGAGTTCATATGCAATTTCATTGTTTCGATTGTTTGATCTATGCTTGCTTGCGCCTGACTGCTATATATAGAGTCCAAACGTTTGTATGGGTTCACTTCGATTCGAAGTCTGGCTTGGACGTGATTTTTGCGTAGTTAGTTTGAAGAATAAATTTAATTATAATAGATAACTGAAAGCATTTTTTCCATTTTTTTGTAGTTTGCGTGTGTTGCGTGCTTTTAAGTATGATTGTTGCACATTTTTTTATTTAATTCATTAAACTAAATTATTACTTAATATTCAGTAATAAGATATTTAATTTTATTCGATCGATATATTTCAATTTTTAATAAAATACAAGGTCTACAATCTGCATCAAATATGTCGAATAATCAAGAGATCGATAATAATGAAGCCAGGCAGAGGGAGGGTGGCGTCTTAGTGGAACCACCACGTGTTCACAATGGTGAACCGGAGCATCATTCGGGTGAGAAAATTTTCCAACTTTCAATTCTGTCAGAGGATCAAACTTCATATTATTCTCTCCCTAGTGGCTACTACTTTGGCTATGTTGACCAACCAACATATAATTATCAGGAAATTTATTTGAAGCTAACTCCAGAAGACTTCATTCCGACGCCATTTGATTCATCAGCAGATGACTCTTACATATCAGCTAGCGAAGACGTTTTTATATCAACTGCGGCAGAAGTCACTTCGATGGCGTCAACTGCAGAAGATTCTTTGGCGACATCCAATGCAGAAAATTCCTTGATAGCATCAGCAGCTGTACAAGATAATGTTGAGAATGTTACGGCAACAGCAGCAATAACACCATCAGATAAGGTTTTTGTTTAAAAACTCTCTTTAATAGTTATTCAGTTATGTAAAATTAATATTAGTTTATATGATTGTGTGTGTGTGTGTTTCAATGTTTCGATTAATAATTAATTCCTCCATCCTAACAGACTGAGTCAGCAGATGGTCGCGATGGTAATGATTTAAAAAATGATGTGGCTACAAAGCTAGAAGCAACAACCGCTGAAGAAGCAGCAGTAGAAGCAGCCGCTATGAATGAAAAACAAGAAATTACCACAACACCAGGATTATTAATAGAAAAGAAAAATGTTGAGATGACAAAAAATATACGAAAGAAATATGAAGAGCTTTGCAACCAATTGGATTTGAAGGCCGACGACTTTGTCATCTGCTTAACCATGTCGTGTGATTATCATTGGTATCATCGTTTTTCTTCGATTTACTGCTCCCACAAATCTAGAAATGAAGAGGTAGAACAAAAAATAAGCATGATATTTGCAAAATATCGACATGATGATGAAAATCTAGAGAATGTATTCAAAGAAATTAAAAGTTTGGAGAAAATTTATGATATATGCGTGGACAAATTAACTATCGAAGTCATAGAAGCAACAAAAGTTCTTAAATCAAGTATAAGTAAGTATTTTGTTGTTCGTTTGTAGGAATGTGTGCATCTATGTATGTGTGTACGTACGTACGTATGCGTCTCTATGTATGTATGTATGTAGTATGTACGTATATTCAGCTAAAATGTACATATTTGGTGTGTGTGATTGTGTAAATGTATGTGTACGTATGTATATGGAAGTGTGTTTGTATGTGTATGTATGTCACTGTCATACAAATGATGTTTTTACAATTATGAAAATAATTTTTATAATTAATTATTTAAAATATAGTGGAGCCCGCGAAGCACTCGTGTTCGATGTGCAAAAGATCCACAGTGATGCGTGCTAGCGTCTTAAAAGAGGTGAAGCCTACATCAACATTGGCCCCAGTTACATCAGCAACATTGGAGACATCAATAACAAGAGAAATGACGTCATCAACAACAGCGGAAGCCATCTTTACGTCATCGTCAGCAGTGAACTGTACGTTAGATGAGGTTTGGGATGAGGCAGCAAATAATGGTGGTGCAGCTGATGAGGTCGCTGCTGATGATGGTTCATCAGCTGATGACGCCGCTGCTGATGCTGCAGATAATATTTATAATGGTGGTGCCGATGACAGAGCTACATCAGCGACAATTGATACAAGAGATTATACAAAAAATGAAAATAATCTGGCCGACTTTGACGTTTATAACTCTAATAATATTGCAAGGTGTGAAGACGACGAATGTCCTGTTAAAGATAATGATACAACATCCATGACTTTGTGGCGCCAGAGTAGGGATGATTATGGTATCGACGGTGATGACGACAAAACAAATGAAGATGAAAAAGATAAAAAAGAAGATAAAAAAGATGATGAAGAAGAAGAAGATAAAAAAGATGATGATGAAGAAGAAGAAGATAAAAAAGATGATGAAGAAGAAGAAGATAAAAAAGATGATGAAGAAGAAGAAGAAGATAAAAAAGATGATGATGAAGAAGAAGAAGATAAAAAAGATGATGAAGAAGAAGAAGATAAAAAAGATGATGAAGAAGAAGAAGAAAAAGAAAATGAAGAAGAATACGTCGTTGTTGAGACCGACGATTGCAGCGCTGAAGATGACGACGTCCTCTCCATAACTCCATCAAGTCGTAGCGACTCTGATTGTTCTCAATGTCTTGTAATGTAATGAATATGATGAACTACATTACTGCTATGATGAGCTATATATACATATATTTACACATATGTATGTGTTAAATATATATATATATATATAAATATATATATATAAATAATTATGTATTATAAATATATGTATATATGTGTATGTTGTAAAGTATTATGTATGTTTTAATGTAAATAAAGATTGTCTTATGTGATTCTTTTTCAATGAACTATTATCATACACGTGTCTTGTGGGTCGGTTGAAATGGTATCCTTAGGCGAGAGTCAGTCACTGCTACTACCATTGCAGCTGCTACTACTCAAGCCGTTGCTGAGGCGACTACAATTACTGCTGATCCTTCCTTGCTGTTACAGACTTCGATTGCAAAGATATTCCCGTCTAGAATATGTACTGCCTGTGCGTTATTGCGCCTGAAATATGCGATAATAGAAAATGAAATATACGTTTCTCACGTCCTATCGTGGTTATTATTATGAAAACTATGAAATATTTCATGCGGCCCGCAAGAGCATGTTCGCCAGGAAAGGTCGTCGCCCAGACATTATGACCAAAGAAAGGAAACACAAATTTAAAAAAAATTCTCTCCGAGTCGAAAAATGTGTTAAAAATCGTAAAATTTAAAATGAATGAATTTGATTGTTGGCATTTCTCATAAATAATATTTATTATTCTATCTAAAACAAGGCTGGGCAAACTTTTTGCTGTGTAGGGCCGCATTGAAAACTATTTTACCCTTGAAGGGCCGCATATGTAGCAAATTTTTCTTATACCGTAAATATTAATTCTAATATTATAAATAATTAAAAATTAATTATAAATATTATAGATATCCCGACGTAACATCGAGGTGTAGGTAGGACGATAATTTCTTTGAATGAATAAATATGAGATGACCATTTTATGTGTGACTATTTTCAAGCTAGCTGCTGGAAATTTGAAATTGCTTGTATCAACTGATAAACATGAACACATACAGGAATACATGTGTTTGTGTGTGTGTGTGTATATATATATATATAACATTTAATAAATACATTTCTTATGTTGATATCAACAAATAAACATTGCTTGTTTTGTATTTTATGGAGATGTGTGTGAACGTGCTGTGATATATATCTCTCATATATTTCCATATCTTTTTCTCTTGCACTGGTTACTTATAAAATATAGAATAATTTTTAAAATTTGCATATTATGTATAAGTCACAATCTAAATTATTTCCTGAGTACTTATCAGATATATTAATTGAAGCTAAACGCCCCTGTTTACGATCTTCTTCTTGTTCTCACCTCTTCTTAACTCGTGTTAAACACTCTTCTGCCAAATCTACTTTTGCTTTTTCTGGTCCTTTTCTCTGGAACCCTCTCCCTACTTCTCTGACTACTTCTCCATCACTTACGAAGTTCAGAGCGGATCCCAAAACCCATCTGTTTTCAAAATTCATTGAGGAGCGCTTTATAAACTAATTGATTGATTGATTGATTGGTTGATTGATTGATGATTTTCACCAATAAGTGCATTTCTGACAGTCTTAAAGCGATGTATATATGATGAAACGTATGAAATTGTATACAAATACATAAGAATACCTTTGTCTTTTATGTGTACAAGGTATAACCTGATGTATAATATAGACACATGTGTATAATATATGAAAATGTATACGGATATATGTGTATCATATATGAAATGTAATATAGATATATGTGTATCATATATGAAAATTTATATAGATATATGTGTATCATATATGAAATGTATATAGATATATGTGTATCATATATGAAAATTTATATAGATATATGTGTATCATATATGAAATGTATATAGATATATGTGTATCATATATGAAAATTTATATAGATTAATGTGTATCATATATGAAATGTATATAGATATATGTGTATCATATATGAAATATATATGAAATACATTGTGATACCTTTGTTCACATGAGTTTATTAAGCATAGGACGTATAGAAATGTATACGATTCACATGGTATCATTGTCCACAGTTGAATTTTTATTGTCGTTGTGGTTGTGGCTGTTGTTGTATGACCGGCACGTAGTAGACAAAGAAACTTGGCTGACGGATGGTATATAAGCCCTCCGATCGTACGAGTCTGTCCTTTTCTATTTGCAGGAAAAATGAATTGCGTTGAACGTGTTAAAGCTTTCCTCGAAAGAGGTAAAAAAGGTATGAATTAAATTATTTGATTTAATAAATTAATTATTGGGTGAATAAATTCTAAATGACTGAATTAATTCATGGATGGATGCACGAATTAACGATTTAATGGGTTCTTTACGTTGGCATTTCTTTTGATATTTGTTGAAAATTGAATTTTCTAAATAATGAAACGAAATGAATAAATCAATGCATCAATATTTGAAAGATTGTTGAATGAATTTTTATGCACAAAAGAATTACGAATGAATTAATGCATTCTTTACAAATCATTTATGTTAAAAATTAAATTTTAGTAACTGAATGAACGAATGGTGATTTTGTTGTTGTTTAATTACTATGTTTGGCACGTGTTTCTTTCAGAATTGTTTCGTATATTGTTGATCGATTTGTTTGTTTGGCGTCTTATTATTTTTAGACAGGTTTGCTTGTGTTTTGTCTAATCATTTGTTTGCTGGTTGTATCTTAGTAACTGAGGGTTTCTTCAATGCTCAACTTTTATTTGTTTTCTAAGTGCATGTTTGTCTGTGTTTCTTTGTTTGTCAGGTGTATGCATGTTTGTTTCTTTGTTTGTATTCATTTGTTCATCCACGGCTCAAAATGTTTGTTGTATCTTGTCAGTCGTTCACATGTGGCTTGATTGTTAAATGCGATATTTGTTGTTTTCTAGATATATTTGTTGTTACATATTTGAAAGATATAATTCAACAAATATGAAAACTAATCTCAGGCCTCATTTTATTCATTCATTCAGCTTTCCGCAATATAACGCAAACCAAACCGAAACGGCTGGCAACAGTGAGGCCACCACACGCACCGATTCGATTCTCGATAACACCAATCGGTATAGGATCTTACACATTCCCGACTGGATTCTACGAGTGCTACGTCTCTGAGCCAGAGGGGGAAAACAACGCACAGAAAATAACTCTCCTGCCTACTAATAAAACACTTTTTTCTGCATCTGAAGTACCAGTCACAGCAGAAATAACAGTAACAACAGTAGAAGAAGCCGCCACGGAAGCCGTAATCGCAAGTTGCAGTCATAACGATGATGATGAAGTTGAGGAAAATGGATATGGATACGACGATTATTACGACGATGTTCGCCAGTACTATGACGATTATGATAATGATTATGACGATGATTATGAAAATGATTACCACGTATATGAATACGATGATAATGATTATGATGATAATGATTATTACGAAGGCGTTGAAGACTGTGATAACGATGTTGGTGATAATATATCTGTGATAATTAAAAACGACGAAGGCAACGACAACAACAACAACAGCAAAAATGATGGTGACCAGAATGATGATGACGATGAAAATAACGATAACAAGAGTGATAATGAATCTGATGATAATAATAATAATGATGATGATAACGATAAAATCAACAACAAAGATAATGATAATGAAGAATTTGTTATTATTGACAATGACGGTCAAACCAACAAAAAAGATAAAAATGAATTTAGTGATGATGACTTTGTTATCATTAATAACGATGATGATAACGATAAAATCAACAACAAAGATAATGATAATGAAGAATTTGTTATTATTGACAATGACGGTCAAACCAACAAAAAAGATAAAAATGAATTTAGTGATGATGACTTTGTTATCATTAATAACGATGATGATAACGATAAAATCAACAACAAAGATAATGATAATGAAGAATTTGTTATTATTGACAATGACGGTCAAACCAACAAAAAAGATAAAAATGAATTTAGTGATGATGACTTTGTTATCATTAATAACGATGATGATAACGATAAAATCAACAACAAAGATAATGATAATGAAGAATTTGTTATTATTGACAATAATAATAACAATAACGATGATGAAGAAGATTTCGATGATTGTAACGATGAAGATGAGGATATCCTCTCCGCAGCTCCGACAAGTTATAACGATACAACGACGATGAATAATAACAGCACTAGCAGTTCACAGTGCCTTTTAATGTAATAAATATGATAAAAAAACGTTATTGCTATGATGATGAGTTATATTTACATGTATATGTATATATATTTATATATCAATGTATAATAAATATATGTATATATGTTTATGCAGTAAAGTGTTATGTATGTTTTAGTGTAAATATAATACATTTTAATGTAATGTCTTGTGTAATTAATTAAGTTTTCTCGTGGTTATTATGAAAACTAAGAAATATGAAATATTTTATGAGGCCCGGGTCGAAAAAATTTGCTATCTAAGTACATATGCGGCCTTTCAAGAGTAAATAATTTTCAATGCGGCCCCAACAGCCAAAAGGGGTGGGCAATCTACCGTCTGCGAGACTATTTTAAGAGGCCTGCGAAGCCTTGTTCTCCAAAAGAAGTCGTCAGCCAGATATGACCAAGAAAGAAACCACAAATCATAAAAATTTGTTCCCCGGGTCGAAAAAATTTTGCCAGGTACATATGCGGCCCCTCAAGAGCAAAACAGTTTTCAATGCGGCCCTCACAGCAAAAAATTTGCCCAACTCTGTTTTAGATAGAATAATAAATATTATTTAGGAGAAACGCCGACAACCGAATTCATTTATTACAATTTTTACGATTTTTTAACGAAGTACGTTACACAAAAAACGAAATATAACTATCAAACAAGACGACGAATATAAAGATAAGTCTAAGGCGTTTGTGGTTAAACAGCTAAATATGATCTTTCATTATATTTTCATTCATGAAAATAACTATGCTAAAATATAATAAATGGAAGAATTATTTTTTCCATTGCAGGTTTTTTAAAACACACACACACAGTATATACAGCCTATAAGGAAATATCTTTGCGATTAAAGACAGTAACAGCAAGGCAGGATCAGAGGTAGCAGTAACTGTAGTAGCTTCTGCAACGGCATCACTTTTTGTATTTATTTTCTCATGTATTTGTTTAATTTTGTTCTACTGCCTTGCATGTTGTTACAGTTTCTGCGTCTGTCAGATCCTGATTTTTAAAGAATAAAAAAAAAGCTACAACAGTAGTAGCAACAGTAACCTTATCTTGCATACGGAAACCATTACAACCAACAACGCAAGACGCATATACGAAAAACCTTTATTAATAAAGAATCACATATGGCTGACATTATGCATGAATTTTATCGTTTCAATTGTCTTCAATAGTATGAATTAAATTATGAATTTAATTAATGAATTATGAATTAAACGTGTCTATAATACACACATATATAAAATACACATAAAAAATATAGCAACATCATAGCAATAATAATAATAATACATAATCATTACATTACAAAACAATGAGAACCGGCATTTTTAGAATTTTCACTATTACCAATCGTTGCATCGTTATTATCATTATTATTACTATTATTATTACTGTTATTATTATTACTATTATTATTATCATTTTCATCGTCACTTTGACATGGCAGATCTATCAAACTCATGCGTGGAATGTCGTCATTTTCAACGAAGTCAACAGAGACATAACCACTGAATGCCTCCATACTCTTATACGAAGGATATTTAACGGAGTCATCTTTTGTATCAGCATCATCTTTTGTATCGGCATCATCTTTTGTATCAGCATCATCTTCTGTATCATCATCTTTTTCATCAAAACTTTTATCATTATCGTTTTCATCAACTTTTTTATCATTATCGTCACTATAATTTTTTCTTTCATCCTTAGTTTCATCATCTTTTGTATCATCATCATTTATAACATCATCTTTTGTATCATCATTTTCATCAACTCTTTTATCATTATCGTCACTATCATTTTTTGTATCATCATCATCATTTATATCACCATCTTTTGTAACATCATCTTTTTTATCATCATCCTTTTCATCAACTTTTTTATCATTATTGTTACTATCATTTATAGTTTCATGTTTTGTTTCATCATCTTTTGTATCATCATCTTTATTATTAATACCACCATCACCATTCTTAGTAAGACGTAACGTAGTCATATCATCACATTTCCCCCCATCAACCTTCTTATCATTATAGTCACCACCATTTTTTGTATCACCTTTTCCGCCTTTCTTATCATTACCGTCATAATCATTTCTCCAAAAACCGCGACTGGTCGAAGATACCGTGGCATCAGCGCTATAAACTTTACCCCGATGTACATTCTGATCTATTTCATCATGTTCATCATCCTCACTACTAAAATAGTCGTCGTCGTCATCTTCGCCATCATCTTTGTCTCTAGCTCTATAGAACTTGGCGTCCTCTTCATCGTAGTCATAATAATAATGTTGGTTATCTTCAGTTACAGGACTGCCACCTTCCTTTGGATTAGGATCAAAGATGTCGTTACGACAGACTTTACAATGGTGATACTGTAAATAATATTATATTTATAATAATTATTATCATATTTATAATAATTTATAATAGTTGCTATTAAATTTATTATTATCATTATTTTTATTACTATTATTGTTTACTTCAAATGTATACCTTATTTAGTTTGAAGAAATTTAAGTATATAAAAAAAATAATTAAAAAAAACCACGTGACGTCAGCACGAAAAACAAAACAAAATCACGTGACGAAAATATACCATGTCCATATCGTCAATAGCGCACTGGAGGTGCAAATGATGTTTGCAGAAAAATCTCACAATGACATCTCTATCATCGTAAGATTCGTGGCAAAGTTTACAGAAGTTGTCTATACAATTGGGTTCTCCAGGTTTGGCTGCATAGATTAAAGCGTTAACATTAATAAACAGGCAGGCAAATCCATCACAAACTCACGTACACACTCATGCATAAACACACACACACACACACACACACACACACACACACACATGAATCAACTCTTTCACACACACACACACACACACACACACACACACACACACACAATTCCTTGCCTACGACATAAAGTGGGACTCTCATATGGGCCAGAAGTTTTGGAATTAAATCGCGAATACTCTTCTGCCTTCCTTGGACGAGTTTTCGAAGTTCATCGCGGTTGCATTTGTTTGAAAAGCGCCCTGACACTTTTATCCTATCCCTCACAGCATCAATCGAGCGCTAGTGACGAAAACGATGACGTCAATGAGTGGTGATGATAATAGTAATGACGACGACGAGATGACGTCATACAAACATCAATGGTAATGATGATAATGAGTGCGTTATAGATGATTACAAAAATTAACGATGGTTCTAAATTATGAATAAATTATGATAATGGTGAGGGCAATGCAACAACGCTAATAACAGCAATAATAATGATAGTATATATAATGTAATTCAATTTGAAATAATAACCTTGTAGTTGTTACAGGCCTCGTTGTACTCGTTCACCACATCCATCAAGGTACTTCCTTCACTTACTTTGTCCATGAATCCACATTCTAGGCACTTAAATCCATTTACTTTGTTCCTTAATTGAGCCATCCTTTTGATTGCGACTATTGGCGGCAACACGGATTTGGAGAATAAATAATCGTCGCAGATGTAGCAGCATAGTGTTCCAGTACTTTCGACAGCCAGTTGGGCGCATCTGAGGTGGAAACGATGCTTGCAGGACAGCCTAGTGACGCTCGATCTTTTGGATTTTTTAAACTTCTTCTCACAGATCACGCAGACAGGGGGGTTTTTACGCTTTGCTGTGTGACACACGATGATTAAAAATGCTAACACAGCTATCAGAAAGTGACAATTTTCAGTAATTTTACACACAAATACGCGTGTACACATAGACACATACAAACAAACACATACATACACCTTAATACAAATGTACCCCCATTCAGATGCACTCCCACACACGCGCATGTACATAGACAGATACACACACATGTGTATATCAAAAGATACACCGTTATACACACACACGCGCATACATACGCACAAACACACGCACAAACACACTCTTACCTGTGTACCGAAGCATGTCGTCATAAATTTGTGAATCTTCACAGTCTCCAGCTTCGAGAAGAGTCTGTATTAAATCTGGATCAGTCCTATTCAATTCGGAATATTCTGAAAGCTTTCAGGCAAATTTATTTATTTCAATGGTCAGTTCCACATAACAGGATTGATAGTGGTAATAACCATGGTAATAATAATAATTTCGATAATGATAACGATGATGATAATGAGAACGATGAAGATGATTATGAAAGGTTTGTTAAAAATTATAGCAATTAATATTATCCATACCATTAATTTTCTGTAAAGACTGCTGTGGAAGCCAAAAGTTTTTCTTAACTTTCCTTCTCGTGATGTTGATGTCATTTTGTCATTGGCACCATAATCATTATCAGCTGATTTTACCAAAAAACTTTTCGCAATTGACGTCATCGAAGTGTCGTTGGCCGCAGTTGATGTCATCGAAGGGTCTGATGCCTCAAGAAATGCTAGAAGTTTTTCACTTAGGGATGTGCCATTTCTTAAGTTAACTGGTGGCGATGTTTCCAAAGGTATGGGAGCAGGAAACAAAACCTTTGGAGTTGGCTTCAGCTGAATTTTCTGATAATTATCCACTGGTTTGTCAACATAACAAAGGTAGTAGCCACTAGGAAGAGGTCCATGAGAGGTTTGCTCTTCTGGCGGCATCGAAGCAAGGGTAATTGGAGACGAACCCGGCTTACCGGATTGCCGGCATGTCGCTTTATGTTGTTGTTTTGCTGATTGGTGGATGAATTTGTCAGCGTATGTATTGCTTTCGTTATTTGATTTATTCGTCGGATTATTTGGTGGGAATCTCGAATTCAAAAATTTACCACCATGACTACCTGGTGGTTTCAATAAGGCTCTTCTCTCATTCTGCCTGGCTTCATTATCGCTTTTTTGATTATTCGACATATTTGATGTAGATTGTAGATCTGGAATTGTATTTGAAATTTAAATATATCGATCGAACAAAATTAAATATCTTATCACTGAATATTAATAATAATTTAGCTTAATGAATTAAATAAAAATAGTGCAACGATCATGCAACCTACCAAACAATGAAAATCATTCCATCAGTTATTTATTGTAATTAACTACCTAAAAATCACGTCTTAATTTCTAACATTTAATGGCAAATTTTCCAATAAATAAATAAATTAATAATAATCATAGATTTAATAAAAAATATTAAAAATTACCTTCCACGAACAAATCTTCGAATTAAACTGAACCGACATGAACTCCCGGACTCGTTATATAGCAGTGGAGCACCAGCAAGCTTAGGCCATGCATATATACAACTGAAACAATGAAATTCTGCATCAATTCTATACATTTGCCATACATTTTTATACATTATATAAACATATTATGCCGTAAATATATATGCAACACATGTGTATATGTTATATGTATGTGTGTGTGTGTGTTTTTGTGTGAATGTACTAGCATAGTATGGCTAATGCTAAGGATGATCAATCCATGCATATTTATTATGGAATGTGAATATATATATATAAATTATTTGATATATATATATATGTGTGTGTGTGTGTGTGTGTGTGTGCGTGTGCACGTGAACATGAACATTTATTTATTAAAATTAACAGGCTAAACAGCTGTTTATGCTAATCTATGAGGTAACTGCACCGCCGGACCTTGGCCCAAAAATTAATTTTACAGCTGTTAATTTTTCAGCTGTTCGCTGCTAGCGTTCATCCAGGCCGCGAGCATGTTCTATTAGCGTACGTACGTACCTCCGTGAAATACTATTTCATAGTTACTGTATAAATTAAAATATAATTATGCATAATTTAAATGCACACATAATTTACACTGTATGCGTACATGCATACTAACGAGATGTCTTCAAAATTTCATAAGAAACTTCAAAAAGTTAGATGAATATTTCACAAAAATCCGATTTGGTTTCATTAAAACAAACATTTTCGGGTCAAATTATGCTAAAAGATAATCGAGTTGCAGACTAATTTTTCATTATGAAATGATTTGATATATACATGATATAAAATTGTTTATAAATTATGATGATAATACAATGATAATGTTTGCCATTATAAAACGAAATCCGCTTGCTTTTAATTTCGCATAATTTACGCAAACTCATCTTGTTTAATAGCAAGACTAACCAAAAGACAAGACGAACATGTTGAAAATCTTTAATATGAAAAACTACGTTTCCAAACTTAATTACACTATGTAGATTCATACATATAATTTTTTTATTTATGCAGAAATATATTATATATACATATGTAAATAAGGCAAAAATGATATTGAAATATATATCAAGTGATATGTCAACCAATCGTTTGATGATAACATTAAGTCAATCATCCAATCAAACTAATAGTCATTAAGTCAACCAAGCATAAAATTTTATCGGCTAGAATTAATGAAAAACAGACAATTATATCATGGTAATGTTACATTATATCATGATAATGTTACATCATAAAACAACCATGTCCAATATTATTATCAATAAGTCTTAAATTATGATTATCACCCTTTAAATCATTATTGATAGGGTCGTAGTTGCTATTTATATCACAGCCGGTGATATCATTTTCATCGTTTGTATCATTATTATCCTTGATACCATTTTTTTTATCATTATTTCTTCCCTTTATATCATTAAAATTATTGCTATTTTTTATATTATCATTATTATTATCACCCATTACATCACCGTTTCTATCGTTTATATAATTATTACTAATATCCTTGCTATCATCATCATTATTATTACTGTCGATATTTATATGATCATTATCACCATATATATCACCACTATCTTTCAAATCATCGTTTTTATCATTAGTACCTTCATCTTTTTTATCATTTGTATCCTCGTTTTTATCACTAGTATTATTTTTTTTATCATTCGTATCCTCGTTTTTATCACTAGTATCATCTTTTTTATCATTCGTACCGTCGTTTATACCATTAGTATCCTCTTTTTTATCACTAGTATCATCTTTTTTATCATTACTTGGCTCCCCTCTTTCAAACTTCAATGATGATAATGTTAGAGACGCTGGCGTTGGAAGGCTTTCGAAGTCTTTGTCGTCAAGTTCGTCTGATGATAATGAGGACAATGATGACAGCGACGAGCAAGATGAAGACGCTGAAAGTGCAGCCTGTTGTAATGATAATTAATTATTAATTAATATTTTCTAATTAATAATTAAATAAGTTTATACCACAAAAAAAAGTAAATTAAAATTAATTTTTAAATGTAAAAAGACTTCATCATCATAAGACAGCGTAACATACACAACACTAATACCTTGATCTCGTTCTGGTTTGTTTTGAAAGCGGACGATGACGTCATCGTCGCTGTCTCGTTAATTTTTATTGGTGCCATAGTCGTCGTTGGTGTGTCATAAAAATTATCTGCACACTTGCCTGACGACGAACTCTTTCTTTTCATGATTCCTCGAGCTGCTGCTGATAATGGCGGTGGAGAAAAAAGAAATTTTTTCGTTTTTTTCAATGTAATTATCTGGTACTTTCCATCGGCTAGAACATCATCAATGTAGCAGTAGTAAAAGCCAGGGGTTTGGGGAATGCTGTTATCTGGCTCGCCAGTCAGCGGATCAAGAGATAACATTGCAAATCTGGTGTAGCCGTTGCTTTCGTCATCGTCATCCATTGGTAATTCCTCCCAATCCATAAATGCTGATTGGTTGGTAGCATTTAAACGCTGATTGAGATTCACTCGGTTTCTTCGCCGATTGCGATTGCTTGGATAAAACTGCCGATAAGTCATGTCACTAAATTCGTCCGTCCGAATACTATTCTGACTGGAACGACGTTTAGGCCTGGCTCCGCTGTTGGCTTCATTCGAGGCAGACATGATTTGATGAGAGATCTGTACCTATTTAAAATTGCAACATATTGATCATTAATTAATTAATTAATACTGATTAATACTTAATAATTAATTAATAAGAGTAATTTCATCAAACGTTCTACAGTAAAAAGCGTTCAAGCAACAAGCAGTATGCAACAGTAACGAACAACTAAACAAGTAAAGAAAATACTAACGATCACTATGCTGCTGATAATAAATAGAACGAGAAATGTTAGGAGATATCGAAGCTTGTGGACAGAAACTAACTAACGAGCCCCTTATATAAGAACATAAAACCCAGGTTTTTACAATGTGAGAATCACGTGGGCAAAGAAATTTATGTTATTTCATCATAGATAGATATATGGATATATATATATATATGGATAAGGGATATATATCTTTCCATGCTTTTCATATATTTTCTTTATATTTGATATATAGTCACATGTGTGCATATATGAACGTGTGTAAATTGTGTCTATGTGTGGATATATAAATATGTATATATATATATATATTTATATATATATATAAATATATTTGTGTGTGTGAGTTTATATATATATATATTTATATATATAAATGTGTTTATATATATATATATATATATATGTGTGTGTGTATGTGCTTGTGGTGTGTGTGTATTGTGTATGAATATTAATGATATGCACGGGTATGCATGTATATATATTTGTGTGTGTGTGTGTGTGTGTGATGGGTGTGTGTGTGTATAGCGCCATTTGTATAGCACTGTATATAATGTGTTTTGTATATTCAAGCTAAATATGCGTAATATTATTATTATTATTTAAAACCAATATTGTTAAAATACAATATATAAATTTAAAAAATATTGTATTTTGATCACATTTTGTCAATAATTTGCAAACAAATTTTATATTAAAAATTTTTCATTGCAAAGAACTTTTACTCTTTACATTTATATTTTCTATCTTTGCAGTAAACAATTTCTTTTTCCGATTAAAAACAATATGAGGTGGTTGTGGTTAAATGTTTTATTTAGTTAATCTTTTTTAATCGCTTTAAATAATTATTAATCATAATTTTTTTCATTAATATCCTGTTTTGATTTATCAAGTTTTTTTTACTTTTTTGGTTTCCCTACCGATTTTCCCATAAAATGAATGTTTCATCTCACTCCATGTCGGACTCTAATTCTCCTAAATTTTAATTTCAGTAAAATCTCTCGGGACAGTTTGGCAGAGTCAGTGGCTGCTCTCCTGACATACAGCCAGGAAAAGAAGAGGAAGTTCACTGAGACAGTCGAGTTGCAGATTTCGTTGAAGAACTATGACCCTCAGAAAGATAAACGTTTCTCCGGCACTGTAAAGTAAGTTGCCTGTTGCAGTAACAATAAAAACTGATCTAATAAAAAGAATCATTTGGCATAGTTGGCAATGTACAACCAATGGTTTGCATTCTCTTTTTCAGGTTGAGGAATATTCCAAGGCCAAAGATGGCGATCTGCGTTCTTGGAGATCAGCAGCATTGTGATGAGGCAAAGGCTAACAGCGTTGAATGCATGGACGCTGAAGCGCTCAAGAAATTGAACAAAAACAAGAAACTCATTAAGAAATTAGGTAAATTTGCATTTAATTGTTTGTTTCATAATGCTGTGAACATTTTGTAAAAATAGTTTCTAAATTTTTTAAAATCTTAGTCCTATATTCTTAATTTTATTAAATTTATTTAATCCTGACAGCCAAGAAGTATGATGCTTTCCTGGCATCTGATTCCCTGATCAAACAGATCCCTCGTATTGTGGGCCCGGGATTGAACAAAGCTGGTAAGTTTCCTTCCATGCTGACCCATGGTGAGTCGATGACAGGCAAAATCGAAGAGGTCAAGGCCACAATAAAGTTTCAAATGAAGAAGGTATGGCAGTAATTATTTAAGTAATAGTTTTCTTTATATATATTTTTTAATTTCCATATATTTTTTAACACAGTCTTGATTTCACTTTGTGAGTCAGATGTTTGCTTATATTTTGGTCTCATTTTATATTTAAAATGAAGAATTTCTAAAAAAATTTTGATTAATAAAAAAAACTTTATTTCTACTTAAATCTCAGGTGTTGTGTCTGTCAGTAGCAGTAGGAAATGTGAACATGACCCAAGATGAACTGGTCTCTAACATCACCATGGCCATCAATTTCTTGGTCTCTCTCCTCAAGAAAAACTGGCAAAATGTCAGGTCGCTATACATAAAATCAACCATGGGACCCGTTCAGAGATTGTACTAATTTGTGGTTAGGGTTAGTTTCTTTAAGCTCCGAAGAATAAATTTGGAACTGTTATTTGCAACTGTTATTTGCAGCCAACTGGATTAATGATTTGAATGATGAATCAATCGATGATTTGATATTCTTTGGTCAATAAAAAATGTTTTTTGATCTTGATTTTATGTCTTGAAACACAGAACAGTTGATAAAATCTAAAAGAATTTGTTTATTGAAAAACATTTTTAACTAAGAAAAAATCACACATCGTTACCTGGAATAAATACACAAATCCAATCGCATGCAAACCAAATTACCTCTGATCAATCCAAAAGTTGTCAACTTCGGTTTCTAACAAAAATTAAGTATTCTTTTTCTGGTATGTTCTACATATGTGTGTACATATCCGTAACATAATTGATATATGTATATATCCGCATATTATATTATCACTATAATGTGTCAGAAAGAATAAAAAATATTGATTAAAATCACAGAGTCATATATATTCCTCGAGATAAATATCTATCTAAATCTTTCCCCTTTCTATATGATAAATTCAAGGAACATTAAAATCGAAGTAAGGTAACTGAATTCACATTAAATACAGTTAGTATGCACAAATGTATTAGCGAACGGGATTTGTACGCGACTATGTACATGTATCCATCGCTAAATGTTGAGACAATAGTATGAAATACACGTTTTTGTATACATACATTTAAGCTTGTTATACATAGATGTTATACGAGTATGTAAGTAGGTATACCAGTATAAAGTAATGAGAATTTGACGTATGTATGTATGTACTATGGGTGTATGCATGCGCTTCTGTATGTATGCATGTACAAAAGTATACAAAAATTGTAATGAAAGTAATAATGGTAATGATATAATGTAAATGTAGGTAACGTAAATGTAAAAAAAAGTAACTTCAAATGAACGGATGAACTAATGAAAAATATAACCAGATACTATGTTTTACAACCGTAATGTGTAAATATTTCAACTTCTGGAAAAACTACTATTTTGAAATAAAAAAATTGGAATAAATAAATTTTTAGATTTAGAGTAAAACAGAGAACTAGGTAAAAAAGAGAGAGATATGTATATATATATATATATATATATATATATATATATATATATATATATATATATATATATATATAGCTAGATAGATAGACTTAGAGAGAATTACAAAAATTATCTTTGTAAAGTCAACCATGCTTTTTATAAGCTACAAAATGAATAAAATCACAATGAGTTCAACTGACAAAAATAAAATTCTAGATCGAACGTTTAATTTGAAAAAATCAACCAATTGTAAGCTTATTAATATTCGTATTATAAGAAAATGATATATTATAATATATTATCATCATACGATATATAAATGAGTAATAATAATAATAATTATTATTATAAAATAATAGAATAAAATAATTAGTATTTATTTATTCCGAAAATTCGAACACCGTCAAGCTGGGGCAGTTTAGGGATGAGCACGAGTAAAAGTGAACCGCTGTTAAAGACAAAATGGTAGTAATCGTACTTTGTGTAAAAGCTAGCTAGGAAGAATCTGCCAAAATTTAGAAATAAATTTTTTTAAAACATTATGAGTTTTGTTTAAAAACATTGTAAAATAACTGGGTAATAGATAAAATTAATAACTTTAATAAATTGATGAATATATATTAAGTAGAGGAATAAAATGAAAGACTGACAAGATGATTGGTACAATCGTTAAAAACTTTCTAGATGGTGAAAACTGAATGCCGTAATCCAACTGTTCCCACACTGTTCTATATCTGAAAAAAGTGAAAAAATTATTTAAAATAATAATAATTATTAAAATCATAATTATGAATAATTTTAATCATAATTATGAATAATTATACTTCAATTATATTTAAATTCAGTGTTTTTTTAAACCTGAACTTGCCCTGGTCCGCTGTTTCAAATGGTGTGCCTTTCTCAATATGCAATATTATGAACATCAACTGGCCAATGAAAAGTGAATTTAACTTTTAATTAAATAAAAATTAATTAAATTTTATTTATTTTTCAAGAAATAGTATGTATAATATTCATATATTGAAAATAATGTAAGGAAAAAATAACACAAAACACAAAAAATATATAAAAGTAAAGTTCAAATTGAATAAATTTCAACTCTAAAGAAAGTTTTCTCTAACCATATTGTGGATAACGTTCGTAAGTGTCCAGGCCATGGCTACAGATAGAAATGGCAAACTGAGGAAGACATAATGTATGAAAGCAACGACCAGTATGTAAGTCACCCACATTCCTCGGCTACTAAAATAAGTTGAGTTAGGATTTGGATCGCTACTAGCTACGCCGACATTCATTGTTGTGTAGTTTATGTTTAGTTTTAGTTGGTTGGTGCTGTTCTCTAATTCTTTCCTTACTGAATTTCAATTTTTTCCGAAAATTTATTCAGGTGAAAGTTTGAATTGTATAAAAGGCCAAATTTTAATTTGACAATTCAAAATTTCAAAGAACTTTTTTACGTTAAAATGAGTAATTCATAAAACAAAACGAACGTTAAGCCTGCTCAGTTTAGCTTGAGCGATATATTATTATGGAAAGTTAAAAAGCATAAAATAATGGCAAATTTCTATTTGATTATATATACATATCAAAATATAAGGAAAATCTCTAGTTAGTACATATTAATGAACTATATAACAATATCAAAAGTAGTCACACAGCAGATTGAAAAGAAATAATATTGGTTATAACATGATGACGAAATGATTTACCATTATAACATTACAAAAACTAACAAACCCACACACACACACACAAACAAACAGACATACATTCACGCAGTGTATTATTATTTATACAATGTAAAAAAACATGAAAAAATGTTTATTATGGGGCTAAGATACTACTGCAAAAACATTTAGACACCAAAAAATATTTAAACTGGATATTATAAAAAATGAAGCACTACATCAAGCCATATATACAGTACACACGATAGATATAAAAATATCTTCATCTATGGCACCTATAAGCAAATGAAGATCACGATTATTGTTAGTATGTTCATCATTTTCTGTCAGTACTCCGTTACAGCGATAACATGTAAGCCATAATGCTTAACACAACAAATGTTGACTCATTACTATTTAGTAATGTAATTAATAGATATTTGATTCATTTATACAAGTTTTGTTGAAATCGGTCAAAGTTACAAGATTGTTATAATTCTTTTCCAAGTTTTCCAACTTATCCATCCACTTCATGTCAACTAATTCAAAACGCCGGTAAACTGTTAATTCAATGTCATCGTCATCTTCATCGCCATCATCTTTGTCGTCATCATCATCTTTATCGTCATCAAAATATTCCTGCTGTAATAAAATCGCGTCATAATTAATAATAATAATAATACTAAGTAGATAGATATGATTGAATACAGCAGAAAACAACTATTATCTTATAAAATAACATTATTATCGTGATCAATGTTTTTTTTGCAATGATATCAATTGTTATCATTCATTATCATCATCATCATCATCTCTGTTATTTACAATCATCATCATCACCTCCATCTGCCAGACAGACAACCGGACAGACAGACTGATCACATGATTAAGGCTTCATTCATCAGGTCATCGTCCAACTCGCACACAACACTACCATCCGGCGACGACTGAGGTTTCTGCTGCTGTTGTAGTTGGCTGCTGGTCGACGCCGTAGCTGCTACAACAGCTGAAGCAGCTGGGTTTTGAGCCATTCCAGTTAATACTGTCGACGATGATGAAGACGACGATGATGACGGCAATGGTGGTGATATTGTTAAATCGAGAAGAAATGATGACGACGATGAAGATGACGTTGCTGAATTCAGATTATTATTATTATTACTTTTATTATTATTATTATTGTTGTTGTTGTGTTGTTGTGCTGCTGACGTGACGTTACCACAATCGGTGAGGACGATAATGGTGGATGGTGTGGTAGTCAGCAGGGTGGATGTGGTCGTGGAGTTTCTGCTCCCCGAGCCAGCAACATCCGAAATGAAGACCGATGATGACGACGCTGAAGTCGGCGACACGTCGATTATAAGATCATTATCGGGAAAGTCCGTTTTGTCGTCGCTCAGAATGACGTCATCGTCGTCGTCGATAGTGGTGGATTTGTAGATTCTACTGGCGCCGCTACCGCTACTTTCGTTGCTTTTGAAGCTGCTGTGCGACTTTTGCTGTTGAATATTTTTCAACAGTGATGAATTGTTTGCAGTGAGATCTGCCGATGTGATGCCAACATCAGCATCATTGCCAGGAGTGGCTCCGCCACTACCACCGACTCCATCGACCACAACCACCACACTGCCAGCTGTTTTATTGGTATTCACGCTGCTATTACTCAGAATTTTGCTGCTGTAACTTGTATTTCTTGCTTCTGGGATGATCTTAGGCAGATCAATAACTATAGATTTAGGAGACGTTGGAGATGAGGCTGACGACAACGACTGAGTTAGGAGGGGGTTTTTCGGTGATGACGTCATCTTGACCGGGGAGGGCGAACGTGGCGGGGCGAGCATTCTTTCAACCGTGGCGGCACTATTATTGGCGTTGCTATTGTTGTTGTTGGTGGGTTGTTGGGATAGTACACTTCCAACATTATCAACACCACTACTGCCATTGTTGTTGTTGTTGCTGTTGTTGTTGTTGCTGCTGTTGTCAACAGTGCCAACCGCATCGAGAAAATGTCGACTATTCGGTTGCTGGTCATTTACCTTCATGCTTTTACCTGATTTGTCGTAACTGTTATTGTTATTAATGCTGTTGTTGTTGCTATAGATAATAGGCTGTTGTTGTTGCTGTTGTTGTAATTGTTGGGGAATTTTTATAAGGGGTTTATCTTGGTACCCGCCATATTCGGTCGGTACGGGTAGTATACCCCCACCACTACCAGCACAACTTCTATTATTATTATTATTATTGTTGTTCTGTATATGCAACATACGAATATTATTGTTATTGTTGTTGGCCTGGTTAGTTAGCGGCAGTATTGGTAGTGGCAGTAATGGCTGCTGCTGCTGCGATTGATGTGGCGGCTGCGATGTCTTCAACAATTTTATCTCCAACGTTTCGTTATTATTATTACTATTATTTTTGTTGCTGCTGTTGTTGTTGTTCCTCATCATTGTGTTGTTAATTAGAGGCAAAGCTGATAATGATGACGACGATGACAAAGACGACGACGATGATGGAATTTTAACATTCAGCCTGCCTAAGCTGACAGATGGATTATTATTCAGATTAATACAAACATTATTATTGTTATTGGCGTTATTACTATTATTATTATTATTATTATTATTATTAACATTATTACCCATAGAAACATTATTATTATTATTTTGTTGTTGTTGGGGCGGTCTATTAGCTGTCGCAACGACATTAGCATTGGCAGATGACGACGACGACGATGATGACGTCAAAAGTGGAAGCATGGTGCCAGCGAATGCACTATTATTACTATTATTATTATTATTATTGTTGTTAGTATTATTGACATTATTATTATTATTATTGTTGTTGTTACTGTTGTTATTGTTGTTGCTACAGCTATTGGGCGATGGTGATTTCGAAATATTCATCCCACCAGCTTGTCTATTATTATTATTATTATTATTATTATTATTACCGACATTATTGTTGTTATTGTTGTTGTTATTATTATTATTGACGGAAACCCCCTTAGCGTTGATTGGCTGAAACTGATTGTTACTTGACGACGACGATGACGACAATGACGTAGGTGTAGTTCTAGAGGCCATATTGTTATTGTTATTATTATTGTTATTATTATTATTGTTGTTATTATTATTGTTATTACTGCCATCACTACTACCACTACTACAACTGATGCTGTTAGCCGCGTTCATTTTCTTCTGCAACATCTTACTGTTCATCATCATTGAAGACGCTGACGCTGAAGAAGCTGACGCTGATGATGACGACGACGACGACGACGATGCTAGCTGGTCCCTAGTCGGCGTACTAGGCTTATTACCTTGGTGATAATGATGGTGATCTTACGATGTTGAAAAGTAATGGAGTAATATTAAAAGCAGGTTCAATGTTGTCCCTGAACCATCAACACAATCATCTTCATCATCATCCTCATTATCATAACACAATCATCTTCATCATCATCCTCATTATCATAACACAATCATCTTCATCATCATCCTCATTATCATTATTATTATTATTACTATTATTATCAGAGATATTCAAATAGTGAATTTAACCGGATGGCAAAAGGTAGAATACAAAGAACTCGCAATTTCGAAAAAAACGAATATTTAGAATGGAAGACAAGAATTGAAATAAAAAATAGCAGGCTATCCAACAAATCTTCACAGAGATGACACTCAAACTCTTGTTTTCAAATTCAGAAGTTTTAACACCTCAACCAACAAATCAATCAACATCTACAATGGCGAAAAGAAACATTCAGCTGATGATAATCAACAATTATTCTCATGGAATCTAGAAATGTGACGGTTTGAATGGAAATTGCAATATTTAGATGTCTGGTCTAAAAATTACCGTAATGGCAAATTTTGCGAGAGAATACTCGGCCCGGCTAAACATCCGGTGCGTCTCTAATTATTATTATCACCCTTTTCCTCCTCCGCTCTCTTTCTCTCTCTCATACACACACAAATACACACACAAATACACAAACATATCTCTCTCTCACTCACACACACAAATACACACACACACACAACATACATATCTCTCTCTCTCTCTCTCTCTCTCTCTCTCTCACTCATCAACATCTCACCTTCCTTGATGATCTCCAGTCTGATGGCGTCATAGATCTCTTTTTGGACGACTGCACTGTCAGCGCTCTTGCTTCCATCCGAACTGCTGACCGAGTGCTGCTTTTTCATTAGGCTGTCAATCACCAGGGATAAACTTCCAGCTGTGGCGGAGAGAGAATGATGATGAGAAGAGAGGACGAAAAGAGAGAGAGAGAGAGAGAGAGAGAGAGAGAGAGAGAGAGAGAGAGGGAGAGAGTGAGAATTATGGCAAGAAATGGTGACGAAGAAGAAAAGATGATGACGAGGAAGATGATAACAATGAGAAAGATAAAGATGATAATAAGATGATGACTGTGAGAGATGATGATGGTGATGATGAAAAAGAGAAAGCCCCAAACCTTTTTTATTGCCAGATTTCCCTTCGGCAGAGCCTACAGTCCCACCAGCTGAAACGCCACTGGCTGAGAGCGACTTGCTTTTGCCAGCTGTCGCAACATTTTGCTGCTGCTGCAACTGCTGCAGCTGACCAACTTTTCCCATTCCACTAACGTTGTTGTTGCCGCTGCTACTGCTACTACTACTGCTGCTAGAGGTCGGGGTTGTTTTGGGTGATGGAGTAGAGGCCTGAAAACTTAGGGGGGTGGTGCATTGTGGTGGTTTGAATTTGTTGTTGTTGTTTTGTAGCGGTTGTTGATTGCTCTGATTGACCATGTTGTTGTTGTTCATTGAGTTGTTGGTGTTGTTACTGCCAGACATGCTACTCATTAGTTGCTGATTGTTATTATTGTTGCTGACATTATTATTGTTGTTATTGTTGTTATTATTATTATTATTATTATTAAACTGATTCTGCGCCACCTTCACCATCATCTTCTGATCAAATCTTTTAGCTTCAGCAGACTTTGGCCTGCTGCCAACTCCGGATTTCCCTAACCTCTGATGACCCTGGACCCCGAAAACCTTCGGCGACTTCTGATTGGCTGCCATCAGACCATGCGCCGCATTCACCTGGTGAAGATGTGCTCCCGGCCTGCCAATTAGTGCACTGGCCGATCCGGGGATCTGCTTAATTTTAGAGGAGGGATTTTGAATCTTTAGTTTACCCCCAGCGGAAGTGATCTTAATTGGAGGCATCATGGAGGATGAGGAGGATGCAGAGGATGAGGAGGATGAATTCGGAGATGTGCTGGCCGTCATGATGCACTCCTCGTCATCGAATTCATAAATTTTTTGCTTTTTCGACATTTTCTGGCGAGCAATGTCCTCACTGAGTATGCCTAGAGAAACTGTGGGCACCAGAGACGAGGAGAGGGCAGATGAGTAGGGACGTTTCATCTTCTTGCTCTCGTTGCTGCTGCTGCTGTTTTTGGTGTTGATATTCGCGTTGTTGCTGTTGTTGATAGTGGTAGCTGTAGATTTCAATCGTTTCAATGCCTGTTGTTGTTGCTGCTGCTGCTGCAAAAGCTTCGTGGACGACGACGACGTCATCAATGTAGATAAGGATGACGATTGTCCTAATGACGACGACGACGACGATGGCATAACTGCCTTGCCAAATGACGAAGTTAACGACGAGGATGGCGCTGATGATGATAAAGTCGTCGTTGCTGCTGCTGCTGTTGCTGCTGCTGATGAAGATGACGATTGAGCGTAGGACGGCGAAGCTGTAATCGACGCAATAATCCCGACATCCGAATCGACTGAATTCGATTGGTTGTTCTCATCCAAAAGTAGGTCACTTAGACTACTACCAAAGGCTTTTCTACCCTCATTACTGTTATTATTGTTGTTGTTGACGACGTTGTTGTTGCTGCCAATGACATTATTGTTGTTGTTGAGATTATTTTTATTGACGTTGTAGTTGATGTTGTTACTGACATTTGCACTATTGCTTACGTTGTTAACTTGTTGCAATGCGTTGTTGTTCACATTACTAGGAATGGTGTTGAAAGACCTCTTGTCTAATTTAACTCTGATTGGCGGTTTGTTGCTGTTGAAAGTGTTGTTGTTGTTGTTGAAGCTGTTGCTGTTGTTGTTTTCGATGTTACTAGATTCAATTTTAACTTCCCAATCTGTGTCATCAATGTTGTTGTTGTTGTTGTTACGAATCTGTTGTTGATCTTTGACTATAATTTGTTGAGGCCTTATAATTTGTTGCTGCTGTTGTTGTTGTTGAAACAGCTGCTGTTGTTGCTGCTGTTTGAAATTAGCAGCATTAAACATAGTCTGATCTTTATCATGCATATTCGATCTAGCGTTGTTATTATTATTACTACTACTACTACTACTACTAGCATTCGCCCACTGAGCTGATGAGGTTGACGTCATTTGCTGCTGCTGTTGCTGCAACATGTGCTGCTGCTGCTGTTGAGAATAATTTTGAAAATTTGACGGATCAGACAGCTGTCTATTCATCAGGATGGGATTATTGCCGCTGTCGTTCATCTTCCCGCCACTCGCGACATTTTTTGCGACGTCAAGAGCAGACGACAGCGATGATCTACCAGCTGTGTTAACCATTTGCTGCTGCTGCAAATGTTGTTGCTGCTGCTGCTGCTGTTGTTGCGTGTTGAAATAGTCATCAACAGATATACTGTTATGAGATAATTTAGCCCTCTTAGTGTTATTAACATTCATATTGCTATTGCTGCTGACGTTGCCTCGACCAGCACCCGACCAATCAGAGCTCGGGGGTCGCTTCCTCTGTTGTTTTCCTCCTTGTTGGCCCATCCCTGCAATCACGCCCATCCCTGAAATGTTCGGAAGGCCAACGCCAATTAGAGAAGAGGATGACGATGCAGACGACTGATCTAAAAGGCTAGCTAGCATTGGGTTACTGGATACCTTATCAATTCTATGCTGTTGTTGTTGTTGGCTGGATGTCGTTGTCTGCCTGTAATTGTTGCCGCTGCTGTTGTTGTCACTTGCTGACGACGTCGGCGAATCAATAATCTCGACATCATTATCATGCTGCTGCTGAAGCTGCTGTTGTTGCTGCTTCATGTTTTCGCCTCGCTTCTGCTGTTGCTGCTGTAAGATCTGCTGAGTCAGCTGAAGTTGTTGTTGTTTAAAATCAACACTCATCCCAATCTGCTGCTGTGCGTGCTTTCCAGCGTTCATAGCGGCATTCATACCCCTGCTGTTGTTCATGTGCTGCTGCTGGCGATTTGTCGCGCCTACGTTTTTCAGCCCGACAACCACACTTTCCATCTGCTGAGTTTTGCTATTGAATGACGGAATGCAGTTTGCCAATGCTTTCGATACTGATATCTTAATAGGCGATCTCATGGCCATCTTGTTATTGTTGTTATTATTCATATTATTATTATTATTCATATTGTTGTTACTCATGTTATTATTGTTGTTAATATTCATAAAGTTATTATTATTATTATTATTATTATCATTCGTAACACTAGCTACATTGTTGTTGTTCAAATTTTTATTAAAAAAATTGGCGTTATTGTTATTTATATTATTATTATTCATATTATTATTATTATTATTATTATTATTGCTATTCATAGAAACATTATTAATGAAATTATTATTATTCATATTATTATTGTTCATATTTGCCCCATCAGCTAAGCACAGATTGGCTCCAAAGTTATTATTATTCATATTATTACCAAGATTATTATACATATTATTAAAAATCCCATTATTATTATTATTATTATTATTATTATTATTTATATTATTATTGTTGTTGTTATTACCGGGACCAAAATTTCCGCCCTGTTTAAATTCACTTTTAAACGAAACCTTGCCAGTCACTTCGGCCACAGTTCCTTTAAGCAAAAGTTTTCCATCTATGCTATCTTCAGGCAGGAAGCTATAAGCTTTCCGACACTTCCGGTACACTAATGGCGGGAGATTAAACTGTCTGGGGGGCGGTAAACCGCGATTTCTCCTAGAAAAATAATCAGCGCCACTCTTATCAAAGTTAGGGAATGAGTTCTGGTTAGTGATTAGGGAAATTGTCGGCGGTAGGGATGTGTAGGCGGCCAGCGATGACGACGACGACGACGACGACGATGGCTGTTTCATCATCATCATCATCGCCATGGAGTTCGCTGAGACCTTTTTGAAGAGAGCTCGTAAGACAATTGGCAGGCAGAGACTCCTATATGGTGTATGTACGTGTGTGTACGTCTGTGTGTGTGTGTGTACATCTGTATGTGTGTACGTCTGTGTGTCTGTGTATGTGTGTGGTTTTGGTGACGACAATAAAAGTGACAATAACGGCATCAATAATAACAGCAACAAAAACAATAACAATAGCAGTAACAATAATCACGTTAATAACCTTTGCATGACCCTTGTTATATAGTCACATGGAATCAACGGCATTCCATCAGCAATGACGTCATTGTTGTTATTGTTATTATTATTGTTGTTGTTGTTATTGACGCTGTTGTTGTTGTTGTTGTCACTTGATATTTTGCACGTTACACTGATAGAGTCGTTTAACTCCAGTTCAACTAAAAGCAAAAAATGATAAACAATGATGATGAGATGATGATGCTCATGATGAATGATGCTAAGATCATGGAGTCGTAATGGAGATGACAGTGACGAAGATGAAAATGATGATGACGAAACAACAACAACATCATCATCATCAACAACAACAACAACAATTAACTTGCTAATTGTGAACCCTGACAACTAACCAACATAAACACTGGTAAAAAGCGAATTTTCACAACAAACAACACACAAACAAACAAACGAACGAACGAACGAACGAACGAAAGCAAACGAAAGAACAAACGAACTCACTGGTTAAAAGCGAATCCTTGCATGGGTGTTGAAAGGTGGCAGTGATGAGCTGCAGGCCGAGTGAAGTTACTTCAAACTGTACATCCTTATCTGTAAACTCTTTCATGCCTGATTGATCGAGTGAATGAATGAATGAATACATACACGAATGAATAAATGGTTGAACGAATGATTGAATGAACGAATGATTGAATGAACGAATGAATGAACGAACGAATGAATGAACGATCAATCAAATAAGCAACAAAGCCGCAAGACTGACTTGAAGACTTCAAAACATTCCTCGACTTTACGCAACTACATATCAGCGTATTAAAGAGGACTTGTTGTCTGAGCTGCGCAACGATATTCGGCAGATGGGTTGGATGGGTGAATGGGATTTTGTCAACAACGCAAGCCAGAAAATTTTGGTTCAGCGGATTCTCCAAGCAGAGGAACTTGTTCTTATTTGGCATCACCTTGTATGATGACATTAATGATGCTATTGATGTAGTGATGTTAATATCAGTGATGTTATTGTAACTATGCGGTTTTACTGTTGTAGGGATGATGTTGATGATGATACTAATAACAACAGCAATAATAATGATTACTAAATCAGCCAATCATAATTATTACCACCAATTTAGCGTCCAATCAAAACTAACGATCAATGTGCTGCCATTGTTTGATTGGACAGAGCTTTTCTTCGAAGATAGCTGTTCAACCAATAAGGTGATGATTGGCTTCAGTTGGCTCTGTGACGCTATTTGGATACCTATTCAGATACGCAATCATTATAATGAACGAATCAATGAATCAACCAATGAATCAATCAATCAATCAATCAAAAAAGTGAGCGGAGCTTAGAGACATGTTATTTAAGATTACCTATAGTAAAAAACGATAAAATTTTGAAGAAAAAACTGACCAGTTAGTAATTGAATCTTGTTGGCTAGGGACCATGAAACGACCATTGGCTCTTTCAACGTCACCACAAACCTATTGCATGAATGAATGAATGAATGATTGATTGAATGAATGAATGAGCGAATGAATGAGCGAATGAATAAGCGAATGAATGAGCGAATGAATGAGCGAATGAATGAGCGAATGAATGAATGAATGAATGAATGAATGAATGAATGAATGAATGAATGAGCGAATGAATCATCATCGTCGTCGTCATCTGTAGAACCTGGCGGGTAGCATGCAGCTGTTACTGTTGTTCAACGGAGAGAATGCTGGCAGGCTGTGGAGATGAAAATTAAGTAAATTACTTCATACATTCATTCAATCATTCATCCTATTCCTCAGTTCATTCATTCATTATTCCATCCATCCATCCATATCACCTTTTTCCATCAGCCATCTTGTTCGTCAGCATCAAAGTCGATGTTTGCAATCTTGAACAAACAAATGAAAAAAATATTATCATTTTTATTATTATTATAATCATATTTATTATTAATTATAATTATATTTATTAATTAAAATTATATTTATTAATTATAATTATTATTAACCTGTTGTTGGTCGGAGATTTTTCCACCGAAACTGTAAGACTACATCCAACATCATTCTCTATTATGGCTGATTGGTTGAGTGGTTGGTTGAGTGATTGATTGGTTAGTTAGTTGTCATCATCATCGTCATCGTCATCATCATCTCCGTCGTCATCATCATCATCATCATCATCACTACCTTCTAGCGTCATAGGTATCATGGTTTTATTTTTTTCATTCAACAGGTCGTAGGGACCAACGAAGTATATCAACTTCATTGGGATGCCTGAATGAATGAATGAATGAATAAATAAATAAATGAATGAATAAATGATTGAATAAATGAAAGAATGAATGAATGAAACATTCATTCTTTCATTCATTCATTTAATGAATGAATGAATCAATCAATCAATCGATCGACCAATCAATCCCATACCTCCAGTTCTAGGTACCAGAATGCCCAATGGAGACCGATGCACGTAGCTCTGAATGCTTGGTATACTACTGCAGTATCAATTAAGTATCAATTAAGTATCAATTAAGTATCATTGTTAAATATCATGAAAAACTGGATGGATGGATGAATGAATGAATGAACGAATGGACACTATTACAAAAAAAGAAAAGAAACAAAGATAACAAAACAAACTTTTGAAACATAGACAGAGAGTTGAGATCTGACTCGAGTGATAATAGGGCCTGTGTTATCTTGCATCTCACTTTTCTACGGATAGAGTCATCATCATCATCATCATCATCATCATCAGAAACATAATCATAATCATGATCGTAAACATAATTTGCACTAATATAAAAGTGAGCCATCATCACCACTATCAGCTTTTTTTATTATTATAACGAAAAATATAACATAATAATAATAACAATAATGACTTACTTATCATTTGATATATCATTGATAGCTATCAACTTGGATATATGTTCGGACAGCTGGTCATACTTTTGGGCTTTAAAGTTCTTAATAAGATCGAAACATGGCTATAAAAATAAATATATCCAGAAATTTAGTAATTCAGTTGTCTGAAAATGAATTATGAATAAGATGAATTATGCTCCAACTAAATATTACTCATTCTTATTGATATCATCACATGCTTGAGTACCATGACATAATAATTTATGATAATGTAACGAATAAATTATGATAATCACCTTGGGTTCACCGTTCATCGTGATGGTCACATCGTCGACCTCACCAATGCTATTGACTGACATCCTTTAGAAAGATATAAAGAAGATATCATTAAGGTAATGATATCAACGTTATCATCAAATAAGATAACAATAGCTAAGAAATCATTAATTTTTTCTCATAATTCTTAAAGGCATCAACAACACACACACACACACACACACATTGGATGTGATAGGTAGGAATCTTTTGGCATTTGAACCTGGTAGCCGCAAGAGTATTGCCAGGCAACTTAACCATTACACTATCTCTCGCCAACACTCATTGAATAAGTATGATAATTATTAACGATATAGATGCACTAACCTGATGTGAAACACATCTGCTAAAACAGTAAGCTCGCATCTGACATTGTCAACGTTGTATTTTAGGCCAAACTTCATTATTATGGATTCTAGTCTATCCAATGTATAAGAAGCTTTTGGGACTGTGAATGAATGAATGAATGAATGAATGAATGGATTGATGAATGAATGAATTATATTCAACTAATTAGTTTTTATTTAATTTTTAAAATATTTTTGAAACCTTTAATAGAATTCCTGAGGCTATCTAGCTGGGAGTGTAGCAACTGTAGGTCAAATCCAGATTTCTGATCCTAAGATTATTTATTAAAAATAAAATGTAAATGAATAAATGAACTAATCATTAAATTAAAATTTAACTTAATAAATTTAATTAGTTAATTAAATTAATTAATTAATTAAATTAAAAAAAATTAAAAATTACTAGCATTTGACAGGCCATGGAAGATTTTAATTGATTCAATGGCTGTCTTCTGCCTCCTATTTTTGTTTCTCAACTTTTCCATCAACATGTCTAACTGCATCTTGTCAGGATCTTTTAAAATTAAAAATTAGGAACAATGAAATTTGGAGATATCAAATTTCATTATTAAAATAAAAAATTAATCCAAAAATGGCAGGTAGCTTTTAGACTGAAGTTTTTAATATTTTATGAAACATCTTTAATTAAAATTTTTATTTTATTAAAAATAATAAAAAAAATAATCAAGAATAAAAGATAAAATTGATGATTTCTTCACCATATTTAGCTAAAGCAGCGGCCATTTTGATCAAAATTAAATGTAATGTTTTCAAACAAAAGTGGATCGAAATTATTAGTTTAAATAGGGTTGGGCTATTTTGGCTGACCTATGAAATTGCCATGGTTTTAACAAACAAGCTATACGAAATATTAACTTGACTTATTATGTTTAAAACCATCTACTAATTAAACCGAATTATGTATTTTTAAATTATTTTTGTTAATTTGAATAAAAAATTGCATTTTGTCCGGTGAAATACAGCTGCTTATTTAAAGCAAATGTTACCTTACTAGTATTGAATTATAGTCACTCTTTTTTGCACTTAATCAATCTTGTTAAGCTTTTATTGATTTTTTTCTATTGTAACAACTATTTTGTCATGTTCGATAAATATTTTACATTACTATCTAATTTCTTAATAAACAAACTCAACTATCGATGTATAGCAAAATTTTTAAAATATGTACGTCTTTTATCATTTTATACTAGGTTTCTCACGAACAAATAATAATACTAAAAAATACACCGTCAATTTTAAACAGTCAGCGTATCAAAATCAAATTTGTCTGTGTATTTGTGCGTCAACATTCAGAAAGTTTGATTAGACGACATGAGAAAAATAATGATACACCCCAAAACTACTAATTATTTACAATAATACACGTAAACATAGAAAGTAGTATTGAATCTACTTTGTTAACATTAAAATGTCAGCAATAGGTACAAAGATAACAGGATTTACAAGAGTGCTTCATCTTTACTTCATCAATAGTGACCCACATTTACGAAATAAAGCCCGAAAACTCTCTCTCTCTCTCTCTCTCTACGTGCATGTATGTGTGCGTATGTATATTATTATTATTACGGAAGTTTATGTACAGCGCATTTTTATTGTTGAATCTCAAAAGCGCTACTAAATCATAGACAAATAAGACGGACATTCATTGTGCAAATAAATAAGTTTTAAGTTGACTTCGAAATTGTAAATATGATAGGTTAGGGTCACGTAAGTATGGAGGTAAACCATTCCAAACAATCGGGCCAAGAACCGCAAAGTTGCGGGAACCCGTCACCAACTTTGTGGTCGGGATAAAATATATCATGAATTAATATTTCTTTGTTTTCTCTCTCTCTCTCTCTCTCTCTCTCTCTCTCGTTATGGGTGTTGTATGTATTTTAGTATATCTTCGTATGCTACAATATATCATGAATATACAATCCCCCCTCCCCCCTCTCTCTCTCTCTCTCTCTTCCCTTTCTCTCTGTGTGTACGTAGATATGTATGTTAAAACCAAAACATGATGAATGACACTAAAGAGTAACAAGTGGATTAACACTTTGATTTGTCGTTATGTATGTATGTATGTATATGTATGTGTATATGTATGTGTGTGTGTGTGTGCATACGATTATGCGTATATCTAAACGTGTGCTAAGATACACCATGGGCTACTTGATTGAAAAGGAAAGAAGCTGAACTTAGAACTTTAACCGAACGGAAAGTTTCAAATTTCATTTAAGTAGTAAAGAACTGTAACACACACACACATCGAAAGGGTAATAGAAGAGGAAGATAATTACAATTTCAACGATTTAAATACAAATAACAACAAATCCTTCATAATGATTCAATAATATCGCAGCCATTATAGTAATTTTAATAATTACTTAAAAAAGACAGTAAACCAAAATCAGCTGTCAGTCCTTTATAACTCATTAAAAATCCGTGTGTTTGGTTAACTATCTCTCTCAAGCCCGTGTGTTTGAGAGAGATAGTTAACCAAATTATTGTTAAAATATCAATAAAAAAATACACACTACACACACAAGAACAGAGACAGTACCAAGACATACATACATTTGCAGTAGAGATACTTTACTATTAGAAGTACTCTCTCTCTCCCTCTCTCCCTCTTTCTCTCTCTCTGAGGTAATTATATTTCGCCACCACATTCAAAGGTTCGTCAAAGAAACACACAAACAGATGATTCAGATATCACATGAACAGATATCTGACATGGATAAGATAACTTTAGTACATTTAACAGCACACATTATATATATATATATATATATATATATATATATATATATATATATATATATATATATATATATGTATGTATATATATATATATATATGTGTGTGTGTGTGCGTGCGTGTAGATATATAAATATATCAATATATGAGGCATATTTACATGTAAAGCGTATCTATATGTATTATAAATATATATACAGTTATGTATATAATGTATATATATATATATATATATATTAAATGTATATATTTGATCATACACGTAAGTAAGTATGCTAATGCTTACCAAACCTAGCCTTTATAAGAGAAGCCGCATGGAAACTATCTAATGAATGTTAGATCCTGGCTGACAAAGAACTTCTTTGTATAATAGAGTTAGTGTAGTTTCTTTTGTTCTGTCCTCTTTAGCATACCTTGCTGCATATTTCATATTATATTCTATTGAATTTTTTATTTTTGTTAACTTTTAACATGTGCAGTGTGTATTGAGAAGTTTTCATTACTTAAAAAGATAGCATTTATCGCTTAGGAATGACGAGCGACTTATATGAAAATATGTTTTCAATTTGAAAAATATAGCTTCTCGTTCGTTTTTTATAATACTTGATCTCTGAGTTGTGACATCCGAGGTATTGCTACAATGAAACTTCTGACATCTCTCTTGCTTATTTCACTCTGTTTGACGTCATCCCTAACCGACCCCAGCTATAAAAACGGGGATCATATCCTCCGTTGGTCGAGATTGTTGAAACCGACGATGGTCAGAAGTGAAGAATCAAAAATCAGTCATGTGCCAGTCTCAGACAGGTCGCAAGATGAAATTTCAGCTGATTTTAACCTAGACCTGGAGAACGAATGGGCAGACTTTAAATTAAAATACAGTACGTATGTCTCCATCCCGCTTATTCATTAATTTATAAATAAATACTATATAAGATTTTACGCTATTTGTCCTAAAACCATAACCAACGGTAAAATAATTAAAAAGAATATGCGCTTAGTTTTCTTGAAATAAAAAACCCCCAAACCAGGAAGGGCATATAACTCAGCTGGGGACGAAAAGGTTAGGAGGTCAATTTTTGAGAATAACTTGAAGAAGATAAAGAGCCACAATGTCCTCTACAAGAAGGGCATCAAAAAATACTCAATGAGAGTCAACGAATTTGCCGACATGGTCAGTATATACACATACAAATACACACAAATACATACCTACACACATACATTCACACGTGCACACACACACTCACTTCTAAAATAGACATTTGAGGAATTCGCCGCCAAAAAAACTTGCTTTAAACGACGCCCAAATAACCCTTCTGACCCCATCCCACCTGCCACGACCTACTTGACCTCTCTCAGCCCCCTCATGGATCTCCCGGACCACGTTAACTGGACCGAGAAGGGCTACGTCACCCCCGTCAAAAGTCAGGTCATTCTTAAGATGATTGTAATGGTGATAATATTAATATTGATGATAATGATGATGGGGAAGATGATGATGATGGCGGTGATTTGCATGTTATCTCGAGCTCCTAATTAAAAAAAAATACAGAACTATTCATCATCGTCAACATCGTTATCATTATCATTTTCTTCATAATAATAATAATATTAATAATAATAATAATAATCACAATAATAACCATAATCTTTTTAATCATTTAATAATCATCGCCAAATTTATTACCATCGTAATCATCATTATCATAGTCGTCGTCATCTTTCTACCAATCCATCTAACATCATTGCCATCGTCCTCATCATTATCATCACCACATCATCATCACAATCATGATCTTCATCATCACCATCATCATCGTCTTTACTTTCATTGGCAGGGTTCTAACTGCGGTTCATGTTATGCATTCAGTACTGTAAGTTTTTGAAATAATTTCCTCACTATTTTTCTATGAATAATCATTAATTAATTAATATAATGTAGCTAATTTAGTTTCGTACATTCATTCATTTACTAGTTCATTCACTCGCTCAAACGTTTATCTTTCTACTAATTCATCTATTTATCTATTAAAATTTATCCTCCATTTTCTATCCACTCGTTAATGTTTCTATCCATTCATTTATTCATTCGTCCATGCATTCATCCGTCTACCAATCCATTCATCTATTCTCTCCATCCATCAATCCGCACATCCCTACTATTTTAATCAGACCGGGTCCATAGAGGGCCAGCACTTCAGAAAAACAGGCAAATTAGTGTCTCTAAGTGAGCAGCAATTGGTTGATTGTTCTTCAAAATACGGCAATGAGGGCTGCAATGGTGGTCTGATGAACCAGTCCATGGTCTACGTTCAGGAAAATGGGGGAATTGATACTGAGGAATCCTACCCCTACGTGGGGCAAGTTAGTAATTAGGGCCGAAAAAGAGATGTACCTGTGGGGTATTTTGCGGTGCGATGATTAGGCGTGAAACTGCGTGATGTGATAGTTGGCCTGGTGTGACTTGTATTCGTGTGCGTACACTGCGTTCGTTCGTTCGTTCGTTTGTTTGTTGATTCTGACAAATATCGAAGAATTCTAAAAGATATAAAGTTAATGTTTTTTTTTATTGTCGTTTCCTAGACATGAAGTGACACACACATTCACACGCACACACACACACATCCAAACTCACACACACACATACACATCCAACTCACTCACAGACACACACACGTACACATACAGGACCAGCAATGCAAATTCAACGAAAAAACCATTGGCGCCACAGTTTCCGGTCTGGTGCAGCTCCCCTATGGTGACGAGGAAAAGTTGAAGGAGGCCGTGGCCACAGTTGGTCCCATTTCTGTGGGCATGGATGCCGGACATGATTCATTCATGTTTTATTTTGGAGGTTCTCTATTGTTGTTGTTGTTTTTGTTGCGGTTGTTGTTGGTGTTGTTTCCAATGCAGAATCATTATCGTCACCATCTCTATCATCGTCATCATCATCAACAACAACAACGACATCATTATTATAACTAACTTATTATTATAACTACAAAGGTATATTTGACGAGCCCAAGTGTAGCTCCGTGAATTTGAATCACGGCGTCCTATTGGTCGGCTATGGAACCCTCGAAGGAGTAGATTATTGGCTAGTCAAAAATAGGTCAGTGACATACTAACATATTTATTATTGTGTGAAAAATGGGATTGGCTGGTTAAAAATATAAATAAATTTATTATTTATTAAATATATTTATTGGGATTTCACCACCAAAATCATATAAACATTCATGGTTTCATTATTATCTAATTAATATTAAAATATTTAGTAGTAATATTATTCAGATTTAATAAATAATTATCATAATTTATTTACCAGCTGGGGAACATTTTGGGGTGATGAAGGATATGTCTACATGTCGAGAGGCAAGAAGAATCAATGTGGCATCGCTTCAGCCGCATCCTACCCGCTCGTCTAAAATATAATTATAATAATAATTCTAATCATAATTACGATAATAATTATTATTGATTGAAATTTATACGTTGTCTAATTGGTCGATCGAACCATTTTTTATAAAGAAGATACTTCTTCAGTCTTTAAAACATCTTTGCCGATATTGCCAGTGCATTTTTGGACCGAAAGATAAATAAAAATTTATATTCCAGTTTAAAATTGTGTTTTCATTTAAATAAAACATCAGCACCATTATTATCATTTATATTGTTATGATAGCAAAGATTTAACATAAAAAGCAACAGAAAATCATAAAAAAATTTAGTATATAAAAGATGTAACTTATCTACCTACCTTTGAGCAAGTTGGATGATGTCGCCAAGATAGTTGGAAATTGTGAAGACAATATTTACCCTCATACATTCACTCATTCGTTCATTTATCCATTTATTCAATCTTTTATCCCTTCATTCATCCATTCATTCATTCATTCATCCATTCATTCATTCATACATCCAACTGATCTTCCATTTATTACTACTACTCAGCAATCAATTGAAACGAAGGAACTTTTCAATTCAAGTGTACACAGATAGACGTTTTATTATTTACATAGGAAAATATGTAACGTAAAATAATATTTTTAATAATTAATAAATAAATGCGTAAATAAAAGTTACAAATAAATAAATCGTTATAAAATAAATGAACAGAGTCAGACAGACAGTAAGACTATAGGCCAACACAGACTATAGACCAACAGAATTAGACAGGCGTACTTAAACATATAGTCAGTTAGACATACAGATAGAGGAGTCTAATATACACAAGACTACAGACGATTATAGTCTTTAGACGGACATACATAGACGGATACACATGCGTAGGCAGATAGTCTTAAACTTAGACATACATAGACAAACATACTCTGCTGAGAGACATACACGGCTCTACAGAAAAATATGCATTGCAGTAATACATAGACAGACAGACACGCATAGACAGACAGACAGACATGTACATAGACGTGTCTAAAATAAATTTAATTTAAATAAATAAGAATATAGTAGCGAAATTGATAATATCTAAAAATTTTCAATAATTATATTTCACTTATTACATTTTTATATGGTTTTAAAAGGCTAATTAACAATGTAACAAGTGTATGCGTATATATATATATATATAAATAAATAAATTAAACACTTATATAAAAAATATTATTGATATTAATTTAATTACAACAATTATTAAATAGATTGATCAATCAATCAATCAATCAATCAATCAATCAATCAATCAATCAATCAATCAAAGCTATTTAAATAAACGGATGAACTAAACGATTGAATAAATATCTCAATGATTACAAATGATTGTCACCACCATCATCATAATCATCATCATCATTATTGAGTTATCATCATCATAATCGTCAAAGTTCAACAAGGTCATCAAGCAAAACATCATTATCATATCCTTCATAATTTAAATAATAATAATAATAATAATTAGTAACAATGAACAAAAGTTGTCATTGTCTGCAATTTTTTACACAACCAAAGTTGAGTACTGATGATTGAATGAGTGAATGAATGATTGAATAAATGAATGAATGATTGAATAAATGAATGAATGATTGAATAAATGAATGAATGATTGAATAAATGAATGAATAGATAGATAGGTAAGTAATAAACACAATAAAAGGACAAAAAAAATCTTTCATCACTATTACGACGGCCTGTCACCATAACCATCATCATCATCATCCTCATAACCGCCATCATCGTCGTCGTCGTCACCATCACGTATCATTTGGGTATTGCTTTAACGATTCTTCTAATTTTTGCGTTATCTAGTTGAATGATGACAAAGATGATAATAATTAATTATGATAATTATGAAAGTAGAAATAATAAATATAAAAAATCGACCATCCCCAACCAACCATCTCCAATCAGCCAACCATCTCCAATCAGCCAATCATCTCCAACCAATCAGCCAATCATCTCCAGCCAATCAGCCAATCATCTCCAACCAATCAGCCAATCATTTCCAACCAACCAGCCAATCATCTCCAGCCAACCAACCAACTACGATCCAACCTGTTTGTAGAATTCAATCTGGCCGCCCAGATACGCCCTCATATAGTTAGCGAAATCATGAACCCGATATCTCTGCAAGTGTTCGACGTCTGCCAAGATGGCGTACGATATGACGTCAGCCCTATTCTGAACCTTCTGCAGTTCAGCAGAGGTCAGTTTAGAGGACTGGTCTTGTATTTTGGTCTGAGCGGACTGAGTGAATTGAATTAATGACGGAAGGAATGCATTGATGAATTGTGAGGATGAATGAATGAATGAGTGATTAATTGAACGATTGAATGAATGCGTGGATTGTAAAATGAATGAACGAATGAACGTGAGAGATACTCAAAATCATAGTGAACGATGAACAAATGTCTTGAATTCAAAGAACGAATGGAAAAATGGACGCATAGACAAGCGAATTGAAGCCATCATCATCACCACAATCGTCATCACCACAACTACCAGCACTGCCATCACCACGACCACCATCGGCATAATCATCATCAGCACCTTATGTATCATGAGTGTATCAGGCACGGTGGATAGGAGGCCCTTGTACGAATGCAAACCTTCCAACAGATACAACATATCGTTCTGCGGCTGGTGATGATGACAATAACAATAATAATAATAATGATGATGGTGATGAGGACGACAAAGACGATGATGATATAATAATAATAACAACAACAACAAAACAATACTAATAATAACCTGCTTAGCAAAAAGTTCGCCAATTTCATCATACGTTCGGCCTGTATGCTCGATGGCCTTCGTCAGGCCTAGACTGGCTATTATTATCATAATTTATTATAAATATAGTTATTTAATATTATTATTTATCATAATTATAAATTATTTATCATAATAATAATTATAAATTAATAATTAGCAGCTACCTGGCCGCTCGTCGTACTCAAATGATTTAGCCAGTGCAGTGAATGATCCGCCGAGCTTTTGAAACTCCTTCTTGAAAGCTTAACAAAAAAATGAATGAATGAATGAATGAACGATCGAATGAATGAAAGAACGAACGAACGAATGAATGAATGAATGAGAGAATGAATACCACTTACGTCCAATATGCTTCTTCACATTACTCTCTGATATGGCCGTCAGGTGCCTGAGACTATCGTCAAGACTTTTCACAAACTTCCCAAATTTCTCAATACTCATATCTCTGTGGCGATGATGATGTGGCTTTTAGTATCGATCAATCAATAAATCAAACAATTAATCAATCAATCAATCAATTAATTAATCAATCAATCAATTAACCAGCCCAACAGAACAAACTAGCAGATGAACATACGCCTGTTTACTATCCAGCGACGGAAACTGAGGTACTTTGACAGCTCTGAAAAACATGGCGCCACATAAATCATCCTTTTCCGCTTGCCTTTTACCGATTTTCCATTTCTTTGGTGGAAAAACAATTAATAAATACAAATGAATAAAAACTCTTTTTTTTTAAATAAGTTAAGAAAAAAATACATCTAACAAACAAATATGACATTGTTGTAAGTCGACAAATTCATAAACATTCCTAAAGATTCCCTAATCACACTAATAATTGGACCCCCTCACTATTTGTATATATATATATATATATATATATATATATATATATATATATATATATATATAACATAACAACACAAACACAGTTACCACAAAATTACAAGTCTAAAAAAAATCATTTATAAATCTGGCAGTAGGCGCATCACTATTCCCTAATAACTGGACCCCCCACCTTTTCGTCAGTGCAGGTTAGGAAATGTAAGAAAACTTCGGATTTGGCAATGACGGGGTGCTGGCACATTCGATCGATCCACATCTGCAGTTGTCTCAATCGCTGAGTCACAAAATCCTCCTCGAATCTACCTGCAATTCAATTGGTCGGTTGATTGGGGATTGTTAATTTATTAATTTATGCATGATCTCATCGTAATTATCGGCAGCCTAATTACAAACCACATCCTCACTAACAACATCATCATCGTTGAGAATATCACAACTGATTGACAAGAAAATTTATTAATTTATTCATAGGCTTATTTATTGATTTATTAATAATTCCTAGCCTGAAATTTGCTTCTCGGGCAAGGGCGGTATGGGAATGGTCGAAAATTTGACAACCAGCCTTTGCTGCAGCCAATCAAAATGCTTGTACCTCCTACTGACCTGGATGTTGCTGAACTGTGATTGGATGATGAAAATTAGAGTGAATAATAATAAATTATACAATAAAACAACTGTAATTGCAATAAAACTGGAGGCCAGAAAACACTAATTCGATCCTAATCTAATCACTAACGGAAGGTGTGAGTTGGTAGGCAATGAAAGTTTTGATCCCGTGAAATTTAGACTCTTTTTTTGGGGACGTAATGGAACATGAGTAGGGCACATCTAAGGATTGCCAGGCTGGACCATCCATTGTTTCCTTGAGGATTAATTTTCCATTGGATATTGAAATGTTTCCATATGGAATTAATTAGTTGACGCTAAAGTATTGGAACAACAACGACAGCAACAACACAACAAAAACATCAACAACATCACTTACAATGACAGCAAACATTTTTTCTGACTCTGATAGTTCTTTTTGGTTCTCGAAAAGGTAGGCCTCACCACCTGATTTCACAAAACTTGAAAACCTGTTCGTTCATTTCTTCGTTCATTTCTTCATTCATTCATTCGTTCATTCATTCATTCATTCACTAGTCTGATTCTTCATTTAAATGCAAAAACACACCACGTCCTTCCTTACTTAAACATAAAGAGCACCAACCAAAATTTTGAAGCGCTACTTGACCCAATTAAAAATAAATGACCCAATTTCAAAAAGTCTGCGTTCGACCTGACCTACTAAAGGCGGAAACTTTGACCGAGGGCTTGCCCTTGTCGTCCGAATTTCTCACACCCCTCGTTCCATTCGTTTCAACACTGTTTTGCTCCTGTTCGTATTATTCCAAGTTAGAATAACAATAACAAAAAGAAGAAAAACAACAACAACGACAATAATAATAATAATAGCAGTAGGAGCATCAATAACAACAATAATAATAAAAAGTAAAAAGCATAGTATAAATATGTAGAATGTGATACACGCTGAACACATGTTGGGAGGTGGGAAATATAGGGAAAGAATAACTTCAAGCCTAGGAAAACTAAATGCATGAAAGAAATGAATGAATGAACGAACAAATGGATGAATGAATGTACAAACGAACGAACGAACGAATTAATGAATGAATGGAAAGTTAAATGAGGGCATAAATGAGTAACTAAAGGCAGTATGGATAGATAAATGTATGAAAGAATGAATGAATGAATGAATGAATGAATGAATGAATGAATGAATGAATGAATGAATGAATGAATGAGTGAACGACTTGTTCAGTAGTAGTAGAAGAGTCGTCATCATCGTCCCAATCGTCATCATAATCATCTTGAGCATTATTAATCTGCGATTGTTGTTGTATTTGCTGCTGCTGTGGGGGGTGCAAACTGTGCTGCGATGTGATTGGTCGATTTGGCTTTGTGGCCACGCCTCCCCAGGTTGGTTTTGTATTGGCTGGAGGCAGAGGAGGAGGCATGGTTGGCTCTTTGTATGATATGACCTGTCAATCAATCAGTCGGTCAATCCGTGATACAATCAGTCAATGAATGAATCTATCTATCTATCAGCCAGTCACTCAATCGAATTATTAATAAAACAGTGGAATAAACTGAAAAAGACAAACATCAAAAATTTTAAACCGACATCGAAATAAGATTGAGGCACGAGACCAGTTTCACCCCTGTTGTTGATCGCTTCCCACCAGCCTGCGCCCACATCCTGAATAAATTATGCTAATTAGTTAGTGTACACACACACACAAAACACATAAAAACACACACATAAATCTTATCTAGTGAACAATTGATTGAACAATTGATAACAATAGATACATACATATGTGTGTATGTAAAAACACACATAAAAACACACACATATATATATGTATAAATCTTATCTAATGAACAATTGATCAAACAATTGATTGAACAATAGATACATATGTGTGTCTCTTTTTCTCTGAGTATGTGTGTGTGAGTGTGTGTGTACGTGTGTACACTAACTCATTAATGAATAAGTCAAATCTGCCTTAAGATGTGTCACATAGTAAATTAATGAAAGCTGTTTAAATATGAAAAGATTATCACTGCTGTGAGGGTCTGAAATAGCTATACTAAAAAAAATGATTCAACAATTAACCAACAATAATTGCTTCCAAAAACAACAACATCCTTACCATCTACTACAACATCATCATCTGCATAACCAATAACAACAATATAAACAAACCCAAACACACGCGCGCACACACACATATCATTTTAATATATGCAAACTTTATGTAAGTTGAATGAAAATTTATACAAATTTTCTATAATTTAAGTTAATTTGACTAGTTTATGTTAATTTATTCTTACTGACCTGTCTTAGTATGGTTAAAATGTCGTCGGCATTGAACGACAGCTCACCGGGGCCCCCGCTTTCAAAATCGTACAGAGCTTTTGCCTGTTTCAAATTATGATAATAAAATATAACTAATAATAATTATAATAATTAATTTAATAATAAAAACAACAACAATAATAATAACAAAAACAGAGAAATTAACAATCTTCTCAGTTGAACTAGAGCAAAAAGCCAACATATCAGATAATTTCAAACATTCCAGTAGTAAGCACTAACTACTGAATGCTAAGCTAAACCAATCAATCAATAAAAAGTGGGTGTGTTTGTATATAAAGAGAGAGAGAGAAGAAATAGTTATTCTTAATTATTTACTAACAATATTACTGTTTTATAAACTGTTGTAGTATATAAGAAACATTAATATGTTAGTAATATCCTTGAGTATTTTGTGTATATATGTATGAATGTATGTGTGTGTGTGTGTGTGTGTGTGTGTGTGTGTGTGTGTAAGGTATAAACTCTTGTAGCTAATTAAAAAATTCCTTCTAATATAATAATAGGAACAAGATGTTGATTCATGGATGAATTGAATTTAACAAAAACAAACAAACAATCCTTTATTCATACACACACACATATACAAACAAACAAACAGACAGACAAACAAACAAACAGTAATACTTCACACACACACACACACACACACACATACATACATACATACAAACAAACAAACCTACCCACACATACAAACAAACAGAATATGTGTAATCATTATATGCATATGTGTGTATTTTTTGAGTGTTAAAATTTCTATGTACATTATTTAGTCATTGTAAGTTAACAAAATGATGATGATGAAATGATTATTATTGATATGCCTGCTTTGTCTTAAGCTATCTGTAGAATTTTAAATGTGTGTTGTGTACGTATGTAATGTATGCCTGTGTGTGAGTATGTATGTGTGTGTATGTATGTAGGTATGTATTGTGTACACATAAATTATACATATGTATGTATGCAGTAAAAGTCAAGTGAGATAATTTGCAATCCTATACTATACATATACAAGTACTACTAATATGAACTAAAGAAGAGGTACTCTTTGTCTATGACCAATGTATTGTATTTATTCCATATAGTATGTATAGTTATTTATAGTAGTATAAGGACAAGTAAGTAGTTAAGTTTAACAAGGAAGATAAACAAAAAAATATACAAACAAACATACAAACATAAGCAAGTTCTTCTAAAAATCTGTCATCCAATCAATCTCAGAGCCTGAAATGAAATAAACCTACCTATCTATCTAGCTAGTCTAATTTTTTTTTATATAATAAACAACATCAATCAAAACCAAATCAATCAATGTTACTCTGAATTTCAATTTTTAATTGAAACTAACCAAACCAAATGAACATCTTTTTGATAGATAATGAGGATGATCATCAAACAATAATAATAACAAAAAAAAAACAAAAAGAAATAATGACAATGAAAGCTAAGAGGACCAAAACAAACAAAACCCATTTTTGCAGAAAAAAGATAAGGAAGGAATCTAGAAAAAAGTGCGAAATAACCAGAACGGAGAAAAAAAAAAGAATTTTTACACCATTTTTAATAAATAAAATAATTTTTTATATAATAATTAATAAATAAATAATTCTAATCGGAAAAATTATGAAATTTTTATGTAAAAAGCAAAATTTAAACAACAAACCAACCTGAGCTTTCGCCATAGCAAAAATCGTCGTGACTATAATACCATATACATTGAAATATACATATATATGTATATATATAAAACTAGGGATGGATGGGTAATTTAAAACTATTACTAAAAGGAGATTTAAGTATTAAACATGTCAGTTTATTAAGAGCTATGATCATATATTCCGCAATCGATTTGACTAGACGACAATCCTTACAGATAATTCAATTCGTTTCTAATAAAAATGTTACTCTCTTTAATGACAAACACACCAAATCAGGAATAATCATTTATTTTGTTTGTTAAAAATAAATAAAAAAATGAATAAAATAGTTTTTTGACAATTAAACTACATTTCGTTCAACTTAATATGAATATACGTATATTAAACAAAATATAAGCAGAAAATACACATACATTCAATCATGCGACAGCTTTTGAATATGGTTAAACATACATACAAACATACATACATACATACACAAGCACACACACAGCAACGATGATCCTATTTACATAGACAAACACATACCTACACACATGACAAGCAAACACAAACAATACATAAGTATAATTATTCAATTAATTGATTGATTTAATTTAGTTTAAATATATAGAAAACAAGCACCCAGCCAAACAGACATATTTAGCGTATTTTGAGATAATTCAAAATATACAGAGAACAAGCAATCATTCGACCAAATATTATAGAAAAATAAAATGTCAACAACGCTCAATCACATGATTCTATGATTATGATTATTATTGTTATAATAATAATAATAATAATTATTATTATTATACTTGATATTATTCAACTTATTTTACAAAAAGAGTACATAAAAATGAAATGCAAACATTTTCCTTCATAACTTTACTTAAATAACATTATTATATTAATGAAAAATAGTTAAAAACACTTAAAATCAGTCAGCGTAATTGTTTTCCTCAGTAAAATTATTATATATTTATGTCGAAAAACACGAAGAAAGAGAGTTATTAAGAACCTTACTCATTTTATTATTTAGCAATTATTTTCAGTATTTAAACAGATTGCGTGTATCGCTACGCATAAACTATCTGAAGAGACGACCTTTAATTAAAAAAGATTTTCATAACAAAAGAGTAATAAAAATTCCTCAAAAGTTTAAAACTTCCAGAGTCGGGTCATCAAAAAAAATTTTTTCTAAAAACCTTTCTAGGATAAAAATACACTGAAACTATTTATTTGTAAGATAGAACGAGAGTATGGGTGAAAATAAAACCAACAAAAAAAACGATACATAACGAGATGCGTAAGTAAGTATTAATGATAGGGAAACATCACAATACTAAGTAAGAGGGGACACGCAGGACATTGTCACGGAGCAAAAAAACATGATAAAATTGTGATATAGTTAGCATAATACATCCTATAAAACACAGAGGCGTCATTTGGGGGGAGGCAGTTGCCCCAAGAAAAATTATAAAATATTAAAATTATAAATTATAAAAGTGTTAATTTTAAATTCTTTGTAAAAAGGATATATATAGGATATATAATTTAGTAATTTTAAAACTTTAAAAATTTTGAAATTTTAAAAACTTTAAAAATGTAAAATTTATTACAATGTTGCACTGACGAGACTAGGTAGTCGAAATAGTACTGTATGCATACATGTAGATAATGGCATCTTCTGTAAATAGGAATTTTGTTAATAGCATTAACAAGTTAAGCTTGGTAGATCGGAGAACTATTCGAGGAATCGAGAAACTATCATTATAGATTGAGTACTGTAAGAAACGCGGTGATCTTTATTAATAATATATATATATATATATATATATATATATATATATATATATATATATATATATATATATATATACCTAACTCCTAACTAACTATCGGGAGTTAGATAATAATCGGGAGTTATATATATATACATATATATGTTACATGCTAAGTTATAGACCACATAAGTTCGCCCCCCCCAACCAAAATCTGAAATGACGCCCCTGATAAAACATGTATATATATATTTATATATATATATATATTTATTTATTTATTTATTTATTAAGTTATTAGAATAGTTATTAAGTTATTAACACAGTTATTAAAAAATATGTCTTCTAATTCTCTAAACAATGCATTAAAGTCATCTGTAATGTTTCTAGTCCGTGAATTTATGAAATACAACAGTCTGAACCCCAGTGTGTGTATATATATATATATATGAATGCATTAAGATGTGTGTGTGTGTGTGTGTGTGTGTGTGAGTACTCGTGTGTGTGTGTGTGTGTACACGTGTGTGTGTATATATACAAGTGTATTAATATTAGATAATGTACTCAAATACAATTGTTAACGATCTATACATTGAATATTATGATATTAAATTGATTAAATTTCAGATTGAAATGAACACAGATGAAATTCTTCGAACTAAACAAAAAAAACATAAATAAAAAATAGATAGATAAACTACAACCTTTATACAAGCTACTTATCATAAGGCTATACATATATATACACACACACAAACACATAAACACACACACAAACACACACACACACACACACATATATATATATATATATTAGTTACAATTTGGTAAATAATATCGGTGTAATAACGTAATATAACAACAATAATACTGGAAAAAACGGAGACTATGTGTGTGTGCGCTGTGTGTTTGTTAGTTTGTCTGTGTGCGTATGTGTGTTTGTTTGTGTGTTTATACAAGTTGGTTACTTTGGGACTGTTTACAGAAGGAAAATCAATCAATAATTCATTCGTGGATTCATTTGCTTGCTCATTTCAATTTTCACTCGTTTATTTCAATTTTCATTCGTTCACTCATTCGCCCATTAACGCATTCTTTTTTTTATTGCTAATCTAATCTATCAATCATTCATGCATTCACAATGATGATCACAATTCACAATTCATCATGCATTCAAAAGTTTTTTCATTCATAACGCATCAAACCTCCCATTCATTTGGTTAACCAATCACAAGCACCCATTCAATCATTCATTTAATCATTCATTCAATCATTCATTCACTCAATAAACATTTAAATATTTCTTCCGGAAACTGGAAACTAGGTCAAGATGAAAAATTGGGTCAAGCCGAGTCACGGATCTCTTGAATGGAGAATAGCCGAATATAGATTCAGCCAATTGGAAGCATCTTATCTTACCGACTTTATTATAGTTAAAATTATTATTATAATTATTATAGATGGCGTTATTTTTAACGTAATTTGGTTTTCCACGTTTCAGGGTATAAATATTATCGTCATCATTATTGTTGTGGTTGTTGTGATTATTGTTGTTGATGTGGTTAATGTTATTGTTGTGGTTATTGTAGTCGTGGTTATTGTTGTTGTTATTAGCAATGTCAAAATCATCATCGGCATTATCGCTATTGTTATTATTGTTAATAATATTGTTATTATTATTATCAACGTTATTATCTGATATATTATTTTCATCATCGTCATCATTATTATTATTATTATTATTATTATTATTATTAACAACGCGCTCTTGGTTGCTATTATTATTATTATTATTATTATTGTTTTTATTATTATTATTATTATTATTATCAATATCATTATCATCGCCACCAATAGACATCAATTCGCGCCTTGGATAAACATGGCGGTGATGATGATGATGGTGATTAGCGCCAAAATCATCATCATCATCATCATCGAAGCCGTTATAGTTATCAGCACCACCAACAACATCACCATCATCATCATCATTATTAATATTATTATTATTGAACTTTCTGTCGGTAATTTCGTTTTTGGCCACGCCTCTTTTAAATCGAGTGGCCTTACTGACCGGCTGATAGCCAATGAGAGAGCTGCCCCAGAAATTTTTGTGCATGGCTTCGTACATTCTCATGACGTCATATTTATTATTATTATTATTGTTGTTGTTTATAAATACATTATTTTTATTATTGTCATTCATAATTTTTTGGTTATAAATATTATTACTATTATCATTGTTGTATTTAACCGAATGCACATTGTTATTTTTATCATTGTTATATCTATAATTATTATTATTATTATCATTATCATTATTATTATTATTACTATGAGGTTGTTTAGCATGATTTAATACACGAGTTGCTATTGGTCGGCGTCGGCCCAATTTGATTGGCGGTCGCTTGGACACGTGACTAATTAAGGCATTCATGAATATATCTCTGCAGAAGGGCTCCTCCGATTGGATGGTATAATTAGCAACTTGATGGATGAACGTCGTGTAGAGACGATTGTAGTACCTGTTGTTGGGCGATTGAAGGAATGAATTGGTGAGTGAATGAATGAATGAATGAATGAATGAGAATGAATGAATGAATCCACTATTCATCCAATCCTGATTCATTCATTCAACCATCTATCTGCCATTCATTCATTCATCAATTCACTCATTCATCAATTCACTCATTCATCAATACCTATGATAGAAGGCAGATTGTAACTTAATTACTGAATATTCATTGGTCGATTTTGAAGTGAGCTGATAGGCCAGGTGCGCGGAATTCCAGAAATGATTCCTCTCGCTGTAGCCAATCAGCTGCGAGCGATGCTGGGACCACACGTGATTGGCGAAATCAATCTTCAATGATTGGTCGGTTAATTAATTAGTCACACGAATGATTGGTCGGCTCGGTAAATTAATTGAATAACCGACAACAAACTGATAGATTGATTGTTGATTGATTAAAGAATAAATGAATGAAATACTTATCCAATTGACCAATTGATTGAATGATTGATTGAAAGATGAATGAATGAATGAATGAATGAATGAATGAATGAATGAGTGAAAGAATGATTGAAAATACTTCTCCAACCTCATCAGTGGTAATGATGACATCTTCATTTAATGTTAACAAACCGCCCCCGTCATCATCCTCATCACCACCCCCATCTTCTTCATCATCATCGTTATAATTATTATTATGATTATTATTACTGTTGTTGTCATCAATGTCAAATATAAACCTATCCGAAGTCTGTAATAATAATAATAATTAATTATTTACTATCATCCTTATGATTATTATTGCTATTATTTATTTATTATTATTGTTATTATTAACTTGACCTTATTAACGAGCCTATGAATGATTGGCGTCGACGATCTGACCCAGTTATGATGAGGTAGTGTCTCCAGCTGCCAGAGGACGGTTATCTAATTGAATGAAAGAATGAGGAAATGGATGAATGAAACCAACCAACCAACCAACCAACCAACCGGCCAACCAATCAACCAGCCAGCCAGCCAACCAACCAACCAACCAACCAACCAATCAAATTAACCTTTCTAATACCCTGACACCTGACGACGATTCTTAACAAGCTGTACACGAAAGACTTCTGCGAAAATGGCAGCGATTTCTCGCCCGCCAATATAACGGCCTCGAACTTCCTAGCCTTACGACGATTAGGAAGAAATGATGGTGATGAAGACAACGACGACGATGGTGATAATGATGATCCATTATTATATTTATTGTTTTTGTTATTACTGTCCCTAGAATTAGGAACTGGATTCCGACCGACAGACAAAGGATAAGATGAAGATGGTAAGGATGAATCAGAAGACACCGAATAGAAAGGATAACTAGCCAAAGATTGTGAATATTCAGGGAGATGTACCAGACCACCGGGGAATGAATTCCAAACTGAAGATGTACGGCTTGTAGAATCTTGCTTAAAAATACGATCTTTTAAGGCCTGCAAGCATGTACGTGCGTATGCAATGTATGTAGGTGCACGCCTGTATGTATGTGTGGATGTGTATGTGTTTGTAGAAATGAGTGTGTGTGTGTGTGTGTTTGTAGGAATGTGTGTGTGTGTGTATGTTTGTATGTATGTATGCACGTATGTGTATTGTATAGATCTATGTATGTTTAAATAAGCATATGCGTGTATAAAATTAATAAGCTAATAAATCAATAAATCATTAAATCAATAAATCAATCAATCAGTCAATCAGTCAATCAATCAAAGATAATAAAGAGCAAACAGACTTCAAGTGTTGTGGCGACTATTTTATCTATGGACGAAAAATAAGTGTCCCAGAGAAATTGTGTCTGCTGCCTTAGTAGCAGTATGCGCTCTGTACCAATTGAACGGACTAAACTAGGCAGCTATGTGTGTATGTATGTTTGTGTGTATGTGTATGGGTGTATGTATGTTTGTGTGTATGTGTTTGGGTGTATGTATGTATGTATGTATGTATGTATGTATGTATGTGTGTGTGTGTGTGTGTGTGTGTGTGTGTGTGTGTGTGTGTGTGTGTGTGTGTGTGTGTATGACCAACAAACCTGTAGCAGCATTCTTTCGTCAGCCCATAGTAAAGCTCTCGACCAATCAATGACTTCCGAAAATGGCAGCACCCAATCATTGCTCAGAATCAAGGGTATGCAGCCGGCCTGTAACGCTTCTAAAAATCTAATTGGTCGGGTGAATTTCGTCATTGTTATCCTTACCATTACCATTATTATTATTATTATTATTATTATTAATCTTGTTATAATTATAAGTGTCTTTGTCATTATAATTGAGATGTTCAGAATGACCCATTCATTCAAAATTAATGAGTCTGAATTGGAAACTGAACTGCATAGAACGCTCTCTCCACCTCCAACATCGTCATCATCACAATTACTATCATCATCATCCTCCTCCTCATCATCATCATCACAATCACCATCGTCCTCATCATCATCTTCGTCATCACCACAACTACCACCGTCGTCATCATCGCCATCATCACAATCACCACCACCATCATCATCATCTTCCTTTCCCAACTTCCTCATCATCATCATAATCGTCGTCGTCATCATCATCATGACCACGCTAACCTGTACGACCCCAATCTACGACCCCTAGGCACCAAACAGAAGGTCGAATTTCTCAGCAAGACCTTGTAGTCCCACCTTCAAAGTTTATGAAAACATCATCATCATCATTATTATTGTTATTATCATTACTCCAACTACTACTGCTGCAGCAATAGTAGTGGTAGTGGTAGTAGTAGTTGTAGTAGTAGTAGTAGTAGTAGTAGTAGTAGTAGTAGTAGTAGTAGTAGTAGTAGTGGCAAGTGCAAATTAATAATGAGAAAAGTTAAGAGAAGAAAAAGTATCAAATAACTTTTTAAACCGGTACTTTTGATGTTGTTGTTGTTATTGTTATCATTATTATTATTGATGTTGTTGTTGTTATTGTTGTTGTTTCTGTTTTGCTGTTGTTTGTGTTGTCATCGCATCACATTTATTGTGTCTTTACAATTAACGAACATACTAACTAACAGAAATACACACAAGCTGAGTTCGTAAAAATAAATTATAAAATGCATGCTAGGCTAATGTAGTTATGACTTTTTAAATCCATCCATTCATTCGTTCGTTCATTCGTTCGTTCATTCGTTCGTATTCGTCCGTTGGTTCGTTCATTCATTCATACACTCAACAAATCTTTGACACCATTTCCTTTCAGAGTGGCTACATTAACTCATTCATTCGCTCATAACTCATTCATGCTGATCTATTCAATCATTAACTCACTCACTCATTAACTCACTCACTCATTAACTCACTCACTCATTAACTCACTCACTCACTCATTCATCCTTTCATTCAGTCATTCAACGAAACGTTCTTCCTTGACATAGTTTTATTTCACCGTAAATGTAATACACGCCTAGATCGTTAATATGTTGATTATTAATATTCACTCAAACTCAATTATACCATTTATTATTATCATTAGTTATTATAATTTGTTGTTATTATTATTATTATTCATTATTATTTGTTATTATTATTATCATTATTGTTATTATTATTATTATTTATAACTACTACTATCATAACTGCAGCGCCAACCCTTAATTTGCTTATTTGATAACAAGTGGGTTGCGCTTGATAATAATAGAGCCTATAACTCTTTGATAGTGTTAGTAGTAGTAGTAGTAGTAGCAGTAATAGTAGTAGCAGTAGTAGTAGCAGTAATAGTAGTAGTAGTAGTAATAGTAATAGTAATAGCAGCAGCAGCAGTAGTAGTAGTGGTAGTAGTAGTAGTAGTAGAAGTAGTGGTAGTAGTAGTAGTAGTAGAAGTAGTGGTGGTGGTGGTAGTAGTAGTAGTAGTAGTAGTAGTAGTAGCAGCAGCAGTAGTAGTAGTAGTAGCAGCAGCAGCAGTAGCAGTAGAAGTAGTGGTAGTAGTAACAATAACGATAAACAGATGAGATAAACAATGGCAATAGTAATGATGATAACATAAATAACCAGAATCTAGATTCGCACACGCGCACGCACACACACACAAGCGCTTAAATAAATTTTGTAGTAAGTAGCATGTAGAGAGCATACGGAAATAACATTGTGAGAGTTGATTAAAATGTTTAAGAAAATGAAAATGTGCAGGCATATTTTTCAATTTTCACTCTTTCTTTTTCTCTCACACTCTCTCCTCTCTCTCTCTCTCTCTTTCCCTCATTCTCACATATCCATCAAGTGTCATTGAAAAATGTGGCTTAAACTTTTTTTAATATACAAGTTTTCTATAAATATTAACTCAAAAATGAGATGAAACAATTTTTCCCACTCTTTTGGACTCTCTTTCTATCTTTCTCTCTCTTTCGCTTTCAATCATTCTTTCTCACACTCCCCCCTCCTCTCTTTCTCTCTTTTAATATAATTCTCACTTATTTCCGTCAATCTATCCCAGTGATATATAAATTCATGCTATTTTCTTTATAATTCATTCTCTCAATCATTCCCCCGTCTCTCTCTTTCTAGCTCTGTTTATTTTTTTTCTAGTTCTTTCTCTCTCTCTCTCTCTCTCTCTCTCTCTCTCTCTCTCTCTCTCTCTCCAACTTCTCATTCTATTAACTTGGCGCTCAAAATTAATCTCCACCTTTTCATAAGAGGTCTTAAAAGAAGGATTAGCCAGTGTATGTGTCCGTATGTATGTGTGTGTTTGTTTGTTTACACGCGTGCGTGCATGTGTGTGTACGTGTACATTTCAGAACTCCTCCATCCTTCTTAATCATCCAATCACACGTACAGAAATACACACACACAAACACACACAAAAGCACACACACACTAACTTGTCGTAATCTCTATTGTCAACCTCACATCTGTCATCTTTAAGAGTCTTCCAATCCTTTCCATGCTTGCATGTAGTTAGTAGGATAATATCTCTATTGTTGTTCAGATGGTAGAGGAAGTTCCTCGTCTCTGATCCGATTCCTGATAAATACCTCTTGCCTGGATTTTCGTTTCGATAACACAAAATAAAACAACAACAACAATGATAACAACAATAACAACAAACAGACCTTTGAAAACAAGAATAAAAGATCGACCGCCGGCCAGATTCCCCGTAGACTGAACGAGTCCTAATTCGCCACCTCGGTAGCTATGCTCTGGATGAAATAGTGGAAAGGAAATGTCGAAGTTTGGTCTGAAATGCTGTTGGGAAAGGCTGTTTGGGTGTATATTTTTGTGTGTATTCAAGCGTATACACACACACACACATACACTCATTTATACATACATACATACATGCATAGTAATGATGATAACATAAATAACCAGAATCTAGAATCATAACGCACGCACGCACACACGCACACACATACACACACACACACACACACATATATATATATATATATATATATATATATATATATATATATATATATATATATATATATAGACAGATGCATATACTCCAAACCTTGTTTTGGCAATCATGGCCATGCCGACATCAAAGCCTATATCCATCTCCTTGTAATCAGGCCAGGTCCCCGAGTATAAATTGAATATAAGATGGTTGATGCCGTGTCGCCAGTATTTCAAATGATTTAACTTCCCCCTGAGTCCCTTCACGAAGGATTTACTCAGCGGGTCTCTATCGAGTGTGTCGAGGGAAAGGATAAAGAGGCAGGCCGCACTCGGGTCTGATGTGAAGTACCTCGATCGCCTAATCGACGACAGGATCTCTCTGTAGGTGCTTGAGATCTGTAGGGATGTGTTTGGGGTATGGGATTTTAATTTGTAAATTTCCAAAATAAAATTTAATTGTAAAATTTTTTTTAAATAAATCCAAACCTACCTCTTTCTCGTATGACTCAACTGGGTAGATGTAGACCTTGAATCCATTTTTTAGACATATGGATGTGTCAAAACAGTTATGCATTCGGCATTTGTGGAACTGTAGATAGCCATTAGCATTGTCATGAACAATCTCAGATCGAGAAACTTTAAAAAAATTGACGCTAGATCTACTATCTGTGTAATTACCGGACCCAAAGACATCAAATATATTTACAAAGTCATGGAAATCGTCGTACAAAATATGTTTATGTGAAGTTGATGAAGAAAACCCAGAAACAATTGAACTACCATCATGGGGATTGTATAAGTTTACAGGTTGATTGACAGCTGGCATGGAGCCCCACTGCCCCCGATCAGCAGGCAACTCAGATGCACTATTTTTAGCCCGAGGATGTCGAAAAATAGGAGATAATAAGCCAATCAGAGCAATGATTATTAAAAATAATAATCCGTAGCGACGTTTAAAGTTCATGTATTTATAATTTTTATCATAAAGAATGAAACTTCTTATAAAAATTATAATAGCACAATAGCAGCAGTGATCAACATCAAATCAAACAAAACCAAACATTAGTATAATTAATAAAATTGTTTTTAATTATTTAATAATTATTAATCTTTCTCCCAGCAGATTTTTATAAGAATGAATAATAACTGTTCACATTGTGAATAAAAAAGTTGAATAAATAAATAAAATGCAAACGTAAATTGTAAACTGATCGCTGATTGTTTGAGGTAAGTTAATAATATAATAATTAATTAATCATTCAAATATAAATTAAATTTTTTGTTAAATTTTTTAAAAATAAACAAAAAAATTAAAGTAATTAATAAATATAAATAAAAATGAGAACATTTTTTAATACATTATATATTTTCGTGCATTTATATATTCATATATATTTGCATGTAAATTAGTGTATAGGAATTCAAATCAAAATTTCATAATCTGTTCGGCGACTTTTCTCGCCATACTTATTTATTTATTTATTTAGAATGACATGTTTAAAAGTGAAACTAGTTTTTAAAGTTTTTAGAACTTGTATTATGTATAAAATATTAAATAAATAATTCAAATTAAATTAAAAATAACATAAATTTTTACAATTAATTGTACAATTTTGTTTTTAATAAAAATTGTTAGTTTAAAATCTTAAAATTTAGTCCACTGTTTTGTCTGAAAAGTTAAATTGAATAAAAATATAATAGTAGTAGTGACATGCTTTTTTAATTTTATTTTTCAGTTAATTTAGGTAAAAATAGTTTTAAAAACATATTAATTATGATAAAATCTTTATTTTGTTTAAAAAATCTGCCTAACGGAAAGATGGTCAACATTTTCTCAAAATGTGTAAGTGCCATGAATGGATGATAAAATAAAAATGAATGGGTTTTGTTGCTGTGAACAATCAACAATTCAATTTAAAATTTTAATTTAATTTTTTAATTTATGTTAAATTTTTAAACTTTATTTATAAATTAAAAATGTCATAAAAATCATAAATTTTAATTTAAATTAAAAACGAAATTAAGGGTATATTAATATTTGTTGAAGTAAATTCAAATAAATTTCAATATGAATTATTTTTGTTCACTTTATTTATTTTGTTTATTTCATTTTAATTTCATTTAATTTCATTTAATCAATGATTTTTTAATATTTTTTAACAGCCCCACTTGAAGACACTCCCATTATTAGTGCAAAAATATAGTAGTAGTAATAGTTCAACTGCTGCTGCTCATGTGCAAGGTACTAATTTCACATTAGAAAGAATTTTTCAATATAAAATAGTTCATTTTTTACATTTTAACTATTAGTTCATCTTTATTTATTTATCTATTTAATGCTTTTTATATATATTGCATTACATTGTGACTTAGTGCTATTCAACAATTGCTAATGATAACACAAGTGCTATTACTTAGTACTACACTAATGATACTATTATTAGCACTAATAATCATGATTCTAATACATTTTAATATTTTTTTTTCACAGATGTTGGTTCGGTGCAGAATGAAAATAGTAGATCAGTGTCAGTGAAATCTTCTATTGAACCCCCTGAACCAGTGATGCGACTTATAACCAAACATCCAGTTACATCTCCACCCAGACAAGCCTGGCTGGAAACTCTATCCACTAAGGATGGTAAAAAATTAGGACTCATAGACTTGCATTCTGATATTTTTGGGGTTTTTCCAAGGTTTATATTTAAAATTTGTAGTTTTTATGATTAACTTATTAGTTTGTTTGTGAGCTATATTTAATTGATTTAATAAATTTGTTCAATTTTTTTAATAGAAATTGTTTTTTCTTAGGGTTGATGTCCTTTGGCAGAATGTCATTTGGCAACAAACTTACAGAAAAATAGTAATTTTAAAAATTTATTTTGTTATATGTGTGCGTGTGTGTGTGCGTGTGTATCATTCACCAATTCATTGTCTATCATTAACCAATTCATTATTTACTATATCATAGAGACAAAGATATCACAAATAAACTTTATATAAAAAAAAGTACTTTCCTACTGATGAGAATGTATTTAAAAAATTGCATTTCTCTAACTTTCCGTCACCATTTTGAAATAAGGACTACAGGATAGCCAAGAACAGGGCTGAGATGAGAGGTGGGGGCCACAAGCCCTGGCCACAGAAGGGAACGGGTAGAGCCAGGCATGGCAGCATCAGGTCGCCTATTTTTATTGGAGGTGAGTCATTATATCAATTCTGTTTTCTAAGCTTTTTGATATTTTTCGGAAATTTTTCTGAATAATTCAGTCATTCAATTCATATATTTAAATATTTATTCATCACTACTTATTTTTCTTTCCCTAATTTTAGGCGGAAAGGTTCATGGACCCAGGGGTCCAACGTCTTATTTCTACATGCTACCTCACTGCATTAGACTGCTGGGTCTCAAAGTGGCTTTGTCAGTTAAATATGCACAAGTTAGTGGATTGATTGAAGGAAATATTGGATGAAAGAATATTCGTGCGTGTGTGAGTTGAATGAATGTGTGTGTGCGTGCGTATGTGAGTTTGCTTGCGTGTCTGTGTGTGTGTGGTGTATCTCCAACGCGTGGGTTATATTCTTATTTGTTTCAATTTGTGAATTCAGGGCGATTTGCATGTTGTTGATTCGTTAGAGTTGCCCTCACCAGAACCAGAGGTAGTATTATCACTGCTAATCACCATACTTTAAAGTACTCTAAAAACTTTATCATCGTACTTTAAAATACTATAAAAGAACATCACCATCATCATTATTTTAACCGTTTTGCCCAATGATCCATGTTCAACAGAAGTTTCATCTGCAAATTCTCTTAACTTCACAATAATAATTTACTTCTATGGCCTACTGCTGCTACTCAAGTATACTCATAGAGGATGTTATGATTTTTCATATCACAACTAACTTGTAGTTTCGTGCTTTTTTGACGGATTATTTATTAATATTTTTATTATTTATAATTATATAATTTATAATTATTTTTATCTAACTGTTAGTACCTGGAGGAAGTAATTGAAGCAAAGGGTTGGGGTCTATCTGTTCTATTTATAGACAAGTTAGTAGTGTGTATACACACGCGCACACACACACACACACACACACCCTCACACATACACTCACGCACACTGTTGTTATTATTTCTGCTATTATTGTTCATATTATTTCCACAGCAAAGATATAATACCGAAGAATATCGCCATAGCAACTTCAAAGATTGACTCATACAATGTCATGCCCAGCTATGGTTATTGAGATTTTTATCACGGCTATTATCATTAAATTTACCATTTAATTTATTATTATCATTGTTATTGCACCTGCTGTTACTGTTATTATTATTATTATTGATAATTATTTATTATAATTATATTTTAATTATGAATTATTATATTTTAATTATGAATTATTATATTTTAATTATGAATTATTCATAATTACACATGCAGGTCTGAACGTGTATAGCCTGCTGAAGCACGAGACAGTCGTCTTCACGCTGGACAGCTTGCTAGATGTCGAGGGTAAACTACTGCAGCTCACTAATAGTGAGGATTTCAGGGAGAAAAAGTTTGAAAGGGTGCGTGGCTCTGTAAAATGGCAGTGAGAGAAAGAGAGAGAGAGAGAGAGAGAGAGAGAGAGAGAGAGAGAGAGAGAGAGAGTAGGAACGAAAGAGTGAAATTAAAAGGAAAGAAAAAATGTTAATGTAAGAATGTGATGTAAAAAGAAGTAAAGAATAGTTTGATGAGAGAGAGAGAGAGAGAGAAAGGATGAAGAAAGATGTAAACGTAAGATTTTTTGTAAAAAGAAATGAAGAAAAGGTTGATGAGAGAAAGAGAGAGAGAGAGAGTACAATACCGGTGGGGTTGATGATGATAACGATGATGAATCAAATGATAAACCGTTGTTCTTGTTATTATTTATTTTATTCTTCTAATTATTATTCGTCACGTTTACGTTAAATGAAATAAATTTAAAATAATTTATAAAAAAATGTGTGTGGTTATTTAATCACGATACAGGGAGTTAGTAATAACGATGCTATATTATTATTATTATTGTCGTTATTATTATTTTTGTTATTATCATTATTATTATTATGGTTATAGGATATTTATAGTATAATAACGTTGTTAAAGTTATAATTCTAAAAATGGTCACGATATTAATTAAATAAATCACAAGAGTGGATAAAAAGTATGAGAAAAAATTCGTTTCTGTCTGTGTGTGTGTGTGTGTTTGTTTCAGTTTGTCTGTGTTTGTTTCAGTCTGTCTGTGTTTGTGTTTCTGTCTGTGTGTGTGTGCGTATGTGTGTTACTAATAGTTTTGAAGTTCTGGATAAAAACAAGATAACAGCAAGTGGCATTGTACGTTATCAGCCTGAATTAATTATGCCAACCAAATTTTGAATACGTACGTGTGTGTGTTTGTGGTGTGTGTTTAAATTATATACATTGAAAAATTTTACACAAACACATGCATGCATATGTGTGTATATATATACATATAAGTGTATTTATACACATTAAGTTCATAATATTAATAATATTACAGGTGCGTCACTATTTAAAAGCAATATGTTCGTTTGCTCTGTTCGCAGGTATAAATGTATATATATAAGCTGTCTGTCTCTCTCTCTCTATATATATATATATATTATACAATATGTTTCTTTAAATAATTTTGTAATTGTTATGATTGTGATAATTGTTACAATCATTACAACAACGATTATTGTTATTATTTTTATTGTTGCTTTTATTATTATTTTTATTATTCTTATTATTTTCTTGAATGATCACGTCGCTATGCAAGGAGTAGTAGCTGTCGTAAAAATCCAGGCTGCTAGTGGCGTTATTATCGACGATTGCGAAGTTGTTGTTATTGACGTTATTATTATTGTTGTTGTTATTATTAATGTTGTTATTAGTGTTGATGTTGTTTTTGTTGGTTATATTGTTGTTGATGATTTTGTTGTTAATGTTGTTTGGGGAACTGTTATTATTATTATTGTTGTTGTTGTTGTTAGCAATGTTTGCGTTAATGTTATTTGCGTGCTCAAAGTTGTTGTATTTACAAACAATGTTGTTTTTGTTGTTGTTGCTAGAATTGATGTTGTCGTTGTTGTTGAAGTTTGGGCCGTATCTGTCTCTAGTTTTAACGATAACCTCATTAAAAAGTCGATTTACTGGATAGGTTAGTTTAGTTGAATTGTTGCTGACGTTGTTGTAGTTGATGTTATGATTGATGACGTCGTATTTTTGTCTACTTATATCTGTGATATTACAAATTTCTCCATCTGCAAGGCGGGGAGCCGTTAACTTTTCTTCACATTTATCTTGTTTTTTGGAGGATAAATATGTTTATCTGATAATTCGTTCGTTCATTCATTCACTCAGTCATTTATTCAATCAATCAATCAATCAGTATAAAGATCAACCTATATTTCGTTTTCTCTTTCTTTCGTTAAAGTTTCTCAATTTTCTACCAATGATGGCGGTTAGAATGACAAATACCAAAATCAAAATTGCTCCTGTTGCCAAAGCTAAAACAGAAATATTATTATATATTATAGCAATAATAAGAATAATGATTATAATATCAATACGTACTTGTAGCCAAAAAGACTTCTGATTTAGAAGTATTCTTCAGCGTTGTGGCTTGGTTTGGTAGGTGGAAGGATGACATCTCTGACGGTTTATAATCTGTAAAATAAAAGACAAAAAATTATTATTGTTATTTATTACTTAATATATCATCATTATTATTAATATTTACGAATGCCGATGAAAAAATATCTAAAAATAACCTACGAATATCTAAAAATAACCTCACCTGGGCATTCTGGGCAGTCCAGTTTCATTTTGAACTTGGGGCTGCAGACGGTTTCGCAGTGCAAACATCTCTGAATGACGTCATCGTAGTAATCGTCGCTTCGACATTTTCTTTTCTGTCTACTGTGGAATGGTTGTCCACGGCGTCCGCCGCCATTTTTGGAATTCATGACGTCATCTCTGTGGTCCGTGACGTAATTTCTGGAGTTGACGACGTCATTTCTGGAGCTGATGACGTCGTGATCCGGATCCTCGTAATCCGGAAAGTCGTAACTTTCTTCGTCGTTGTAAGATTTGTACAACTCCGGTTTATCGTGTGTCGGAGTTTTTGCTGTTGTTTTTTTCATTTTTTGTTTTGCGAGTTTTTCGGAAAAAATATCGGTTATATAGCACTCTTTTTTTATCGTTTTTTATATCTAATCTATGCTTTTTTTTTGCAGTAGTTTTTTTTAATTTGATTCTTTTTTCAGAACTTTTTATCAAATTTAGTTTTGCAATCAAGCAAATTTTATTGGCAAAGTAAAGTAGTACTCACCTATCAACAATAAATAATTTTGCAGTTTCAAATAGTATCTATTCACAATTTTTCCAACAGATACATGAATTACAAGCGTGCACGGAACATTTTAGAGTTTAGGAAGTAAATATTGCCAATTTTTTGATAAATACCTCACAATATGGTGTTTTTGACATAATTTCTTCAAAATACACAACAAAATGAGGTATTATCCATTAAATCTTCATCAAGATACCATAAAATAATGGTATTACCCCACAGATGTTTCGGTAACATCGTAACTACACTTATTTCTGTCGCAAAAAAAAAATTAATTTAGATCCTCTTTAAATACATTATTCACAAATGTATGTGTGTACAGCACATAGATACAAGCATAAATACATTTATGAAAAACCCAGGTATAAAAATAAACCGCCTTAAAAGCGATTGTATGATCCTCCATGTCTAAAAATAGATATTTGCTTAGGTAACAATGTATAATCCCAATGTAATATATATACACACAAGCATTCGGTAAATGATAATATATGTGTGTTTTACACAGGTAGTAACAAATTTGAATTTATAACAGTTTTTTACCGCCTAAACTAGTAAAAGCTTGTTTAAATACATTTCAATCTGTCAATCACAGACCTAACCAACCAACCGCTACCCGAGTTAAAACTTAATAATTCGCAATAAATTCGATTTCAAATATTCCAAATGCGTGAACCAAATGTACACACTAAACTGTTTCATGGAATTTACGATGGTGTATCTATCTATATCTATCTATATATATCAGTGATACACTTAGATATATTTATAAAACTGGTGACTGGTAATGAATGAATTAGGCAACTGGTGACCGTTAATACAAGAACAATCCTTTTTGGTTTCCAGATCATTTCATTGATTCTATTTTCTTTGATTTGGCGAAATAAAAAAATATTAAATACAATCAGACTTAATGTAACGACAGGTGCCTTATTTTGAACAAGAGGGGAGCGCAAATGTTATGATGCTTGTTAAGACAACAGCCATTGAACAATGGTTAATGATGCTCACTTCAAAATTCAAACCAAGTTGACTGATTTACTGAATTTTATTTATCTGACCTATAAAAGCATTTTATATTTTATTGAAATTAAAAATAATTTTATAAAAATAAGTGAAAAAAAAACAAAGCTACTAAAACGTGTTATCGCAACCGTCATATCATCATATCATTACATCGTCATAATCATCATCATCTAGGTAGCAATTTTCTTGGACTTTGGTTCAGAAGAATAATCTGCAGCTTTTCTTTTCTGGACAGCCTGTTTTTAAAAATCAATCAATCAACTAACTCACAACCAACCAAACAACCCACTCACTCAACCAGTCATTCAAACAACTAGCCAACCAACCAACCAACCAACCTGATTGGGCCCATCACTTCCGCCAGTAGCAGCAGCAGCAGCTGAATTCTTAGCAACATTCATGGAGGAAGATGATGATGCCGCGTGGCTCGACTTTTTCTTCCCTCTGTCCTGCTTCTCTTTCTCTTCCAGTTCGGCGTTCTCTCGTTCTATTAACGTGATTAGGGAATGGCATCTCCTTTGCAGTTCCTAGAATGTGTGTGTGTGTCTGTCTGTGTGTGTGTACGTGTCTGTCCGTCTGTGTGTGTGTGTGTGTCTGCTAGTTTGTTTGCTTGTACATGCATATAAGTGTGTGTTTTTTAACAGGTATAGTTCCTAATATATGTATGCGTGTGGTTGTTATTAATTAATAAATGAGAGAAAAAAAGAATGAATGAAAAACGAATGAATGAATGAGCAAATGAGTGAAAAATTAAATGAATGAATGAGCGAATGAGTGAAAAATTAAATGAATAAAGGTTACAAACGGCGGCAGTTCTTGATTTGATGAACCAATCAAATCTGAATTGAGGTGCCTGCCTTATGGACGCTCTCAGTTGATCATATGCATTTTCTTTGTCTATTCCTATGTATGTTTGTATTGTATGTATGTATGTATGCATGCATGCATGCATGTATGTATGTATATAGACATATAGGTATGTACGTATGTATGCTTGTTTGTATGTATGTATGTCTATGAATATCTATATATTCTTGGGTGATTTTGTATAAAACTGTGCATGTTTGCACGTGATTCTTATATATCTGTCATAATCATCTCCAGTTTAGTCAACAAATTTTTTTTCTTCATAAATAAACCTGTTAAAAAAATGTTAAACAAAAAAAAAATCGGTGCGATCATCATCACCACAATCATCACCACAGTCACAATCATCATCACAATCATTACCACAATCATCATCATCATAATCATCGCAATCATCATTATCATCAGTTCAACCTAGATGATGGAGCATGCAGATAAGAAATCTATCTTCCTCCTCCGTATAATTTTTTCCCTTGTTCGTGCCGTAGGATATCCTTAGCTGATGGAATGGAGCTTTGTAGCGTGCGATCTGTAGAATGAGTGAATGAATGAATGAGTGAGTGAATGAATGAGTGAGTGAATGAATGAGTGAGTGAATGAATGAGTGACTGAATGAGTGAATGAATTAATTAATTAAAAGATGGAAGGCGCGAACGAAGGAATGAATGGCTGACGGATAGACTGAATGATGATAAGATAGACAGATGAATTGACAAAAATAAATGACTGAATAGATTTAGTAAAGGAATAAAGGAATGAATGAATGGATCAATCAATAAACTCAGCAAATGACCTTGAGGTCGAGAGCCCTTTTGATGCTCAGCCTCCTTTGAATCTTATGTTCTCCTTTGTCAATCTGTGCGAGGTGCCTGTCAATGTCTTGAAGTTCATTACTACGTTCCCAAAAGACCGATGCATATTCCATTACCTTTCATCGTTTGTATGTTTGTTTGTTTGTATGTATGTATGTATGTATGTATGTTTGTTTGTATGTATGTATGTGTATGTATGTATGTATGTATGTATGTGCATATGTTCGAACTAGCCAACTAATCATCATAATCACCAGTCAATCATAGGCAACGAATTATTCATCAGCCTCAACCGACCGGAATCAACCGGGCCGATCAGGAACTTACTTCAGCCGGGGTTTTCCCTTCGACTTCCTTAGAAATACTTTCCAGATCAGACCTGCCGTACTTCTCGTTGGCTTTTATAAATTGATTGAAATCTCTCTTTGTCCAAGTTGAGAAGCCCTGAACGGGGATGTATGTGCAAGTGTATGTGTGTGTATGTATGTATGCATGTGTGTGTATGTATGTGTAATGATACCCAACCTGTCTTAGTAATTCGTCTTTCAGTGCAATTTCCTCATCAGTTAGAGGTTCAGCGTCATCTATCTTTTTCTGCTCTTCCCGCCTAATTTTTTCGGCATCCGCTCCGTGATCCGGATCTTTGGGAACCTGTGATTGGTTGGTCAGTGCTTCGTTGAATGAGTGTGATTGGTCGGTGCTGTTTGTGTTTTGAAACTGTGAGTTAGTTTTGTTGGGTGTAATTTTTACCTAACTAACCAGCCAACAACTGAAATAGTTTAGCATTCATTCCTGGCCGCCAATCACATCACAGGACACGACACCGGCCACCAATCACATCACAGGACACGACACTGGCCGCCAATCACAGCACAGCACATCACAACAACTAACAGCCAACTATTCACGGCAGATCAGACCAGCCAACCTGACTAACCCTGTATCCAATGCTCTTCCTGAAGAAATAGATCTCCTTATCTAAAAGCTCAAACAGCTGTGGAGGGTAGAACTGAAAATCTTGAACCGTCGGCTGCTTAGGTGGTCTGGGTGCCTAGTAAAATCAACAACAACGACATTATAATTAGTTTAAATAACAAAAATTTGGAAAGTAAATATTGACCTTGGGTGCTTTGGGCTCGCTGACCCTCAGGGCCTCTCTGAAATAGGCATCAACGGCATAATTTGCCTTCCTCTCTCGCTTCGGTGGCTCAATCCAGCGATGAGTGATGCCCGATATCTTGTGCTTCTCGCGGTAGTCTTCGCCTGGTGGAACATTTGTGTGTGTGTGTATTGTGTTGTGTGTATTGTGTGTGTTTTGTTGTGTGTATTGTGTTGTGTGTGTTTTGTTGTGTGTATTGTGTTGTGTGTGTTTTGTTGTGTGTGTTAACCAGTTTCGGGAAACAACCGCACTACTTACTCAATCACCAATCATATATCACCACACCTTCAAACTGATACACAGAACTAGTAGATTCCGTCGGCTGGTCGAGCGTGAATGTTCTCAACGTACCCTCACCCAACTCATCCAGTTTCTTATTCATTTCTTCAGTCTATCATAGAAATAATTAATAATAATACAATTACGTAACAATATAATAATAGTACCATTTTTACATTCTAAAAATAGACAGCCTCAACCAGCTAATCACAAATCACCCTAATTTATTCCAAGCCCAACCTTTTTCTCTCCTCTTTCTAGTATGGCGTCGATATTTTCATCGGATATTTCGCTGTCTTTGGAGGCGAACACGTGATCTGCCCCGTGCCTGATCATGGAAAGCATCTCATCTTTGCCTAACTTGTGAGTGTTCTGATCTACCAGACGACCTTTGGTTGAAATTATTGAGGAAGGAGTTTAATTTTGAAACGAATCTGTACTTCCCAACAAAAAACCATCTATTCAATCAATCAATAAACCAACCAACCAATCAATCAACCAACCAATCAATCGGTCAATCAACCAATCAACCAACCAGCTTGGATAACGATATTATCCAATCTCAATTTCATCTCGGCTCTCTCGACGATCCTCTCCTCTACGGAATGATCGGTAATGAATCTAAACACTCGAACTTGTTTCAGCTGGCCTATTCTGTGGGCACGATCCTGAATTCGGGTGGGGGATAATTAGTGAGTTAGGAAAACAAATGAGAGATAAGTATGCCGAGAACAATTGACGAATTGGAAAAATTATGAAAAATGATTAGTGAAACTAAAAATAATTATACAAGCGTACTATTAATAATTATAATTTCAACATCCTTTCAAACTCGAACTAAACAAACCATGGCTTGGAGATCGACTTGTGGATTCCAATCAGAATCATAGAGTACGACAACGTCAGCAGTGGCCAAGTTTATGCCCAGGCCACCAGCTCGAGTGCTCAACATGAAGATGAATTTCGTGCTGCCCGGTTGGTTGTAGGCATTGATGGATTCCTGCGAGGTGATTGGTTGTTTGGGATGTAGTTGGTTGTGATTGGCAGACTGTGATTTGGATGGTTTTGATTGGCTGATTAGGATTTAGATGGCTGTGAATGATTGAGATTTAACTGCTTGTGATTGGTTGATTTAACCACTAATCTGATCACCGCAAAAAAAAACCTGTCTTTCTTCATGGGGTGTTTGACCGTCAAGCCTGCAATACTCATATCCTTTCCACAGGCAGTAATCTTCCAGGATATCCAACATACGGGTCATCTGACTGAATATCAACACTCTAGAACCTGCAAGTGAGTGTATGTATCTATTTGTATGTATGTGTGTATTTGTATGTTTGTATTTGCATGTGTGTATTTGTATGTGTGTATGCATGTGTGTATGTGAGTATGTGTGAGACAAGAGTTTAATAAAAAAGCATCAACCACAATTTTAAAAAAAGCCAGAAACACAAGAAGAAAGATAAAACTAGAATTGATAAATAAACTCTCACAACATTAACAAACCCTGTTCTTTAACTCTGGGCAACAACTTGTCGAGCAGTACCATCTTTCCACAATTATCGACTATATGTCGATCAGTAGTGTAAGGGGGTCCAGGTTCGGCCCCGTCGAATAGGTAGGGATGGTTGCAGCACTTCCTCAGCTGCATTAGAATGTTTAGCAGACGCATTTTGTCAGTTTTTCCCGCTCCATTCACGATGTCAATGTCTTTCATTAGGATTTTTGTGTACCTGTTGGTATGACATCAAAATTTAAATTTAAAATCAGTAACCAATCGAGTAAAAGCATGTTAGTAAGAAATGAAAAAACTAGCCAATCAAATAACGCCATAATTGAATTTGAATTCAATCATCCAATCAGATCACAACAAACCATTCCCTCTGCATTTTACTCAAGCCAATGTAGATCTTTGTCTCCTTCTTCGGCAGTAATCTCTTCTCAACCTCCGATTTAATCCTCCTAAGAAGAAATGGCCTCAAAACCTTGAACGTTTTACAATTTTTTTTCAAATTTTGAAGAGAATAATGTATAAAATGATCATCATTCTCACAATCACCATCATTATATGTATGGAAATCATCACCAAGGTCATCATTATTAACAATGTCATTGTATTCAGCAATAAAGCCATTTTTTAAATGTAAGGTAGGATGTAAAAGTTTGAACTGCAAATAATACTAGACACTAACAGCATGTAGTCTCTCGACCAGCTGTGCGTTCTCCAGACACGTGTTTGTGTTGAACCATGAATCAAAATCCTACCGAACGAAAAAAAAAAAAATTAAATTCATTTGATGAACAAACAAGAGAATGAAATAAATTTTTAATAGTATTAATCTGATTAAATTAACAAAAAAAATTATAGAAAAAAAACACTAACATCGCTAGAGTTGAAGACATCTGGTAGAAGAAAGTTAAGTAGGGCCCATAGTTCGTGCAAATTATTCTGAAGTGGGGTGCCAGTAAGTAGAAGCCTATTGGCTGATTTGAATTCGCGAACTATTTCCGACAGCTGTGATTGGTTGGTTGAGTGATCAATCAATCAATAATTATTGTTTGGTTAAAAGTACATGTATGTCTCAAATTGGTAAAATCCTATTGGTTTATACAAATTTTTTTAAATACATTCATGTCAAGTTAGCAAGATCATCATCATTATTATTATTACAAATATACACAATGTTATCATCTCTCAAGCCATCATCTGCATCGTTCCAGACAACAGCAACACCATCATCACAAATAACAGCATCCCCATCATCTAAATCATCCCAAAACGAAGGCTAAATCATCATCTCCATCTTACTGACTTTGGATTTTTCATTCTTAATTCTATGCGCCTCGTCGATGATCATGTACCTCCAATTATATTTCTTCAAGAGGGCCTTCTCCTTAATGACCATCTCGTACGACGTTATCATCACGTCCCACTCGCTGGGGAGGATCACATCCCTAATTAGGTTCGCCTAATTTGAAGAAAAGGAGGTGGTTAGGATAGGTAATATCAATTTAAAATCATGTTCTCTTCATTGGATTTGCCTAAATCAAAAAAAAAAATTCGTCTGGTGGCCTCAGTAGGTAGTAATACCAATTAGATTATGACAATAATAATAATTATAACAATAATTATAAAAATTATAAATTATGAAACTAAATTTTTTAAAAAATTTCACCCTCTCATCCTGTCCACCAATCAGACAGACGGCCACCAGGGTTGGAACCCATTTTTTGACCTCGGCCTCCCAGTTTGCAAGGGTTGATTTAGGAGTGATGACTAGATGGGGTCCTGATGTGTGTCTATAGTGCTTCATGTACCCCAACAGAGATATTGTCTGGAGGGTTTTTCCTAATCCCTAAACGAGAAATTCAAATTTTTTTAGGGGTGCTGAAATATGTTTGCCTATGTCAAAATGTGTAGGTGTGAATATATATTTGTGAGGTTTTTCAGTAGTGAAAATTTGATCATTAATTAATTAATTAGACAATTAAATAGATAAATGTTAAAAATTTTTTGAAAAGCACATACCATCTCGTCGGCCAGTATACCATTGATTCCATTCTCATATAGTGAAATCATCCAGTTGAGGCCTCTTACCTGGTAATCTCTCATTTCCCCACCCTTCACGTCTTTAGGTAAATTAGTGTAAATTAGTGTTAAATCACTTTGGTTTCACAAGTTTTTTAATAAGCAAGAGAATAAATATATTAAAAAATAAACGTCTATTTGAAATTTATTCACTGACAGGATGGTGATGAATCAAATCTCGTAATAGCCTGGGCTTTCTTGATGTCGGACAATAATTCCTCATCTTCCTCTTGCTCGGTTCGCCTATGTCTATGACTGTTGGGGGGAAAATTAGACATTTTCAACAAACTTGTTGGCATGTGAGTAAAATAAGGGAGCTAGAAATAACTTCAAAAAATAGAAAACAAAGACACAACTAACTCTCCAGCTTCTATTAGCTTAACTTTTTCATCCTTCTTCATTCTTGGTCGGCCAGCTTTTATCTTGAGTGGACTGGTTGGCATTTTTCCACTTTTGTTGGCATTGTCACCAGTCGTCATGAAGTGAGCAAACAATTCAGTCTGCTGGAGCAGGTAGTCAAATCTGTTTGTTCGATCGTTTTCCTGTTTGGACGGGGCATGGGTAGATAAGAAAAAGAATGTTAGGAATGAATGATTTGGAATGTTAGGAATGAATATTTGTGTTACTGTTTAAAAATTTCATTCAATTGTTTCTATTAAATTTTAAATATTATTAATGGCAGATTAGTAATATTTTAACAACAGACCAGTTTTGATTCATATTCTGGGTCCATCTCTTTTTTGGTCTTGGTAGAATCTTTTATAAAGGTACCCAGCTGTTGTAATTTTTAACAATTAGTTAATTAAATTTTAAATCAAATAAGGGACCATCGTTAAATTAGATCAACATTTAAATTTCCTCCATTTTAGTAGTTTATTTATTATTACTTTATTTAGTTTATTTATTAAAAAATATATAATATTATAATTTTATTTGAAAAATCACACAAACAGTAAAATCCTCACCCCAGTCTCCGGAATTTCATTATCGTCTGCTTCGTCAACATTTTTATCATCATGATCGGTTTCCATTATTTTAAACTCGATTAAATATTTAAATTAAAAACTAGGAAAATTTTATTTAAACAACTTTGTCGTTGGCGACAAAACAAAGCCCGGCAGGCAAAGAAATGTCAACGATAATTATTGAGTAAACAAAAACATTGAAAGTTAACTTTACGCAAATTAATTAAAATTTAATTTAAGCATATATTTATTTGTTTTAAATTTTATAAATGATTTAAATAATAAAATTTTCTAGATAATGTTTTTTTAACATCTGGTCAACAATCTAACTCATCCCTAAATTCATTTAAATGGGCGCTCATTACAAATTGTCATGAAAGTTTTTCACTCAAAAAACTCCTTAATATTTGAAATTTCTTTTATTTCATACTATTAAATCAAACAAAAGTTAATTTATTTTATTTTGAAACTTTTACTAATTAATGTCAATATGTTTTTCGGCATTAACCGGACCTTTCCCTTTCTCCGCCAACACCACAACAATGATGAACTTGACCACCGAAAATCAAGATGGCCATCCGATTCTTTTGTCGATTCAAGCCAATCTCGTTAGTTCATTTGTTCTTTATTATCTTTGCTTCTTTCTTCCTATATAATCTCTGTGGACCATTTGGTCATTTTACTTTATTTGCGCTTGTGATCAACAGTGTTGTCATTCCTACTCTTAATTTCATTTTGATTAATTATTAAAAATTAAATAAAAATGAATTATTTTGAAAATAATTAGGCATTTTGTCAGGGAATTTGTCTACTTATCAGCGATTTCGCCTAATAGCTTTGATGATGGCAGAACATAATGGGCGCCCTGTGTATGAAGATCCATTGACAAAGATGTTGATGATATTGTGTAAAAATAAAGAAAAGAATCTAGATTTCGACCAGCAAAAGATGAAGTACTTCAAATTAGAACTGGACCCCTCTGCTGCAATAACGTCAGTCAACTCCAGATATACTTTTGGTTACGATGAGGTGGAGCTGTTAGGCAAGGTTAGTGCATTTCTAAAGAAGATGTAGTGATTTTATTATATAAATACATTACTTTACATTTTACTACAATACAATACAATGAATGTAGAAGATATTTATATGATATATATATATATATATATATATAATATGTTATGTTACAATGAAATACAATAAATATAGAATATATATATATGATAGATATATATATATATATAATATGTTATGCTGTAATTATGTATCTTATATGATGGGCTTGAGGACCTAAAAGTTGCTTGACAATCCTCTTGCAGTGATTCTGTGTTTACTTATGTGCATGTTGTCAGCGCATAAGTATTAGAAAGAATTGAGAAGGAATTGTAAAAAAAAAAATTTGTTTCAATTTTTAAATATATATTAGTGCACATATTATGCTTAGTATTTCATAGAAAGAATTGTATAAAAAATATTAATTTCAATTTTTTAGATATTCATTAGTATATTAGTATGTATCAGTGCAAATATTATGATCAGTAGCTCATATTTTTGTTTTATTTACAGTGATTCTATTTGAATTAAAATTTTAAAATAATTTTTTTCTCACATTAAATCAACGCAGCCCATAGAGTTGATAGCCCCAGATATTTATAGAACAAAGAGAGAGAGTGATGAAAGAAAAGAGGAGTGTAGTGGAGAGGGTGAGTTAAAAAGAAACGCTGATGATATCTCCAGTCGAGGAAAGAGATCCAGCGACATGTTGCAGTATTATTTCTCGACATTGGAGTTTAGCGATTGCCATCAAGTTAGTGACGACCGTGAAAATGGCGTCGGATTTGAAAACTGGAGTAAAAGTAAACTCAATGATAATTGGGAAGATTGCGACAGAGCCGATGCCAAAATGCCCTCATATTGCGATGACTCCACTAACAAAGATAACAAAGACGCAGAAAGTGTTGCTAATAATAGCATCAGTATCGATGGCAAAAACGATAGTGAATTCGACTTTGTGAATGTTAGTGACATTGACACCAATAGCTCAGTCGTCATCAACAATCGTAATAACGACGACGATGGAGTGATAATTGCCGATGACGACCTCGATAATTGTGGTTTAGATTTTGTGGACGGTAACATCTGCACTGTCATAAATTCAAGGGATGGTGGTGGAAAAGAAGAGAGGATGTACGACCTCGATGCCGATGGTATCGATACTAACTCTCTTGCTGTGGCTTCTGCTGCTGACGCTGCTACCGCTAACCTAGCTAGCTTTTTAGTCGTTGGTACTACTACTAATACAACTGCTGCTGCTACTACTAATACACAAGTGTACAAGGAGGCAAAAATGTCATGTCAACCAGAGCTACCATCAATGTCATTCCATCTGGCTTCTACTCATCTGGCCAAGGAATATTTTGGTAATTGTGGGAAAAACCCAGAAATTTCGTCGAGTGTTATTGAAGACGGTTTTTATAGAGGAATTTGGAGGAATAAGGAGAATGATTTGTTGGGTTAGTTTGGTGTATGTTTAGGTGTATTTGGCTTTTGCATTATGTTTGTGTGCTGTTATGTGTTGTGTTTTGTGTGTGAATGAAGTGTAGTAGTTAGCTGCTTGTATTGTGTGTTTGTGTTCTGTTTGTATTATTATGTGTTATGTGTTGTTGTATTTGTGTGTTATTCGCTTGTTAGTTATTATGCTGGTAGTTTTATGATGCTTGAGTTGTTTGTTTGTGTGTGCGTGTGTGGGTATTGTTAAATTTTTAATTTCTAACATTAAATTCCAAATCTTTTTCACATCCTTAACTGATGTCAGTTTGTCAATATTTGCGTATTTTTATAGTTTGTGTGTTTGTTTGTGTGTTAGCTCCTTTGTTTCTGTGTTCGCTCCTTTGTTTGCTTGTTCGTTCGTTTGTCCGTTCGCTAATTCAATTTATTTGCCCGACAGATGTAATTTATATGGTGACCTGCGCCCAAAAGAGGAACGACTGCAGCCTTGAGATTACAGGCTTCGTAACGCAGCCCAACAAGAAACCACAACAGGGCAAAAACGACGACGATGATGAAGAGATGGGCGGTGGTGATGATAATGATGATAACGATGATGATAATCATGGTAATGGTGCTGATAATGATGATAACGATGATGATAATCATGGTAATGGTGCTGATAATGATGATAACGATGATGATAATCATGGTAATGGTGCTGATAATCATGGTAATGATGATGAAGTTATGGACGGTGGTGATGACGATAATCATGGTAGTAATGATGACGATATGGCCGGTGGTGATAATGATGGCTGGTCGGGATCGAAGAGTAATGAAAGGACATTGAGTATAATTGATAATGGTAACAATGATGATGATGATGATGATATCAATCATCCCCACGAACTGATGATGATAAAGAATGATGGGGATGGTGATGTGGTTGCCAGTTTGGTTCATCATTTCGAAGACGTAGTCTTGGTCCAGATTAAGAATGATGATGATGATGGTGATAAAGATGGTGATGATGATGATAAAGATGGCGGTGATGATAGTGATGAGATTAAGGATGGCGGTGATGGTAATGATGAGATTAAGAATGGCAGTGATGGTGGTGATGAGATTAAGGGTGATGATGATGATGATATCTCAGTTGGATCACAACAACAACAACCACAACAACAACATATCAACTCGGATACATACACACTGATAAGAAGACACAAGCCATGTAGATACAGTCATGACAACGACGACGATGATGATGATGATGGTGATGACAATAAGAATAATAATAATAACAGATACAATGATGGTGATGCTGATAATAGTTGTGACGTCATCACAGTCAATGAACACAGTTACTGTCGATTGGCTTTTGAAGATAACAAAGCTATGGATGACGACGATGGTGATGATGAGGTGTCTGGCGATATTGATGATGATGATGAAGGTGATGGTGAGGAGGATGATGGCGAAGATGATGTGAGTACGGAAAGCTGCCATAGTTTTAGAAAAATGAATATAAACCGTAACAACAATGATGATGATGAAGACGAGAAAGATAACCTAGATGAAGATGATGGTAGAGATGATGATGAAGACGATGCAGATGATGAGGAAGACGGTGTTGATATTGAAGAGGAAGAAACCCCAATGGAAGGTGTTAGAGATGATGCTGACATGGTTGATAATTTGGACGAAGATGATGGTAGAGATGATGAAGAAGTGGGTACTGATGGTGAAGAAGACGGTATTGAGGTTAAGGATGAAGAGAAAGCAATGGAAAGTGTTAAGAGTGATGGGGGTAATGAAAAAAATATTGATGTGGTTAGGGTTAGGGTTGACAATTTCGATGAGGAGGAGGAAGAAGATGATGATGATGATTGTAGTCAGGATGGTACCTTTGATGAGAGTCAGCTAGTTGAGGGAGCTAAAACATTTGTCAGAGATTATGAGGTTAGGTTTTGTATTGTATGTTTGTTTGTTTTGTATCTGTTTGTTTGTGTCTGCTTGTTTGTATTGTATCTGTTTGCTTGTTTACACTGTATGTTTGTTTGAATATGATTATTAACTATTCAACCAACTAACTATCTTGCTATGTTTTGTATCGTATGTTTTGTATTGTATGTTTTGTATCGTATGTTTTGTATTGTACGTGTTTGTAATTGTATTGTATGTCTCTCATATACCATCAGCACCGCCATCGTCCCACGTTCATCGCCCTACAGATCCAGAGGTACCTTGGCAAAGGTGCGTTTGGCTGCGTGAAGGCTGCCACACGCAGGTCGAGCAATAGGCAGGTGGTGGTGAAGTTCATCAAGATCTCGAAAATTCGTTCAGACGGCTGGGTGCACGATCGCGATTTCTACGCGCGCGACTTCCCCGAGATGCTGAAGGCTCAAAATAATCTCGCTGATGATAATAATGGAAGGAGACGTGACGATGATGACGATGTCGGAAGAGCAGCTGCTGCTGCAGCCGATAAGTATCGTGGTGAGATTGATTATAGTAGAATTAGCGGGATGCTACCTTATGAGGTGTACATTCTGAGCCACATCCAACATCCCAATATCGTTAGGGTCGGTTGGTTGAATGGCTGGTTGGTTGAATGAATGGTCGATTGATTGGCTGGTTGAATGATTGGTTGGTTGGTTGAATGAATGGTTGATTGGTTGGTTGGTTGAATGAATGATTGGTCTATATATAGCATTATTATTGATTGGTTGATTAATTGGTTGGCTGACTGATTGATTGATTAAATCGTAATTGAATAATTTAATTAAAAAGAAACGAATGACCGCTGTTGAAAACAGATGCTGGACTTCCACGTTGGCCTCCACTACATGCAGCTGGTCATGGAGAAGCATGGCGACGGAACCGACCTCTTCGACTTCATTGAGAGGTGCACTACCAGGTCCGAGGAACTCGTTCGCTACATCTTCAGACAGGTGAGTGTCAAGGATGATCTCTCTTTTTTTTTCCTTTTCCATCTCTCTCTTTTTATATAAAAGTTGTTGTTTGATCTGTCAGTCACTCAAACAGTTAACACACGTACTCGTATCAAATCTTTCAACCAATCAGATCAGTCAACCAATCAACTCGCGCGCTAACAAACAACCGACCAACCATACGCAGCCAATCAACCAACACGCCAACAAACGGCCGACCAATCAATCAATCAACTCTAAAATCCACAACCGACCAATCAAATCTTGTCTCAGATCGCAACAGCGGTGAAGTTCTTGCACGACAGTCGCATAGTGCACCGCGACATCAAGGACGAGAATATCATAATCAATGAGAGTTTCCACATCAAACTCGTCGATTTCGGCTCAGCTGCCATCTACAGGAAGTGGACCTTGTTTGACAGTTTCTGTGGCACCATGGAGTACTGCCCGCCTGAAGTCATCAAGGGTGAAAAGTCAGTCGATTGATTGATTGGTTGATTGGTTGGTTGACTGATTGATCTATAGATTTATTGTGGCTTGTTGATTGGCTGGATGGTTAGAAGGATTGATTGATCGGTGGCTCGATTAGAGATGTTGATTGACAGGGAATATTGATTGATTGATTGATTGATTAGTTGGTTATTGGATGGTTGGTTGGTTGATTGATTAATTAGTTGGTGATTGGATGGTTGGTTGGTTGATTGATTGATTAGTGATTTATTCTCTTCCCAAAGGTATAAAGGTCCCGAGGTGGACGTGTGGGCGCTTGGCACGACCCTGTTCACGCTCTGGAGTCTGGAGAGTGCCTACCTCTCTAAGGATGATGTCATTCTACACAAACGTGCGCCACTGCCTCCTGATACGTCGCTAGGTGGGTTGATGGGATGATTTGATTGGCTGGTCGATTCGATTGGTTGAGTGGTTGGTCTGTTTAATTCGATTGGTTGATCGAGTGATAATTATCCGATTAATTATGATAATTTATTCAACGTTCAATAGATCTGGCGTTTCTGATTGGCTGGATTCTGGCACGTCCGAAAGAATTTAGGCCTACCTTGGATCAGGTGATGCGCAACCGCTGGTACAACCAGCCGACGGACATTTCCAAATTTAAGTACAGCGAGGTTTGCGCTCCAAAGAAACGTAAGTGATGATGGCTTGACGGTGATGTTTGTGGTGATAATGATGGGATAATTATGTGGTGGTGATGAAGATGATGGTAATCTTGATAGTTGTGCTCCAACAATGGTAGTACAATAATGTGATGATAATTATTTTTACCACCAAAACTTGGTAGAGGCACTTATGCTTGAATCATCAATACAATTCCTAAAAAACAGGCAAGAAAAAAGCACAGATTCTTCCAGAAGTCGCCAACAACAACGACGACGACGAAAACAACAGCAACAAGGAGGCCATTTCTGTTGCGCAACAACAATCCGGTGTTTCGCAACAACAGCAGCAGCATCAACAATATCAACTGCAACATTTGCAATACAGAGAACCTTGTGTCACCTATAATGTTAATGTCGATAGAAAGACTTTGAGCGCTCTGTAAAACGTCTTCAACGGAAATTTGGATTTGGATGATGTGAAAGACGATAATGATAATTATTGTGATAGTAATTAGCGCGCCTCTACATTTATATATCTATTCAACCTTGTAACATCTCTCTACGCGTGTGTAATGTGCCTTTTGGAGTGACTTTGATTTGGTTGATTGCCTGGTTGCTTGAAAAAAAGTTGGCTGGTTGGTTGATTGATTGAATGATTGATCGTTCGGATGTCTAATTGATTGACTTTTAAACATTTTAACTATCTGATATGCCATGATGTTAGTATATTTCTACACTTTAGCGAGTATGATCCGAAGGAAGAAAATATATCTTCGACTCTTCTTTTTGAGTATTTCAGAGTATCTATTTTTAGAGTGCATTTTAAACGTATTTAAAAATCGTGATTTATAAAAGGCTATTATTTATTTTATACAATATATATATATTTTTCTCATGTTTTATGTGATATATATATATACCTTATCTTATCTATTTACCTATTTCTGCAGTTAAGTGCCTTATGTTGTGCTTACATATACATAGTCATTAATTAATTGATTGATTTTTTAATTGAGTTGAAATAGAAAGAGAGCAGAGAGAGAGGGAGAGAGTGTTAAACAGCATTACCTCACAAAATTAATTAATTTTTAATTAATTTATTAATTTGTTAATTGAGGAGAGAGAGAGGGGGGGGGGAGAGAGAGTTATACAACAATATCTCAGAAAAGAAGTTCATCAGGTGTTTTATTCAGGGTAGATTAAATGTATCTATGTGTACCGTTTTGTATGCTATTTGTATTGTATGTACGTGTGTGTTTGTTTGTGTGTGTGTGTTTTCTCTTTTCTTATATATTCAATGGTGATTTAAACCATTCCATATTTTTAGCAATCTCAATTTTTTTTTATTTTATATTATTTATTAAGGTCTAGTTTTGTGTGTGTGTGTGTGTGTGTAGATTTTATGTGTGTGTGTATATATGTGTGTGTATGTGTGTGTGTCTTTCTCACTACTACTACTACTAATAATAATAACGATATCATGTATGAGTTAAAAAAGAGGCATTATTAAGGTACTAATGAGTTACGCCGATACATAGATGGATATATTTTTATTACCAACTTACGATAATATTTATATATGTATGTCTTTGTTTGTGTGTGTGTATGTGTTTGTGTGTGTTTGTATATATATATATATATATATATATATATATATATATATATATATTTATATAATATATCATGGTGTTTTTAATAAAAGATGTTTTTAATCTGTGTTTCACGTATTTTTCCCAGATCTTTCATGAACGAATGAAGGAGTGAATGAGTGCTTGAATGAATTAGTGAATGGATGGATGAATGGGTGGACGGATGAATTAACGAATAATGAAAGAGAAATTGATGGATGGAAGAATTAGTTAATGAATGAATGAAAGAAGGGAGGAAGGAACAAAGAATGAATGACATTTAGAGATGATAAACTTAGGGGTGTGTCTATTTCTGGACATATAATTCATCCATAAGAGATGAGTGTGTTTGTATGTGTGTATATGTATGTATGTTTGTTTGTATATGTTTGTTTGTACGTATGTATGTATACGTTTGTTTGTATGTTTGTTTGTATGTGTGTTTGTACTTGTAAGATGGGGACAATAAAGGATAAGTGAGAAAATTATTCAAATTATGACCTGCTTGTCAATGATAGCTTACATATTTTTGTGTATGTGTGTGTGTGTTTGGTTTGTATGTGAAACTAAAGTCAGATTTCTGAACATGCAATAGAAGTACTTATATACATACAGACGCAAAGATACATATTCATACATACATTCAGCCATACATACATATACATACACACATAAATACACACACACATACATACAGACACACATACATGAGCGATATTATCGTTAATCAATGGGCGGCATATGAATTAAGTTGTCATCGTTAGCACCAACATATGTATGTGTGTATGTATGCATGTATGTGTGTGTATGTATGTATGTATGTATGTATGTGTGTGTATGTATGTATGTACGTATGTATGTATGCATGTGTCAGCCAGTAGTACATACACGTGTGTGCGTGTGCATGATATATAAATTATAAATCCGTTCATCCGTAATTTTGTGACAATACAAAGACATTTGGGAGAAGTTGTTTCACTCTCTCTCCCTCTCTCTCTCTTTCTCTACTCTTTCTATCTCTCTCTCCCCTCTTTTTTATCTTTCCTTTATTTTTCTTTTCTTCACAAGTTTTTCGAAGTAACTTTATTTTTTCTACTGCTAATATTATCTTCAATATCAACATCAATATCAACATTGTCTTTATTTTCTCATCATCATCAAGAGCGTCATCATTATCATAATCATCTGCAACAACGACAACAACAACATCGTTATCAGCAGCAAGCAAGCAACAACAACATCGTCGTCGTCAATAACTC